TTGCAAAAAAAAAAAATTGATTCTGGTCCTGAATCAACTGAAAAATGCTCATGTTTTGCCCCCAACAGTTGAGGAAAGTCCTTTTCTTCCTAGTTGTTACAGTTTTCCCATCTATCATTGCAGTGGTTTGATTAAAAGTTCAAAATTCAATGTTTAAATTTTAACCCAGCCTTTTGTGTTGACTTCATGGCTCATTTTGTAGCATTTAAGCCTATAATAGGATGCCTAGACCTGTTTTTATTTTATTTTTTTTCGCCCTGTCGCTTTATATTTTTTCTGAAAAAATCCGAGAACCAACAAATTAAATTGGTGTGGCCTAAAAGTTCAAAGTTTGTTGTGTTATGACGTAACAGGAAATTTAACCACATGTACATTTCCGTGCATGTTATCCATGCAAATGCCTCCAATCTAAACAAGGCTGGGACCAACGCATTTCCTGTTTTTCTCAGTAAGGACTTACTATCATTAAGTACACAAAGTTTATAAGTATACATATTAACCCTCAACAGTACACCTTCCCGGACTGATTAATCTGTACACCTGGGGTCCGCGCGGACCCCAGAACAGTTTTTTGCTAATTTTTAGAAATTATCAACATGCTACCAGCTCAATTGTTTTTCAAACTGATGTGGGAACCTCTGTGTCCACATTACATACAAAATTCATACATTTTGAACTTTTTCTATTTTTTGGTGAAGAAAAGAAGACAAGAGGAAATACCCGATTTTTAAACCCGTTTCAGACTGAAGCGGCTTTTGAGGCCCAACTTTGATCTCAGATAGCGACTAAACGGCTTGCGCTAGAAGTATCAAATTTGGAGACCTTTCCTAAAATGTCTCTGGAAAAAAGTTCATATTAGTTTAATACTAGTAAGTTGATGTTTTTTTGTGTTGCCATGGCAACGGGTTTCTAGCAGGCATTTTATTTGAAAATAGAAGTAATTTTGGTTTAAACATAAAAATTTTCTGAGTTTTATATTAAATTACACTTCTTTTCCAACATTAATAACATCTTACATAATTAAATATAAGTTAAATCATTTAATATGCATAGAATATGCTAATTTTATGACGTCATTGGTCAAAATCCAATATGGCGGACTATATTATTAGCTCTGACGTCATATGACGTCACATTTACACCAAAGTTATCAAAATTTAATTCTATTACTACACCATTCTCTGAAAACTTGGTAGACATACGATGAGTGCATAAAATCATATAAAAACGGAAATAAGATAATGTATAAGAACGCCAGTGTATCCATTATGATCGAAAGCCGGCTGGGGTCCGCGCGGACCCCAAAAGAAAATCAGATATAATTTTTTTTATAAATGGTAGAAACGGAATTTTCTGCACTGTATTGAGAGACAACTTTGTGGGCGACAATTACCTAAAATTTCAGAAAAAAATCTTTAGAAACAAAAAAGATAGTACAGAATATATAGTGCTGGGGTCCGCGCGGACCCCAGGTGTACTGTTTAGGGTTAATGCATACATTTCCAGTGCTATCCAAATTCCACTTGCACACAGGAAAATACCTTATCTAAAATTTAGATATTGATAATTGAAGCATATCTGTACCACAATTAAAAATCACTTGTCATTTTCCAAGCATTTAAACCTGTTAGTTCCTTCAATCTTACTTAGTATTTGCCCTTGAACTTGTCAATCAACAATGTTTAGAACTTTATGTAGTGCAAATATATTTTCACCGCTAACTGTGTATTGCATAGAGGAATCGCCTCATTAACATAAACTGCATAGGGTGCAAAATTGCACCACAATGAAAAGTTTTCACACTCAAATGTCAATTAGCATATAAACAATTGGCAAAGTTTGGAAGTTAACATCAAGACATGATCAACTTGTGAAAAATAACAACACAGCTCATCAAATGCACAAAAGAAAAAAAAACACATATTGGGTGCACAACAGAACTGGATATGACAAATTATGCAACACAGTTTTGCAGACAGTTGGTGCAATCCAACATCAGCTGACCCTGCATATGCAAACTGTGACGTCAGTGGTGCTATTGTCCCCTGCAATCTGGCACCAGTCTGTGTCTGGGTGGAGGCAAATGGCCTACAGGTCAACTAAGACCTTTTGGCAGCTTAAAAATCAGGACAAATCGGCCAAAAACGGTGGTCGCTTGGTCTGGAAACAACTTGGGTAGAATATATGACATGTTGGGACAATTTGTGATATTTTTTCACCGAGTAGAAAGGGTTTTGGAGGGGGTTTAAACGATCAGCCGGCTCGCAAATTTGACCAGGCTGGCCTGGTGACAGGTTTGCATACCATTGTCATGGAAGCAAGACGGGCTAGCTGTAGCGTCTGGGGGAAAATTTCCAAACCATGGATCCGCCCCTGATCAAGGGAAAATTTGCCTTGAGTCCGTGACATTCGATGACGAAAATCGATCTACGGATTTTCCTCTCTTCGTTCAGGACTGCGCCACAGCTTTTTACTATAACGTCATCACCCGCCTCTAAAATTGGGTTACGTTTCTTTCTCGGAAGGTCGGGGGAAAACTGGCGAGCTGTGGGGATGGAAAATCTTGAGGAAAAACAGGGGAAAATCTACGCCCAGTTGGGAGTGAATTCAGGGCAGAGCTAGCTGTCAGCTGACCCGTTGGCTGACTGAACCGCATCCGTTGCGGATATACGTGGAAGATATTCCCCTGGTACACCGGCGAAAATTTACAGTCAAAACCCAACTTTCCCAGAATTAAGCGACGAAATTACTCCAAAATGCCGCCAAACGGGCGATCCAGAAAAAAATCTGAGCGGAATTGGTGAAAAGAGGTCGCGCAGTGGCGAGCCAAACCGGGCGGGGTGCCGGCTACGTGGCAGATAGGCATAAATTTGCAGACGATATTTGGGGTGACATAATTGCGGAACTTTTTTGCGGCTTGCGAGAGAAAGAGAGAACGGGCCCCACCTTTCTCTGCTTCGGTGTAGAGGGAGTGGCACTCCCGAAGGATGCGCTCGTTGACGGTAGTGGTGGCGGCGTCGACGGGATTCGCCGTGGCGCGCTGCCGAACCTTGCCTGACATTGTTGGTGCGACGCAGCCTGCCGAGATGGTGGTGGAGTCCGCCCGGCGAGCCGGCTAAAGGTGACAACATGGCGGATGTCTTACGCAATCGGAGGGCACTGCCAGGGGGTTTTCGGTATGCCTGATAGCGGGCAAGTGCGTCACACTCTTGGGTGCGGTATTATCTTCAAGCAGAAGTTGGAAGGGGCGATTTGAACGGTCTCTATCAAACGGTAGCTTCCACCAGGCCTTTCTACGGGAATACGGATCGTAGAATTCGGCAAAAAAAGAGAGTAAAATTGGCCAAGGGAGTCCGGCCGCGGGGAGGTAGTTTCTTTCCCTCCGAAGCGGCCAGTCAAACCTACAAGGCGGTCAAACTCAAATATTCTTTATATAGCCAGCGCAGTTAGTCTGGTAGAGACTATTAAACGGTTTCTCTTGAACGTTTTATAAACGTTCTATAGAAATCCAGACGAGTAAAATAACGTAGAATTAGAAAATAAAAGTCTTTGAATAATCCGTTTGAAATTGAATCTTTCTTCCGAATATCTGCTTGAAGATTTGGGTGTGGCAAGTTAGATAGTGGCGCACTGCGGTTTCGCCGTTTTGAGATTCAAGGTGCGTTACTACGAGCAGATATGTTATATAAGGTAACAATTTTTTAATACTTTTCTTTTTTCTTTTTGTGAATGTTTTTTTAAGACTATTTTTCCTCCTGCTTCAACAGAATAAGCGATCTGACGCGCGGTAATAAAAAAGATAACTTTCTAAGAGACAACACGTTATTGGCAAGGGTCATCCATAGCAAGTCGGCGGGTTTTTCAACGGACAATCTTAAGCCAAAACGAATGAATAAATGATATCATAAATGGATGAATGAATTCTTATCACATCATTCTCGAGTCCCATTTTCTTGTGCAAAATATCTTCAGTTTGAGAAAACTGCTTGTAAAAAAGCCTTTACATCATTTTATCTGATCATTCTAAACTTTATTCACGAATCAACTTCAGCATCATCATTCACAAAACGTCACGATCTTCCCGCCCTCACATCTGCTTGAAGATCGAGGAAATTTCATAGCCTCTACCAGGCTTCGGCAGCGGCTGAAAAAAAGAGAGAAGAAATTGAACAAATAGACAGATGACATGCCAGGGGAGTTGGTCCGTTTAAAGAGTACATTCGGGTGGGGCAAATGTACAGTATTCCTTTAGTGGACCAATTCTCCTGGCATATCATCTGTCTATTTGGTCAATTTCTACTCTTCCCAGCCGCTTCCGAAGCCTGGTAGAGGCTACACGTAGGAATTCATGTGATTGGCATTTGGTATCTGATCATGCGCCATGGATGCTTTCCAGTCACGGTGCATCAATATGTAATACAGCAGATAGATCGGCCCATAGTGAATATCTATTGCAATATTTACCCAATTATATGCACAAGCAACAGTTTTTTTTGGTGACCTGCGGCTCCATAATATCGGTGTGGCGTTACATGTAGTATGTATGTAGGTGTGACAATGGTAACGTTATATCTTCATAGACTTTTCAATATGCGCGATTTTTATCTTTTCCTTTTATATTTCCCAAAAATATTATCTTTGAAAATTTCAATCAAAAGTCATCTTCAATCGTCAAAAATTTGCAAAAAACTCACAATTTTGTCCGAAAAAATCGCGGACGCGTGAAATTCGATCCGGCTGCGCCATGGGTCACCTTCCGCAGAAACGTGACCTAGTTTTAAAACGCTGACGTGCGGCGATATCCTCCATACACAGCCTCGCACAGTGTTGGTTGTTGGGTACGCTTTTCACATCGCTAAACATTTACAATGATAAAAATATAGCGGACATTTTAGGTATAAATACAGTCAACATGACGAGAAACAAACTGTAAAAGTTACAATTTAACGCTAAAACAGCTAAAATCTGACTGGTCACCTTTGACCTCAAAACAGCTGATCACACATGACCTGTGGTGACCCCAGGCTCCAGACGTGGGTAGCTGTCTACACTCAAAATTGATTAAAAAATCGCGAAAAAACGAAAGAATTTTGTTCAGCTGAGAACCACAGCTTTTTGACAGGATGCCCAAAGAAGATCAAGAGGTGAACAAACTGTGGTTTTGTTTCTGTAACGTTTTTGTGCCAAAAATGTCGTACTACGATACGGCGAAGGGGGAGGGGGGCACTCGTGCCATATGTCGGTGAACTTGAATGGAACCAGGGAGGTTAATCTTTGACATTCCCTGCTTGTGCGATGTTTACAAATCGTGTGTGGAGAATGTTTTTTTGCCTGAAATGGATAAACTTTGTTTTGAGACATAGGAATTTCAGTTTGTCAAACTATAAGTTATATAACTAGAGTCAAAGTCAAAATTATATTTATTTTCTGGTCAGTTTATTATGTGGTAAGTTAAGTCAATCATGTCCAATAGCATACTGATATCAGTGAGGCTAAAATGCAATGTCACTGATTGAAAACGGTTGCTTGTTTTGGTCCTAGCTATTTAGTGGTGGTACCAAAAAATAAATGGACTCCACACATAGCTAAGTGTTTGGGGGCTGTTTCAAACACTTCAAGTATGAAATGGCAATGAATGTCGATATGAAACAGAGATTTCCTCATCCAGAAATTATTGATAATGTTTTTGTAAGAAACAGGAGGAGCCAGTAAAAACCCCACAGGCACTGGTCCCGGGCCGGGGTTCGAACCCTGGACAACCTCCCGGGCCCCAGTCAGACACTCTAACCGCTCGGCCGAAAAGGTCTAGACCTGTTTGCCGGATCAGTTGGTAGCACCTATAAACCCCCCACTGTTACATAGTCTTAAGATGTTGTGTCGCTGTTCCACAGGAGGAGCTTGAGGTCTTGAAGTCGATCTACGAGTCAGACGAGTGCTTTAAGGAAGTCAACAGCACGACCTTCCAGTATAGAGTAAGATCATCCTTCTGTATCTGAGCTAATTGTTAATTGTAAATAAGTAAGTTTTAAAATCTTATGTATGACATAGAAACTTGAATAATTGAATGCCCAGGTATGTGAAGATATACTAGTACTTGTTAGGATCTAGGAGAATTGGCTATTCTATCGGTAGACATATCCCGATTGGAATCTCTGCCAACAGAAACTTTGATCATGATGCTGTTAATCAATCAGACCCACGCCAAACCCAGGCTGCCAGCTCACGAACCCAAAGCACTAACCACAAGGCCAAAATGTCTGGACCTCATCTCTAGAGGCAGAGACTCTGATCAAGCTATATGAGTGTCTATTACAGTGTAACTGTGTAGCCTGGGTGCCAGACCCATAGCACACTGGACAGAAAGTATCTCAGTGAGCACTGAGAAACTCTATGATCTGTATCCAGTGTGCTATGGGTCTGGCACCCAGGCTACACAGTTACACTGTAATAGACACTCATATAGCTTGATCAGAGTCTCTGCCTCTAGAGATGAATCTGCCCATCGAGATCTTGATCGGAGTCTCTCTTGACAAAGACTGCAATTGGGATCTCAGCTGGTAGAATTGATCCTGACATATATTAAACATGTAACGTTATATATCTTAGCATGAAAGTTGATCTGTGTCGGTACAAGTCATTATGAAATAAAGACTAAGCTTTAACTTCCAACACTAAATACAAAGAATTAGGACATACCCCTGTAAGTCCCAATTCTTTGTACAATGTACTTAGTGTTGGAAGTTAAAGCTTATAAATAGTCTTTATTTCATAATGTATATATCTGTTGTCCATTATATTATCTTGACTCTTGTGTTCCCTGTAGATAGGAGAGGAAGGAGAAGGAATGTCATTCCTTCTGGAAGTATCCTGGGGTGAAGACTACCCTGAAGTCACCCCCAACATGAGTCTGGATGCCTTCTACAACAATCACATGTGGGTGCAGCTACCACTGTCTGTTTCATCTGCTTCTTCATTACAAGTACTAGCATGTTGGCAGAATATACTGCACCAGCGCGAAACCGTAATATATTGTGCATAGCACTTTGGCAGAATGTCCCATATAAGGTTGTATTCGCACATATAAGGTTAACACTCCATCTGTAGTTTCCAAATGTTATGTCGGAAAATATATCTTCTGCAACAGGCAAAATTCTAATGCAAGGTTGACCAAAAATCCAACGAAAAATGTGAAAAATCGGGATTCTGCGCAGGCGCAGTACGTTCTGCCGACGTGCTACATGTACTGCTTAGTGCCATTTCTAGCCATAGCTCATGTGTTAGTTACAAGTGACTGACCAGTACATATAAACATAAGAAAGGATGAAGTGATAAAGCCGTTGAATCTTTTCGAACTGGATAAATTGAAATTTTAATCCGTAAACGTTTCAGGTACCATCCAGTACCTTTCATCAGTACAGAAAAAAAAAATTCAATTTATCCAGTTCGAAAAGATTCAACGGCTTTATCACTTTATCTTTATCCTGGATGATTATTACCTTCACCAACGTATAAGAAAGGATGATTTGAAAAAACGCACACTTTTATATTTTTAATAGTAATGTTAACTGATTTCGTGTGTGTAAAAGACAAGTGATCATGAGATTAATGTTCATCTTCTCTTTCATCTACAGACACAGGGAAATTAAAGATGATATTTTACAAAGACTAGGAGAACAGGTGAGTCAACTTCTGGTTTATGATGATGATGAATGGTTTACTAAAATATAAATCACTCGATGAATGGTTTATGATGATGATGAATGGTTTATTGACATACAAATCCATCGCAGCCCGCAGGGATTCCGATTACAAATATTTTCAGAGTTCAATTCAAATTAAAACAATGGGTCAATTATCATATAAGTATAAAAGGAATAACGTTGATGAATAAAATTTAGCATTTATACAATAATACGATTATCAGACGGCATTAAAAGCTTAATCCTTAAAAACATTAACTATTTGATTAAGTATTTAAAAGGCGAACAATGTACGCTATTGGGGAGTTCCTGAGTCGATCAGTCCTACATTTAATTGGTCGATACTTGTCTCTGTTTCTGGTTGTTCTATCGTGGTAGTCCGAACCCTTTGGTGGCAGCATTGACGGTGTGTGGGATTCTAAATGAGTCCCGAACTTGAGACACAGTTTCTGCCGGCGGTCTGAGAGCAACGGAAGGTTTAAGTCTGTCCTGCCTTGCTCGTAGCTAGTGAAACGCCTTCCCAGTATTGTCCGAACTGCTCTCAGTTGTACAGCTTCGAGTTTGTCCGACTGTGCACAGGTGAGCCCCGGGTGCCAGACTGGCGCGCAGTATTCCAACACTGGTCGTACGAAGGATGTGTATATAGTGACGAGGTCTACGGTGGGAAGATTGAAGTGTTTGAGTTTCCGTAGGAAGAAGAGGCGTCCGTTAGCCTTTCCTACCATTTTAGTAACCTGCCTGAAGGCTGAATTGCTGATTCAGTACAATACAATCATTACTCAAAAGCTTGTTCTAAAATAAAACATAAAGTTGGTATCATCATACCACAATAAACACATACATTCGTAAGATCTGAAGGTAACTACATTCTGGTAATCATGGCTCCCACCGTTGAGTCCTTCCGCCCCCCCCCCCCTAAAGTGCCCCAATAGGGGCTATATGGGGGTGTAGCCGGGGCTCGTACAACATCTTAGAGCCCCGGCAAAGATGAAGATGAAGACATTGTAGCATAATACAATATACAAAATTGTGGCGATAATTGTTGGCTGCATGTGGAATATCCAATACCCAATCTATTAGAAGGCAATTTGACAGTGTGTGTTATCTTCTGTTGCAGGCAGAAGAAAACCTGGGCCTTGCCATGACATTTACGTTGATCGAGTGGGCGAAGGAGAACAGGGAGGACCTGATGGCCAAACAACTACATATACTGGAGAATAAGGTAAGGACCAGAAGGGATTGTGGGAAGTACTACCTTAGTAGGAGGCTAGGGAACAAGGTGAGGTCACACCAAAGTAATTTATTGGTTCTCTGATTCACCTGTTTCATTTTTTGTCCGAGTTACAAAAAAAGAAAAGGAAATTACATTTATCAATCATGGGACATATCAAATGCTTATATATAGTACATGTAGTCATACAAGTACCATGTTGTTGAATTCTAAAGTCCTTGTCTTCTTTTTAAATGAAACTTAATGTTAGTCATGTTGTAAAAATTAAAAAAATTCTCATGATTGTTTTAATGTCTAAATTTCACAGACAGAAAATGTCTAAATTTCACAGACAGAAAAGGCTGTAGACTGACATTTGGATGGATAATAACACTCACAGACCAAATGTGCATCACAGAAATGCTAACGACGTGCAATGTGCTTCCAAATTGGCTGGCAGAAGTATTATAAACTAGAAAGGTAACATTTGCAAAGAAAATGCATAATGTTTACATTTGCATATGGTCTGCTCTGGTAATTCTTACTCTAACACATTCATATATATGGTGAGAGGTGTCTAAATCCCTCCTGCTTTAAAATTGCAACATGATGTAATGAGGAATAACATGAGGAATAACAGTAGCACAGACTAACTGAGCATCACAGCAATTCTAACGACGTGCTATGTGCTCCCAAATTGGCTGGCAGATTTTGTAATCAAAGTCTGGAGACCAATTAGACCAGTGCAGATTACTGTCTTTTCATCGATGTGTCGGGGGAGAGACAACTCTGGTCATACTAATGCATTAATGTGGTTCTCACAACTATAGATTTTATTGAGGGTCTGCATGGAGTATCCTTAGCCTCCGTAGCAGGCTTATAGAACTGGGGGTTTGGTGGTCTTTGGCTGCTTTCTGATTAATTCAACCAGGCCAGCTATGTTGTCCATATGCAATCAGAAAATAGCACATAAAAGATCCCAAAGACCATGAAGACCCCCCAAACCCCCATTTTTTAGCATGCTATGGAGGCTAGGATATCCTGACATAATACTACAGACAAGATTCGTAGTATTACTAAGTACAGTGGCCCTCTGTTTATTACTTATAGTATTAGTACATTGCTTGAAAAGAGAATCAAGAAAACAATTATTTGGATTGAACATACATTGGGATCTGCTGAAATTCTCCTACATAATCTGAACACCAGATCTACATTAACTTCAAAGGAGAGAAAATGTGTAGAACTGCAGTCTGGTATCCTGACAGCTTGTGGCTTATTTGGGTACATCAGATAGACTGGGACACAGGAATGAAATTCATGGTCTCTGAGAGATATTCTAAACTGGAAGATTAAAAAGATAAAGAGTCAGTGGGGAAACATGCCCGTAGCCAGGGGGGGTTCGGGGGTTCGGAAGGCCCAAAGGTCCACTTTTTGGTCCACTTTTTATGTAAAGGTCCACTTTTTGGTCCACTTTTTATGTTAAGGTCCACTTTTTGGTCCACTTTTTATGTAAAGGTCCAAGATTTTTCTTGAAAAGATGGACTGGAATCGTAGAAAAACTGCTCCCTTTGTCATTAGATAAACATTTTTTTTATTTTTTCTTGGAAATCCTCTCAAAAACGCACGAAATGCCATTTTAGAAGGTTCATTTTTCAAAATTTTCCGGGGGAGCATGCCCCCGGACCCCCCTAGGAACCTCGCGCCTTCGGCCTACGGCGCTCGAGGTCCCCTCTAGCAGTGGGAAGAACCCCCCCATTCAAAATCCTGGCTACGGGCATGGGAAAATCTGTACAATTTCAGGGAGTGAATATGGCCTGAGATGCAAGAATCCTAGTCCTCTGTTTTCATGTTGGGATTTGGGATGTGAAAGAAAGTGATCTCGAACCAGTTTAGCTCACTGTAGAGCTAATCTCCCACTGGTCGTGACAGAGAAGACAGACGCTATGTACAGTATTTACAGGTTCATTGTACCGGGGAAACTCCCCTAGCTCTTTTCGACAAGCGCAATGAACAGTGGACTATGGCTTAGTGTCCCGTCCGAAGGACTGCAACCCTAAACAGTAGCGTGCATGTCGGGTGAGTGACATCAGCCGGAATTCGAACTCCCAACCTCTTAGTCCAGAGGCAGGATTGCTAATTACTTCCAATCACTTCTCTTATGTCTGTTCCAGAGAATAGAAGGTGAGACTAAGGCCCAGGAGAGTCCAGAGAGACAAGTTGACCAGGGGGGCGGGAATAAGAAAGAGAAGAAGGAACAGCTCACCAAGGCACAGAAGAGGAGAATAGCTGATAGAACAGGTAAAATGACATGATGGGAGATACTAGTATTAGTACGATAGGATGTTCATGTACTGATCTTAGAGCTGGTAATTATGTACATGTACCACCTGCATATGCTGGTCAGTGCAGGTAAAATTGGAGCCAAGTTTGCTGGTATTTCTGGTACTGGCTTGATATGTGTTCACTGTTGTATACTTAGTATAATCTATATAAATTTTTGTTTGCTGTATTGACTGTCACCTAAGAAGTAATAATTGATTTACATGTATAGCAAATTACTAGTAGTTTCTGAACACTTTTTCATGTGATCCATACTTCCTAAATTCAGAGCGGTGCAGGTAAAATTTGTCTGGTGCAGGTAATTTTTGATGTTACCTGCACAGGTATGTATAAAAAAAAGTATTTTCAGCCGTGAATGTGATTTTGACGTCCCAACTGCAACTTTGTTACATATCTAACCTGAAATGACCCTGTGATTCTCTGTGTGACTCCCAGATCACAGAGGGGAGAGGCCCAGGGGCTGGGACTGGGTGGATGTCGTCAAACATGTAAGTCTGCACAAAAACTCGCTCATTTTAATCTCTAAGCAGATCTTATGGTGGCAAGACAGTATCCATTGGCCAGAGGAGTGTCCAGCAACCTTCGGTGGCAGTACAAACTCCTCTGGCTAATGGATACTGTCTTGCAACCAAAAGGGATCTGATTTGAGATTAGCTGATTTCATTCTGAGAGGTGTAAGTTGTAAAAGCAGAAAAATTTATGGTCTATGGTCTTGGATTTCTTTAGGAAAAAGTTACACTGTGACTGATAACAAGAATATAATTGAAAAGTAATTTACTAAATCAGTTGTAAAACATGATAAATTTTGGCTTGGATTTTATATCAGAAGTGGATAAATTCATACAATTTTTGAACACCTCAATCCTGGGTTGATACCGGTAACTCATATAACTGGACAGGACCTGGTATAGTCTTGGATTCTTGTTCTATTCTAAGCTGGTATTAGGTAACAGTACTTGGAACATCCGCCAGTTCATAAGTCATTTTGTAAGTGTGTAATTGTGTTGTCTGTTTTCCTAACAGCTCAGCAAAACAGGAGGTGGAAAACAGGACGGCTGAGTGTAAGACGACTTCACAGCAAAACTGTACATGGAGAAACAACAGGACCTCTTCATGTGGACAGGAGGATATCCTTTCTTCAAGAGTCTTAGCTTTTGTACAGTTAAGACAAAACTAGCCTGGTAGCCATACCATAATTGAGAGCTCCCCAGTATTTCTAGCCTCTACCAGGCTTTAGGAAGCGGGTGGAAAAAGTAGTAAAAATTGTCCAAATAGACAAATAAAATATCAAGGAGGTTGGTCCCCTCAAGAGTACGATTTGCCAATTCTCTCATTATCATTATCTGTCCATTGGGCCAATTTCTACTTCTCTTTCTAGCTGGTTCACTAAGCCTGGTAGAGGACGTGGTATCTCTACAGCACTGGGAAGTGTTGCCCAGGTGAATTCGCTTGTGTTAGGGAATTTTTAAGGCATTTAGTTTCAAATATTGCTCTACCCCAAGAGGATTTGTGAAGAATGGTTACCAGGCGAATACAAAACTGTCCACATATTCTTTCTTAAAATCTAACACCACCTGAGAGATTCTATAACACAAGGCTTTTTCTCATGCTCTATCTGTGTCATATTTATTATATAATCACCATTATTTTATCAAGGAAAGTGCAGTAATAATTTTGCTTATGAGGCAATGTAATGACAATAATCTTATAGTGTAGCATATTTTGAATTTCTGAGGCATGAAATGTAAATGAAATTGGCTGGAGTCTATCCACTATTGTGTGCTTCCAGCACAATTATGATCATGTACCATTCAGAATGTGTATTTAGCACATACAAATTTGATACATGTACCAATTGTTCAACTATTTACTGAACTTGAATTATAATTTTGTTCTTCGCCGTGCATTCAAAGATTTTGTAATGGTATGGTCACTCCAGGGCTAGCCAAAATGTGGCCAGGGCCAATATACATGCATAGGCTAACTTCTCAGCTCCAGGGCTAGCCTGGGTGCCAGACTGTTGCCAGGGCCAGTATACAGGCGAGCTCCTCAGCTCCAGGGATAGCCTGGGTGCTAGACTGTTGCCAGAGCCAGTATACAGGCCAGTTCCATGACTGCAGGGCTAGCCTGGGTACCAGACTGTTGCCAGGGCTAGCCTGGGTGCCAGACTGTTGCCAGGGCCAGTATACAGTACAGGCTAGCTCTTCCAAGGCCAACATGTCCCCAAGGAAATTCTACCATAGATACTCCTGAGCTCTGGGTCCGAGGGGCTGGCCTATGTACTGGCCCTGGCAACAGTCTGGTATCCAGGCTACAGGCCCTACAAAAGCAAAAAAAAAAGTAGAGAAAAGCACACTCAATCAGTGATCTCAGTGATTTTAATTTACAGCAGCGTAATTTCAACATGACATGCGCAAAATACCAGAATAGAGAAACAACACCACTTATTACAGGGGATCCCATACACCAAATAGTTATTTAAATGTGAACAATGAAAAATACAAGTCTTCCCCACAATATATACCACATTTCATTTTCTGTAGTGAAAAAAACAAGAATAACATTAATTTTCCTTTCTTACGGTTATTTTTTTTAACCTTCTCCCTGATGCCTAAGCCAGTAACCAATACAAATTTGGTGCTAGACAGCTACCTCAGCAGGCTGAAGGTTAATAAGCCCTGCATGTGACGCTTAACTTTCGGTGGAGCAAATTACAAACTGTATCACATGTTGGGTAGCAGAAGAAATAAGTACACCCAGTCCCTGAATTTGGTAAATACACATCCTCTCAATTTTTCACTTTTATTTATTGCATACAGAATGTGTGAACCAAAATGTTGTATCTATAAAAAAGGGTTGAGCCAAAAAATTCTGTTTTGTTTGGTAACTATTTTGTGGCTACGATTCAAATCCTAGCTTACGGTAATGTACTGTATTTGGTATAACACAATTTTTGGGTGCTGAGTTTTAAAAGGGTTGATCACTTTCAGTGCTTCTCTTTGAACTGTTCGACATCATGCAGCAGACCTAATTTGTTTTAACCTTGGGCTATTCAAAGAAAAAACAATATATTTCCTACGACTCATGAATACATGAATGAGTTTTCCTAGAAAAGGGCTTTAGAGGTGTATGACTTACTAGGGTTTAAACATGACCTGCGGACAAAGTGTTCTTACAATATGCCGAAGGAACATCTAGTTATGCTGAGGTCACAATTCCCACACGGGGCCCGGCCGGGCAGCTTTTGGGAACAGAATGTACGATATAAAAGACAACAAAACACAGAAACGTTTTTAATGATAATCATGGGCACTATTTTTGTATATTCTTGATACGAATTGTTAATTTTTCGTTCTAATAAACATCCCGGCCGGGCCCCGGTTCGGAAATGTGACCTAAGCATTAGCCTGGGTGCCATCCTCTGTAGTTTCTGCCCGCTCCCTAATGTCGCTGGCTACCACCGTCTAGTTGCTTACAACACACAACAGTTTACTTCCAGAAAATTGGAAATTTGTAAACCTGAAACAACACTACTGAAAGAAAAATTAAGATATTACTACTGTGCCATACACACTCTTTTTCCCTTGCAGTCCAAGACTGAAGAACAGCCAAATATGTACCAGTATTTTTCATGCAGCTTTTGTCTAAACACACAGAATCAGTGCTTCAGCTTCTGTCACTTTAAACAAAGGTTACTCCAAAAGAGAAATAAAAATTAACCTTAAGTTTTTTGTGGCATATTCAGTATCAATGGGGAAAATCCAGGGTTTTACCCAGATGACTTGTTTTTGGGACTGTAACTTGAAATAGGATAACTTACTACTAGAGCTACACACAAAAAATTAACATTTTTTCTCTGTTTATAAGATATAAATCTCAACAAAAACTGACTGAAGAAGGGTTTAAAAACAGTGGATTTGTTTGAGCCTTACACAGAAAAGGCAGATGTTCTCTCTGTTTTAGAGGTATCCTCTTGTAACTTTTTACTTCAAAATGTTCAAGGACCAAGAAATAAAAGGCATGGCTTTGACTGAAGTATATTTCAAGTACCCCAGAAGCAGCCTCTTCTGGATAAAACCGAGGATTGGTACATCTTAGACTTGAGCATTCAGAAACTGAAGAAGAACCTTGAATATTAATAATGATTCTATTTTCAAGACAAGCAGTGCATGTTGGAAAAGAGCGAAAAATCTGCTTTAGTTTCTTTGGATCAAACACAAATTCCTATCATTGATGTAAAACAGATACTTTCCAAACTGTGCATATTAAATGTGCTCTCTTTGAGACCCATACTTTTACAAAAACACATTAGCTACATTGAACATATATATAGATATTTCTTGTGTTAATTTTCAAGTTGTTTGGAGCAATGTTAATGCCCCCCTCCCCATAGTCCCAGTTTCAAATAACCAATCAAAAATCCAGTGCTACAGCTAACTACCATATCATTACATCGGTATCTTTTCCATGGAATAACTTTTATGATCCACCATTTTTACAACTTAACAATTCACCAGTTTCTCATCTTCCAAGTGACCAAAAAGTATTTAAACCTCATGCAATGTGCAACGGTGTAACTGCCCCAAAAACGTGGTATTATTAAACATTTACTCACACCCATGTGTCAAAAAAGAATGACGAAAATGTTTTCTACTTGCAGCAAAGGTGTGTTGATGACAAAGATATTCCTCTCTCCATTTGTGCAGAAGACAGTTCCTGGTGACTATCAGAAGTTTGAAAGGACTAAGTATCACTTGTGTAACTCCTTCCCATTATGTGGACAAATGTTTGGCCACACCCTAGGGGTGGTGCCATTCTAAATTTTTCTATGTGGCCCTGAGTCCCTGTTACAGTGACTGGGCTATCTGTAGCTTTTTTTCTTTTAGCATAAAACAAGCTCTACCCAAATTTTCAACTACTAGTATCGTGTGAGTCTTCCTCAGTGCGTGACCTCTGACACATGACCCCTGACATGACCTCTGACCTCCAGGTCACATGACAACAGCAATGGGTCAGTATCCCTGAGGAGGGCTGCAGCGACCATCGAAAGTTTGGGTAGGTCCTGTTTCGCTTCGGACCAAAAAGAAATCTTTCCACAAAGTCTTTTTTTTACCAACATGGAGCAACGTTTCTGCAAGGATTATTGAAATTGAAAAGACGACACTGGTGATGCAGGTACGTCCGACAGGATAGCTTTAAGATTGACATCTACACCTTTAGGAACAATTTCAACTACAGGACAACGGGGTTAAGTCTGGAGCGGGGGAGCGCGTCAAGGGTCCGCGGGTCGCTTCTCGCCGTGTTTTTTTGTGTATTCTTCCGCGCTCTTCAAGAACTTCTTCCTGTCTTTCGTGTATTCTTCGGCGAGGTCGCCCCGTAGCGGGTGTTCCGGCTCGGGGTCGTTCACCAGCGCTACCAGCGCGTTGATAACTGGAGAAAATTAAACAAAGTCAAAGTTTATTGAACATAATTGTAACAGGTACAGTATAAGGCAAAGTATTTTTCTTACATAGATTCTAAGCTATGCAATATTGATATAAGACAAGATAACTGGTGAAAATTGAACCCAGTCAAAGTTTATCGAACAACATCGATGAAGGTTAGAAATCAATGAGATCCACAGGAAAACTGTTACTCTTGCAGTTTGATTTTGGGGATTACTTTCAAAATCTACCCAGTTGCTTGAGTCCCTGGTCAAAGAATTTTGACCACTCTACCTTTATGCCAAGTTTCAATTGTCATTTGGCCAAAGAATGAAGGAATTGAATAAGTTGAACGAAATGGCAGGAGAAGGAGGAGGAGAAGAAATACGAGGGAAAACAATATGTTTCATCCATACCTACATGTATGTATGGTATGGCCAGAAATATAAAAAAGATGTTGCCCAGCCTACCTTGGTCGGTCCTGGTGGCAGGTTTCCAGTTCTCTGCACTGATGATGGGCAGGCAGACTTGGCCCTTCTCGTCTATGTTGGGGTGGTAGATTTTCGTCTTGAAGGTGATCCTGGGCGGCTTGAAGGGGTACTCTGCGGGGAAGACTATCTCGATCTTAAACGCACCCCTGTTGTACGGTGGGCTGTCCTGGGGAGATTAATCAATCAACAAACCAATCATTCAATCAACTGTAACAACTGTAACTGATATAATGTATGGTAAATAGGTTAACAGTACTGTATAACATGTATCATGCCGAAGACATGGTAACATAAAATTCACCTTCTTTGCTTAGGGACTGTACGATATTTACCGGGGAGGGGGGGCCGGTCGTCCGGGGGTAGCGTAAAAAAATTTTCCTAGGCCCTCCCCCCAGGTCAAAAAAATTTTTCCTAGGCCCTCCCCCCGGCTCAAAAAATTTTTCCTAGGCCCTCCCCCCGGAGTGAATCATAGAGAGTGAAATTTCGTATGGGGATGACGAGATTTTGATTGAAAATTTTCCCCGCATGAAGCGCCGAAGGCGCGAGCTATCGCGCCGCAGGCGCCACTAGAGCCCGAGTAGGCCCGGCTTTTTGGGGGTGGGGCGGGGGATGTCCCCCCGGAAAAATTTTGAAATTCAACCCATGTTTTGCATGTTGAGGGGCAAATTTGGCAGCACAAATTTCGCTGGTACGTCGAACTATAAATTTAAAGTCAGTAACGTTACGGTCAGTCAGTGTAATCGAAATAATCCTCTATCTAGCCTACCTTTCGTCCGCGTCTTCCGCGTCAATTTTATTACAAACAGGGAAACAATATTGCCAAGTTACGTGTTGTTTTCAATTAACTTTGGAGGGACATAGATGTAAATGTTAAAATAGTCCTTGGTTTAATAAAAATACCAAATTAATCCGTCGACATCCGACATCAGTCCACGCCGAGAAGTTCGAGCGAGCTGCGAGGCGGGACCAGCGGGACCTTTGCCGACGCACGCACGCACACCACTGGGAAGGGTGCGTTGAACGGCGAAAATTAATTTTAAAAATCTTCAGACAAGCCTTCCCTACATTTTTGATCGGTATCGTTTCGATTGCCGCGATTGACGCGATTTTAATCCATGTAATTTGGCTGTGTAGTCCAGTTTCGCCGATTCTGGCGAAAATGCAAGATTTTGAAGGGGACTGTGGGAGATTTGGGCGAATACATTATAATAATAGGGATGGATATTATTGGAACGTAAAATTTTGCCGATTCTAATGACCTGCAAATCGCTACGATATGTATGGACAGACGTTTAATCATGTTTTGAACGTGTATAAAAACGTTGTAGAGTTAAAGGGATCTTGGAAAAAAAATTTACCTAGGCCCTCCCCCAAATTTAAATATTTTTTCCTAGGCCCTCCCCCCGGCTCAAAATTTTTTTCCTAGGCCCTCCCCCCTCAGACGACCGGCCCTCCCCCCCCGGTAAATATCGTACAGTCCCTTAGTTAGACTTAGAGTTAGAGTATGGTATTAAACCTACAGTGGAATCAGGATGGGCTATATGACTTATCTCCAAGCAGAAGTTTGGGTTTTGGATTATTCTTGGCGTGTTCTTTAGGCTGTTTTATCGGGGTTTCTTTTTTGCACTGGAATTTTTCTTGGCGTAAGAAAAATTCCAAACCTCTGCTCGGAGAGTATATATGATGAGTAGATTTAAGGACATCATCAGAATGTTAACATAATTTGTTCCACTAGACTGAACAAAATGCCTAAGAGCCCAAAATCTTATCATTTCGAGGTCTCATAAAAGACGTACCCACCCACCAAGTTTCATGACAATGCATAAAAAGCTTATTGAGTTATCACGCTAAACCACAAACACATATGTATATACATATACATGCATACAAACAAACATTACCAAAAACATAACCTTCTTGGTGAAGGTAACAAAGAAACAAATGTACTTACGGGCACAATGAGCCCCTGCCAGAGAAGCATGTTGGATTCATCGACCTGGATGTCTCGGAATGACTTTATACCATTCTGGCGCATTTGAGTAAGTTCCTACAAGAGTGGACAATGAAAAACGTTAAGACAAATCAAAATTCTGTAAAATCCACACAAATTGTGTGTGTATGTGTGTGTGTGTTTGTATGTGTGTGTGTGTGTGTGTGTGTGTGTGTATCACGGTGTGTGTGTATGTTTGTGTGTACATGTGTGTGGGGTGTCTGTGTGTGTGTGTGTGTGTGATGAAAGCTCCTTGGTGAGAGAGAGTCTGTTTGTCAATGTGTGCATTTGTGTGTGTGTGTTTGCGTGTGTGTGTGTGTGTGCATTTGTGTGTGTGTGCAAGCATGTTTGTGTCTGTGTGTGTGTGTGTGTGTTCGAGTATCAAAAGCTTACTGTACAATACATGTACATGCTGGAAATTTCTGGAACTTCTGGATTTGAATCTACTGATAATGATATTCTATTCATATTATTATTTATACACACACAGACAATATACATGTATGTAGATGGTTTTTGCTGTTTGACAATTGGTAGCCTTGAGCACTAATCAAGCTGTTACATGCAAATGTCATTCAAAACAATGTTTGAATTGAAAAAGTTTCTTTAACCTGGCATAGTTCAATCGATAGTTGTACGAAAGGGGACCCAATTTTTGGACACGGTCGAAGTCCCAGAAGTTGAAAAAAAGTCACATTACATAACTCACATTTCATTTGTTGAATACGAAATCTACATGAAATAAACATGAATCCATAATAACTGTCATTATGAACAGACAATAATATCACTAACAATTTATGCACTGTCATTCGGCAAACTTTGAGCCCCCCTCCCCACCGTAGGGTGTCTGTGTTTCACTTTCGAGCACGTTACGCATAACAAAAACGGCTGTATCTCCGACCAACGCATAAACCTCGTAGCTAAGAAGGGCTGGGTTCGTCAAAAGTGACTCTATGTAGTATTAAAAAACACACAATAAGTGCCCAAGTTGTGGTGTTCTTTGGTAAAACGGTTTCGAAGTTATCCTGAGCTTTGGCATGCCGCGAATATATTGGGTTGCGACGTGCCGCGCCTCGAACTAACGACGATTTCACAACCGGCATTTCCTGAAAGTTTAACCGCCTCGTACGCGCGTCTTTCGCCACGTACGCCGCCAGAATTCACGAATTCTCAACCCCTAGAGTCTTGTCTACAACGAAAAACGGCTTGGTTTGGAATAAGTGGCGTTGTTCACATTTTTCGAACCGTTTTTTTCTTCGAGTCTTACCTTTTGCAACCTCCGAGTGGCGGCCATGATGACAAGTTCCCAGAATGCCGTGCGACGGGTGGACCCTGTTACACTTCCGGATTATTGTAGTTTTTTGGCAACGCCTCAGAGAACGCACCGTTTCTAATTCTTAGCACAAGTATTATAAACTAGAAAGGTAACATTTGCAAAGCTAAATGCGCAATCTTTACCGTTGCATATGGTCTGCTCTGTTAAGCCTTACTCAAACACATTCATATAAATGGTCAGACAGAGCCTAAATCCCTCCTGCTATAAAATCGCAACATGATGTAACCCAACACCAGTTACCATGGTGATAGCCGTCTGGATCAGGTCATTGACCTTTTTGCTTTGGAGAAGAAGAGGAGGAAACAGAGCAAAAACGATATGTTTTCCTTCGGTAAACATAATAAGTGTTTGTGGAGCATACATGTAATGTCGGGGGTTCAAATCTTAGCATAAATGATAGATGATGATGTTCTGAGCTCTAATCTTCATATGTCATAGCCCAGCAGGTTAGTGTCAACCTGTATACCTTTTGTTAATGGTAGAAGGTGTAACTCATTCATATGCTGACATTGCTGTATTTAACCTCCTTGCTGTAATTCATAACTTATCGTAATTTCTCATGTCATTTATCCATATAAGTGCTTTATCAAAAGAGTTCCATATGTAATAAAACATGTGATACTAGTATGCTGAAATAATGAATTTGAATCTTATATGAAATAAAACGCCAATTTCTTCTGATATCTTTGGAGAATAAGGCTTAGAGTGTGATGTAATCGACAAGACTTTATTGACTGAAAAAAAGCATTCCTACAAATCTTGGCTTTCTTGTGAAAAACATGCTGTCGTAAAACAGTTCTGTGAGTAAATACGAAAGATGAATAAATAAATAAATGAATAACAGTCAAAACAGTAAATGCTATGATCTCTACGTCATTAGAGAAAATGACGTCATTCCAAGTCGTCTTCCACGTCATCAGGAAGCTCGCCATCATCCATTACGTCATCACTATCCACGTACTCGTCATCGTCGTCTTCAGAATCATCATCGATGGCGTCATCAATCTCATCATCATCATCATCATCATCTTCTGCACCAAGAAGATCTTCATCATCATCATCATCATCATCATCTTCGATGTCTTCATCAGAGAATGCGACAGATTTTTGAGGACCCAGCAGTCCCAGTACAGACGCGTCGAGCTCAGCATCTTCGTCGGCCCCCTCCATCTCTTCTTCTTCATCTAGATCTTCTTCATCATCATAATCTTCTTCTTCCTCATCTAGATCGGCGGATTCCTGAGCCGCGTGATCTGCCTCCAGTTCCTCTAGGACTTCCTCCGTCTTTTCATCATCGAGATTGATTGAATCCGCGACAGGTTTGGGCGGCTCTTCAACAATTTCAACTTCTGGAGAATTGTCGGCTACGGGAGCTTTTTGAGGAAACAAGAACGCAGGAGGAACGCTTTCTTCTTCCTTGACGGCCAACAAGACGCCTTCGGCGTCGCCCGCCTTGCTAAGGAAGTAGTTGAGGAGTTCAGGGTTTTCCAAGGCGTCTTGGATCACTGCTCCCAGCAAGGCGTCTTCGCTGATGCCTTGTGCAGATTTTTCGTCCGGTTTTTCTTCCTCTCCGTTGGTTGTACCTTCATCAGGATTTCCTGGTATAGCCTCTTCACCCTCGTCGGTTTTCTGAAAACGGAAGCAAAATATTGTTGACGGTGTTAATTCAGTATCGGGGCTACTCACTGATTTCTTCATACATGTACAGTTTCCTGTACATGTATCAAGTGTATAACTTCTTGATGTGATGCTCATCATATAAACGTTACGGGTATGCAAGGACGAGAAAGTGAACAAGTGGGTGCGTGATTGAGTGTGAGAGAATGAATGAATGAGTGGTTGAAATGATATGAATGAGTGATGACGAGGTAAAATATTAACTGTTTTTGTATAGTGGTTGACGTTAACATGATCGTTTTTCTATGTTTATTTGTTACTCGCTTCTTATATTCTTTTCCATGAAATTCTGCGTTGACCTACCTGGTCTTGTGTGGGACTGATGCGGACCTCGGTGGTCTTGACTGACAGACCCTTCGCGGCGTCGTCTGAATCAGTCCCGGCAGAGTCGTCTGTATCACCCAGCGCCTTGTTCACCTTGTTAATCACCTTAATGAAGTGAACGGTAGGATTTCTTTTAGAAAAGTCTTCCTGATATCTGCATCTGTATAGCCGGCCTAATCGTCCCTCGGCGTAACACACCGGCTGCTGTATACTCTAGTATGGTAGATAGTACTATAGTATGAATTCAGAAGCACGCATTTTCAGATAGCGGTATTAGATAACAGTGTACAACGAAAACAGAACAATACCTATCCACCTAAAAAATGTCAAGACAATCCATATATTCCTTCTCGATTTAATTTATCGTGTTGACAGACACACAGACAGACGGACATGTCCAGACACACATACACACACACGAACGCTACCGAAAACATAACCTTCTTCGCGAAGGTAATTTTATTAAGTTATCAAGTTACCTGGTCGACATCTTGCACAAGAACGTCCGTATCGCCCTCCAAGTCCGACTGAGTGCCGGGCGCGGCGCGAGGGACTCGGTGCAGCAAGGCGGGGCCAGTGGGGATAGCGGGCAGTCTGGGGATGACCAGTACCAGCAATAGCAACGCTACGGGTACACGGAACATTTTGACGCCTTGTAGCGTGACTAAAATACTAGTACGTGAAAAACGATTCGAGGATCAGATGTGGTTGTTCAAACCGTTACGTTGCTTCGGGAAGTTCGGTGTTCTATGGAACAAGTAAGTCGAACAAGCGACCGTACTTTCTATTTCCTTTGTCAAAAATATCTATGTTTTGTATGTTTTGGATATGAATGAACTATTTTTTTCATTGTGAACGTTTAAGTTGGCTTAACGATGATTCGAGTACCTGAGACCACCTTAGTTTCGCATAAATTGATAAATGTTGACTTTGAAACCAGTTTGTTTTATTATTCTGCCCTCTCTTCCAAGTAAGGGTCCATAATTTTTGTAATTTGCCATTGTGAGGATATGTAACATTAAATTTTCTCACACATGTAGGCTCTTGTGTTCTTCCCACATCGACACTGAAGCCTTTGAACGGCGAGGAAAAAAGTTGTAGCCTCTTAGTACCAGGCTTCGGGAGGCGGCTGGAAAGAGTAGAAATCGGCCAAATAGAGAGATAACATGCCGGGGGAGTTTGTCTGCGGGGAGAAAACATTTTGCCGCACAAACTGGCATGATTATCTCTCTATCTAGCCGATTTCTACTCTTTCCAGTTGCCTCCCGAAGCCTGGTAGAGGCTACTACTAGTAAGTTGGATACTAGTATTTCAAAGTTTCGGTGACGTAACGCAACGCCCTCGCGCGAGCGTTCCGATTATTGCATCACGCTGGCCGACGGTTCCCGAAGGTGACGTCATGGTGGCCGAAGTGGCAGCCCAGATTCTCCAGACCGACCAAAGATGGCGGCGGCTGAGCTGCAGTGGATGCCGGATTCCCTATACAATTCCGCCATCACAGCCGTCGTCGACAACTATTCCCGCACCAGGAAGGACGTTAGATCACTACCAGACAACATCCAGTTCGATATTTATTACAAGGTGCGTTGTTTTGGGGTGTAAGGTGGCGTTTTGGGTGGGCGATCGCTGGGGGAATTTTCCGACCCCCAGGTCTTTTGGTTTAATTTCTGGATCGTCGCTACAAAGTGTCAATAAATATGGTTTGCAGCGATCTTATGAAAATGTAGAAGGGCAAAACCCTCTCCGATTCCTTCCTAAGTCGCCAAAAATCGTCTTGAATCTCTTAATCAATGTGTTAACCAGGAGATCAGCAAGATCGACAGATTAAACTAGAAAGGGAAACTCCCAAAATATTTTACTAGATGTGACAGTTCGGAAAATTATTTAGCAGACTTGGAAAGTCACACGATTTTCTACCTAAAATTCGTGAACAAAATCCAGACTCCAAACACATGCCCCACAAGCCTCTTTCACTACAATGTTTTGCTAATATCTACGACTGGATTCCTATGCCATGACTGTCATCATAATTTAAGACCTACCAAATTATGTCTGGTTGGATCGAAAATTCAATTTGCCCCCCTCCCCCATTGATGTAACTCAACAAGTGTCAAAATATGGGAGCACATAATTTTTTGGCTGTGTCGGCCATTTACTTAAGTTAGTTAAACAGATTTGTGTCATAAAATTATGCATGTAAATACTAAATTTCTAAGTTCATTCTTGATTTTGATATCATGTTGTTGTGTACATTTAAGTGTAGTTGTACATTTAAGAATAGTTATATCAAGAAGGTTACATTTTTAGTAGCATTTGCTTGCATGTGTATATGTGGTTTACCACAAAAATTAAAGAAGCTATGGATAGATTGTCATGCATGAAATTTGGTATGTGTTATAAGGCCTACTATATGTATTGAATAAATAATTAGATTTGGACCCCCTGGTGGCTTTCCTCAGTACTGCAGCACTGCAGAACTCCCACTACTGATATCTCCTGTTCTTTGCACCATAACACACTGAGGCTTGAGTATTAGTCTCTACCAGACTAACTACGCTGGCTATATATAGGAGAATATTTGCCAGGGGAGTTTGGCCGCCTTGTAGGTTTGACAGGCCGCGCAGGAAAGAAACTACCTCCCCGAAGCCGGACTCCCCTGGCCAATTTTACTCTCCTTTTGCCAAATTCTTCGATCCGTATTCCCGTAGAAAGGCCTGGTGGAGGCTACTTGAGTACCAGTCTTCTATGTACAGTGTAATGGTACAATGTATATCATGCAAATTATAATACTGCTTACTTTAAAGCTGTTACTAGCTACTAGTACTAGTGTTAGTTCCACAGGATATGAGTTTAACAGCAAATCCAGGCAGAGGATGTGTTTGTCACGACAGGAAAAAACTGACATATTTGGGTCAGGAGTGAACTCAGGAATGATCCCACAGCACCAGATCTAAGATTAGAGAACAGTAGGGGTAGCTTAACGACCTACATGTGCTAGTTTCCAAGCAGAGGTTTGGATGGAAGTTTGTAAAATTTTCTGACAGCCATCCACCGGACTGTCAGCGGTTACTTACCGTACGGTATGCATCAAATGTCTCTGATATTGGAGAAAAATGCTTGAACTTGAAGGGGGAGGGAAGGTTAGATTTCCAGAGAGGAACGGGAAAAATCTCCTCCTTCTTAATCTATCTGTATATAGGAAAATAGGAGATTTTTTATGCAATTCCAATGTACACGTCTTTTGCTGACTCTAAATTGCATTCAATCCAAAGAGAATCAGTCACCAAGTTTAGTAGGGACACAATCATTAGATACAATGTTGAGGTTAGATGTAACAAGTTGTTTGGTGTAATGTAGCCAGCTGCTGCTGTAGTACATGCTAAGCTGGTGTATTACGCCGAAGAGCGGTTATACCGGCTATACTGATACAGAAGCTAGTGTGTTACACCGAAAGGCGGTTATACCAGCTATACAGATACAAAAGCTGGTGTGTTACACCGAAAGGCGGTTATACCAGCTATACAGATACAGAAGCTGGTGTGTTACGCCAAAGGGTTATACTGGCTTTACAGATACAGCTACAAAAGTTTGCTCCTAGCAATGATGATGATGTAACGTGTCGACAAACCAGTCTTGAATTTTCTCTGTTTCTTTTCCTCCCAGTTGTACCAGCAGGGCAGATTATGTCAGCTGGGCTCGGAGTTCTGTGAGCTGGCCGTCTTCTCCAAGGTTGTACGGGCAAATGACAAACGGTATGTTGGTTTGAAAAGCTTGATACACTATTATATATATATTGTTTGAATTCTAGCTATGTGACTTGTTCTGTTACTACCGGTATAACGAAAGGTCTAGAATTTTGGTACTTTATTTGGTAAAGGTGCAGAGAAAAGTAAAATATTGTTAAGATGAGCTAAATCATTTGAAGATGAACCTTATATGACATATCAGCTGGCAAATGTGACCTTCTAGTTGTATGTTGAACTGTTACAGGTTTGTTAGAATGATGGGCCAGATAAAATACTCCTGGTAATTTGTATTGTAATGATGAAGCACTTGTTTAATGAGCTTTGTATTATAATGTACATATATATTACTAGTATCCAGTAGTAGTCTTAGTATATATCCAGCCAGTGTGAAATATAACGAAACTATGTAGTACATTCCATTGTCATTCCCTCCAAAGTTTCAGTCTATGTCTTTGTTTTTTTTATTTTTGCAGCCACCTGCTGCATCACTGTTTCCAGGCACTGATGGACCATGGAGTGAAGGTGTCCACATGTCTGTCTGACACATTCAGCCGACAGTGTTCCTATATACAGGAGTCAGAGGTTTCTATCAGAGACAAGGCCTTACAGCTGGGACTGGCTCTAGGTAGGGCATCCTGTATCCTATCCTATCTGTATTATAGAACCAATAGTCTACATGTGTGTCCTAGTGTAACACCTTCAGTCGACAGTGTTCCTATATACAGGAGTCTGAGGTTTCCATCAGAGACAAGGCTTTACAACTGGGACTGGCACTAGGTAGGGCATCCTATATCCTATCAAGTTCTATCTGTATAACTAGTACCGGTATACTAGTGTATCATAACATAACACTCTCAGCCGACAGTGTTCTTACATAGAGAATTCTGAGGTGTCTATCAGAGATAAGGCCTTACAGCTGGGACTGGCACTAGGTAATGCATCCTGCATCCTCTTCTGTCATATCTGTATTACATTACCAATACCCTGTGTGTGTGTGCGCGTGTATGTGTGTGTGTATATATATGTGTGTGTATGTGTGTTTGTGTGTGTGTGTGTGTGTATGTGTGTGTTTGTGTATGTATGTCACTATGTGTCTGTATTTCCACATGGCCCTTTGGTCAGGTTGTAATGGACATGGTTGGGTTCAGTCTGTCTTAGAGGGAGACTTAAATCACGTCTACACATGTACATCTGGTAGTGCTCGCTGTTTTATTTATTTATTTCATCTTAAGACGGCTGGGTAGCCCCATTCAGCTTACATTAGCTGTTTTCCAAGGGGGCCCAGCAAAATTACACAAGACATTGTTACATACAGTAAGACAACATACAGTAAACATAAAAGTCTGATGCGTCAAGACAGAGTCATTTCATTACATGACCTCCTCAACAGCTGACAGCTGGTGTTGTTTCCCTGGTACAATAAAGAAAGACTTGTAGACACCATGGTGAATGAGAAGAGGACACAGTCACCATTACACAACATCAAAATATTTCATGGAGGTCTGAGATCTCTGAATTCTTGTTGTTTTTGTGTAGGATCGTTCATGTCAGAAGCGGGCTGGTACGCAGAAGGAGAAAAGATTTTCCTGACCTGTCTGGTGTTAGTAGTAATTTTATTTGGTAGCCTTGTTCATTGTTTATTCGTTTTTGTTGTTTAGGATCGTTCATGTCAGAAGCGGGCTGGTACGCGGAGGGAGAGAAGATTTTCCTGGCGTGTCTGGAGCTGTGTGAACTGGTGGAGGACGTGTCTCACTGGCTCAGGGGCCTGGAGTTCTGCACAAGGTGGGTAGGGGGAGCCGCTGAGATGTGGAAATGTATATAAATGCATTTTTGAAGGATGCGTTTCTTAATAAAAAAAACTGAATTACTCAAGCGACTGGATATGACTTTTGAACATCTAACATCATCCCTAGACATTGTTTAAAGCTATCTAATGACAATGCCCCTACTGTACTTGGTGACAGTGAGTTCCACTCTGCGAAAGTTCTAGGAAAGAATGAATTCTTGAACACCTCAATCCTTGGTTGATAACTGTGATACTTGAAGGCATGACTATTTCTTGTTTTCTTCTGGGCTGGTATTACTATTAGGTACTTAGTAGTTGGTACATTATGAAAGGATTGAAACTTTAACTAATGCCAATCTCCTTCCAGATTGTTGCACGTGTGAAATGCCAACTATAAATACAACTTGATTTACAGAAACAAAATGATTATGAAACAATTGAAACTGAAAGTAGTAGTAAAAACTAATTATTGAATCTCGTTCCAGATTGTTGCACGTGCGAAATGCCAACTGTAAGTACAACCTTGGTGAGGATACCTACCAGAAGGCGCTGGGTTACGTGACCAAGCTGCAGCGTCTGGGACACAGCGTGAACTTTGCGCTGCTCTACAGCGAGTACAGTGCCCTGATGTTCGCTAAGAGCCAGTATGACGAGGCTTACAGGTGGAGCGTGAAGGCACTCAGAGAAATCAGACAGAACCTCCCCATGAAGGTAGGGTTAAGGTTTATTCAGATTACTGTTTACAGGTTTAGGCTATACTTCTATGTAGGTTGAAGACAGTCCCCAAAAGTGATGTGAGTGTGCAAAGAAAGAACTGTTTGGGGGAAAAGTTGCCTTCATTTTGAAATCTAAGTTGTCACGAGGGTCTGAATACCCAGAGCATAGTTTATTCAGAACTTTCCTTCAGGTTTATTTTATTTATACAAATAGTTTAATTGCAAGTTCATGGAAACATGAAACAACAATGTACAGAAAGACTATACAGACAGTTCAAGTTAACAATGTGGAACAAGTGACTATTATATCAATTGTCATGATGTTATACAATTTAACATTTTGGGTTTGTTTATTTGTGTGTATGTTATTATTGCCATGGGTGAATCAACTCAGTGGTAAAAACACAGCTTTACATTAGGCCACTAAGTCATGTATGACACACAGTTCGGACATTGATATGAAAGAAAAGCACATTCGATTATGTCTAACTTTGTAATGGTGCTCTCTTGTTTCTGTTCCCAGGTTGTTATTGATGTCATCAGACAAGCATCAAAGGTGGGTGGTTGTACAAATTTAGTTCTGATGGTCATTATAGAGTTAGGCAAAGTCACACTTAAAGATTCTAGTAGTTAGGCATTCTGTGCCATATAGGAGTAATATGTTATTAATTTTACCAGAAAGGTTTTGGTAGCTTTTTGCTTGTGTTTGAACTCTAAAAGCTATGGATAGATTGTCATGAAACTTGTCATAAACATCATATCTCTCTGTATATTTTGTTGTATATCTTGAGATCTGTTGTTGTTTCAGGCCTGTGTGGTGAAGAGAAAGTTCCATCAGGCAGAGCTGCTAGTCAAGCATGCGGTCTATGTAGCCAGGTAGGTACATGTACAATGTACATGCTTAAAGGCATCCAATGCAGGGCAGCAAAACAAAACTTATTCTGGATGAGGAAATCTGTCTGATATTGACATTTACTGCCATTTCTTAGCACGTTTTCCTCATTGTTTCACATTAGAAGTACTTGAAATATCCCCCAAACAAGCAATGTGTTAGTTTATAGTTAGAATCAGCCTACGATATCGCTAGAAAACAAGCAATCGCATTTTTCCTGGGTTCGGCAAAATGAAGGGTGTGTGCCTTTCCAGGGATCATTTGAGGAGTCCCTTTAATAAATAGCTATAATCAGCCTAGGAAACAAGCAATCACTTTTCCTGGGGTTGGAATTGTGGTATCAGCATAAGTTTTTATTGCAAAAATTAATGATTATATGTCCTTCCAGGGAGCACTTTGGCCCCAAACACCCCAAGTACTCAGACACCCTGCTGGACTACGGCTTCTACCTTCTCAACGTGGACAACATCTGTCAGTCTGTTCATGTCTACCAGGTAGGGATGGTCTTCTAGTTCAAAGTCGTTCTGTGTGATATAGCTAGCTGCTGCCAGGCCACATGCCTTCGAAGCTGGTGTGTTACGCCAAAGGGCGGTTATACAGGCTATACCGAAGCTGGTGTGTTACGCCAAAGGGCGGTTATACAGGCTATACCGAAGCTGGTGTGTTATGCTGAAGGGCGGTTATACCAGCTATACTGATACAGATACAGTTTTTTAAAAAAATCTCACTTTGAGAAAGCAATTAGAAGACTCGAGGGACTTGATAGTACAAAATCATGTCTTCAAGGCTTATGCCACTTTGGGTAGCACCTTGAAGCTTTGAAATGAAACATTTAATGTGTGTATAACATTAGGGTTAAAATCATCTTAATTTATTGTGCTTAGAATAAACATACATGAGCATTATGTATGAGCTAGATACCATATTAATTACCCTTTACAATTATATCATTGTACTACACTAAAGTCTTGCTATGATCATTCATTCATGTTTCAAGAACCTGGGGGCTGCTTAATATGTGAGTAGGTGGCAAACAAAAGTACCAAGATTTAAATCATGACAAAAGTTCCAGAAGTGTCATAAAATGATGAGTTAGTTTACCTCATGGGTAAGATGGAATGATGTAGTTGTGACAAGATGCTAGATGGCTCGTGTCCGAAACTTGCAAAAAAGTTGATAGATGATTATAGATATGCCACATGATAGTGAGTTGTCATGTACGTGGTGAATTGATGAGACATTTTGCTTCGTTTGTAAGATGGAATGATGCCGTTTTGACAGAATGTTGGATGGCTTACAAGTAGAAACCACAGATATGCACACTTTCAAGGAATGAATTAAACCCCTGATACTTGCCTCATAGGGCTTTTTAAAATTTCTTTCATGGGAATACATGTAGGTGTACTGCATGTAGTACTGTTGCAGAATAAGATGCACAGAAAAAATATTAGGTGCATGGTATAAAATGAATAAAACACACAAGGTCAATGACCTGGACCAAATGTCTGTCACCATGGTACTGATAACTGTTGCTGTAGCAGACACCCTGTGGTGTTGGATTAAATTATGTGGCAGGACAGAGCTGGAGGGACTAGTACTGGCACTGAATAGTTTCATAAGGTTGGTAAGTCACCAAGTAAAGATGCTTTTTTTACACAACCAAGTCTTCTATTCACAGCCGACATTTTAGTGACCGTCTGTCACCTTCCTCAGGACAATTCTAGACCATGTGAAGGTTAACATTATGCATTTGCTTTGTAAATGTTACTTTACTAGTTATTATTATTATCCTCCCCCAGGCTGCCCTGGACATTCGGCAGTCTGTGTTCGGAGGCAGAAACATCCACGTTGCCATCGCCCACGAGGACCTGGCCTACTCCTCCTACGTACACCAGTACAGTTCGGGCAGGTTCGAGGATGCCAAGTAAGTCAGGTTCAAGTTCAAGTTAGATTTACAATGTATGTTAAAGTTACAGTTAAAGCTTGCTTTGCAAATGTTACTTGCTTCATCTGGGGTGTTATTTGTATGTTCTGTCGCAGAGTTTATGTGGTATTTGTGTGTTCGGCCAAGAAGTCCTCATTTCGAATCCTGCTATGTCACTGATCTTTTGCCCTTGGGAATGGCACTTTGCGCAACTTTCCTCACTCCATCCAGGTTTAAAAAGGAGCACCTGATATCGGTTTGGAAGATTAAGCTAACATGTGGTAGAAGAAGAGGGAAGGGCTCTGTCTTCCAATACCACAATTTATTGCCCTAGACACTGGATTAACAAGACACTGCCCCTATGGCCTGAAACAGGCTATGGAACTACATCATAGTACATGTACCTTTACTTTACCTTTTTGTAGGTTCCATGCGGAGCGAGCCATCGAGATCATCGTTCACATCCTCCCCGAGGAGCATCTGCTGCTCGCCTCATCTAAAAGGGTCAAAGGTCAGTTATACTTATAACAGCTATCATAATAAATTGTTGACACTGACTCACTCACTCACTCACTCACTCACTCACTCACTCACTCACTCACTCACTCACTCACTCACTCACTCACTCACTCACTCACTCACTCACTCACTCACTCACTCACACTCACTATCCAGGATTAGATTATACTGCTGCTGTTGTCCCTGCCACAGGGGTCGGCAGCAGTCGGCTAGTAGTACTGGTCATCACACTGCACCTCCAGGCAGCCCTGTCCTGTTGGTCAACACCTGCAAGGCCACACTCTCACAGCTCTTCACACACTCCATCCACGTCTTTTTCAGTCTTCCTCGACCTCTGCTGCTAGGCAGCTGCAGTTCAATGATGTTATTGATACAGCCACGATCATTTAAAATACCACTCATTTCATAAAATTAAAAACATAGAGTGTACATAATTGCGAAAGCACATAACATGATTACATGTACATTCATATGACTACAGAGCAACATGTACATTGTAGTAGGGTCCCAAATTTAGAATTCTGTTGCCTGTCCTTGTAGTGAACAAGTCATGCATGATGGAGATGAACTCAGTTTGTGGAAAGGATCAAGGTTGAAGCTGTAATTCCTGGAAAATCGTAACTACTTCAACGTAAACCAGCATTTCTAATGTGATTTATGAAAAGTTGTAAGATGGCCTTGTGCATTTTCCTTGATCCCAGTCATTTGTTTCAGAGAAAGCACACTAATCCGCTGGTACAGCATGTTGTGGTTTTTTTAACCTTTAATTTATTTATTCATGAGAAGCTGAAATAGGCTGTGGACAGAGGTGTGATGAAATTGTAGTGACAGGTGGGGCAAATTCAGTGCTAATGACATCTGTGCCTGTGTGAGAGGACAGGTGGGGGTCACACCTGTCTGTTTTCATCAGAGACAAACAAGTGCACTTCCTGCTTCTAACGTCAAAAGGTTCTACACAGGCTCAATGCTGCCGGCATCCTTCTCACATGTATAAAAATTCTCCATGTCCAGCCTTGAGATCGCAATTGACTGCCACAACAAGGAGAAAACTGCTCCACAGTAATTTAAACTTAACTTCCAGTATCTAAACTTCTTCATTTTAATTTCCAGCCCTGATCCTAGAAGAGATCACGATCGTCTGCCACAACAAGGAGCTTTAGAACCGTTCCACATCAAATCACTAATAATTATTGTGTCTGCCATAAACTCACTGTAATAACATACATTGTAAAAATTTGATTTTCATGTCCAGCCCTGATCCTAGAAGAGATAGCGATTGACTGCCACAACAAGGAGTTGGAGAACATGCTGCTCCACGAGGCGCAGGAGCTGCACCTGTCCTCGCTCGCCCTCGCCATACGAGCCTTCGGAGTCGTCAACGTGCAGACAGCCAAGCACTACGGCAACCTGGGGAGGCTCTACCAGTCCATGCAGAGGTATAAGGTGAGGAACAAGGAATAAAACTATCATAGAGTGGAACTCACTGCATCCCTAGATAACTGGGAAAGCTCTACCAGTCCATGCAGAGGTATAAGGTGAGAAAAAAGTCAGGAAAATTGTTCTTTTTTTTCTCTCCCTAGAACTATCATAGAGTGGAACTGGCACAGTACATGGACCAGTACAGGTTAGGTGACAGACATCAGAAATACCAGTGCACAGCTTCAATTTGTGCAGGCAACATGTCAAGCGCTGACTACAAAGGAAGGTCTGGAACTTGTAGATGAACATGTTTGCTCGCTCACTGACCCTGATCTCTCCATCATAGACCCTAGTGCTTTTTCATACAATCCTTTTATTTAACATTAGAATACTGTTATAGCCTGTATATGCTGTCCATGTCAAACTCCAGTGTTATAACTTCATGTCAGCCTGAGCCCTTTGCAACAGCCACTGGCTAGTTGGGCTGCCCTGACTGTGTGTGTTGAACAGCCAAAGTAAGAAGATAAAATGAATACAGAGCTTGTTTCATATGTCTCCTCCAGGAAGCTGAGGAGATGCATCTGAAGGCCATCGACATTAAGGAGAAGCTGTTGGGACAGGAGGACTATGAAGTCGCGCTGTCCGTCGGACATCTGGCCTCGCTCTACAACTACGACATGAACCGCTACGACCAGGCTGAACAACTGTACCTCAGGTCCATCTCTATAGGTGAGGATGGTGCTTATTGTTCAGTGTTAGAAATATCCATCTGCAGTGTGCATTTTGCAGAGACATTTTTAATACTGCAGAAGACAAACTAAGCAACCAGCAATTTTGCATATACTGAAAAAATCAGGCTAGGGATTCAATGATGACTTTGTGTATATATATATAAGAGCTTTTGACTCTATAAATATACATCATCTTTCGAGATGGAAGCATGCCTACATGCTTGTTTTTTTAAAATTGCATGTAAAAGGTAAAACATGCAATTTTTGTATATGCCATTGGTTTAGATCAGAATTTTTAAGTGCATATTTGCTGATGAAATAATTTACGGATGAATCACTTTGCCTTCAGGAAGGAAACTGTTCGGTGACGGTTACAGTGGTCTGGAGTACGACTATCGTGGGCTGATCAAGCTGTACAACTCCATCGGCAACATAGACAAGGTGTTTATTTATTTATCTATTTATGAAGATTTACCACATTTGTGGAAGGATTGACATAACAGGTGACTATCACCTCTTCAAAGATGTCAAACCTGAGACCAGACTATAATGTTTGAACCACAAGGCCTCATTAGTATTCTTACTAGTTTTAAATATTATTACAATTTTATATAATGAATGATATTTTATAGCAGTGTATTGTATTGCATTTTTATGACTATTGTATGTTATCGTAGGAATTTGTATTTCATGTCAACAATTCTTCGACTTTGTAATTTGTATTGCACTGTATTTATATTGTTGTGTTTGGGAGGACAACTTGTAAAGGTGTCAATACACATGTTTTTTCCTCCCTTCCACTTGTATATTTGTACTTGTGGTGAATTCTAATAAACAAATAAACAATAACCTTAACAATAATTCCTATCATAACATTGGCCTTTCTGCTTTTATAAAAGGTTCTGGAGTACCACGAGATCCTGAACAGCTGGAACCAGCTGCGTGATCGCGCCGTGCCGATTAAGGACGCGCTCCAGGATGTGGAGCTGAGCGAGAGATCCACGGAACACGTCATCCAGCAATTTCTCGATTCTTCGTCATCTTCGGCGTGTTCATAGTACTGGTTTGACCCGCTAGACCAAATTGTGTGTATGTAAAGGCATCCAAGGCAGTTTCAGGGTGGCGAAACAAAAGATATTCCGTCTGAGGAAGACGTTTCTTAGCATATTTTCGTCATCATTTCATGCTGGAAGCATTTGAAACAGCTCCAAAATGAGAAACAAGACTTAGTCACCTAGGCTGTTTCAGGGCTGCAAAACATAACTCTGTTTGAAAAATGACGTTTCTGTCATTTCTTGGCATATTTTCGCCATCATTTCATACTTAAAACATTTGAAATAGCCCCAAAACAAGTTACCTGAGGAGTACCAAAGCAAAACAAATAATACCAAACAAAAAGATACCAAACAAGCAACGGTTTTCGGACAAAGACATCACATTTTTGCCTCACAGATATCAGTAAGCTATGGGGGAGGGTTGATAAAAAAATGACCAGAAAATTAAGTTTAAAAACCCAGTTGTACTGCCCTGGAATCGCTTTGGGTGCCTTGAAATAATGTGTACAAAGAAAAGAGACCATAGAAAATAACACCTAGGGAAGAAAATTAGATATGACATAAGTATGAAATATATATATATGTATCTATAAAACATATGTCTGAAATAATGTGAGATCACTGAAGAATATGGTAACAGAGATGGTCGGCTGTGAAGTTAGCTTTACAGCTGCCATATTGTCTTGATTCCATTTTATGTTGAATGTGTTATGTAGGTCGAATTGATCAGTAAGAGTTCACTGCATAATATTTGTTGTTTTATTTAACTCCTAGGCCATACTGAATTAATATGTTGGTTCTCAGATTTGCCGGCTTCATTTTTTCTAGCCTTGTTTGCTTCTGAGTCTCTTTCGTCCTCTGCAAAATTCCTGGAGAGGACGAAAGAGACTTGGCATCAAAATTATTATTATTATTATTTTTTTTTGCTTTTGAAATAACAATTACTATCTAGGATATAAAGCAACCCTAAAATGTTTTATACATTTAAACAACAACAGTTTGAAAAAACCCTTGACTTTCTAGCTGTATGTATGTTAACGTTATTTCTGACTATTTTCAAGATGGAAGGATGCCTACTACCACTACTGACAGTGGTAGCATTTGGGTCCATCACAGAATCCCTGTTTGATTTTTTTTCCCCTGCCCACTCCATCAGTTTCCTGCACAAAGCTGAGAACTAAGAAGTTAAATTGGTGTGGCCCTGAGTTCATGATTTGTTTCTGTTATTGTGTACAGCCCAATAGATCTTTTCTCCAATCGCCAGACTGATTGAATGTAACACTGTACTCTGTAATTATGTCTCTCGTATCTGTAATTATGTCTCTCTAGGCACCCAATGCAATTTCAGCAAGACAAAAAAATGGATGAGAAAATCTGTCTGACATTGACTGCCATTTCTTAGCACATTTGATACATGAAGTGCTTGAAATAGCCCCCAAAACAAGACATGAGGAGTGTCTTTATGTTTGGGTACCGCCCATAAATAGCTAGAGCCAGCCTATGATAAGAAACAAGCAACCGTTTTCCTTCAGCGGCATCACATTTTTGCCTCACATATGTGTATGCTATGGGATGGGGTTGATTCAACTTAGGCCATGTTGATTTGATTAAAAAAAAGTTGCTTTCACTATGAAATCTACGTAGTCATGAAGGTTGAACAAATGGCACAGAATATGTTATGGCGAATGATCTACTCTTCGAATTCATTTCTTTACATTTTTGTCTTTTTTCCTTTGATTTTGGCATACTACGACATTGGTATCGTTTCTAAATGTTTTCCTTGCAACTTATGGTATATTTTTGCTCATTTAGCAACTGTTTTGCATGATTTACAGTATGGTTGAAAACTTTTTTTTTTTGGAAACGGCCGAAAATTCATGCGCGCGCGGATGTCATCCATATAATCAAATCAACATGGCCTTACTAAAATTCTTGCATGAAAAGAATGTCCAGAAAATTGAGTTAAGTAAACTTTGAAAATTCAGTTTTGTTGCCCAGAAATGACATTGGATGCCTTTAAACTTATCAAGCGACACCATAACTAAACCAACAGGTTTGTGGGTACAAACTCAGGAGACTACATGTACTTTTAGTACTTATAACTTAACATGTATGTCCTTTTAATCAACAAACTCTTGTCACCTGGAAGTGAAGGAAACTCTGGCAAGCTGTGAAAACATAATATAATACAGAATTGAAGCCTGTATTACTTATTTAAGTACAGAGGAATATGGTAAAGAACTTGAGTGTAAAGAACTCATGCCAAATACACTATTTATAGTTATACATTAGAAGACCACTTTTGGAAGTGTGACTATGTTATAGAATTGAGATCATAGCATCCTTAGGCCACACCAATTTAATTTCTTGGGTAATGGATTCATCAGCTTCATTTTTTTCTGATTTGCAAAAAAAAAATTCAGAATCAACTGCAAATGCTCATATTTTGCCCTGAAAAGTTGAAAACAGTCATTTTCTTCCTAGTTGTTGCAGTTATTCCAATGGTATCATTAAAAGTTCAAAATTCATTGTTTAAATTTTGAACCAGCCTGGTGTGTTGACTTCATGGCTCCTATCGTACCATTTTGGGTCATAATAGGATGCCTAAGCCTGTTTCTATTTTTATTTTTTTTTAAGAAAAATCCGTTAACCAAGAAATTAATTTGGGGTGGCCTTACATCAAAGGAAAGAGATAATCATTTCCGTTGAATGCCTTCAGGTTTTTTCTTGTTCTTTTGTTGATATTTTTTCTTGTTCTTTTGTTGAGAAAAGCTCTATTTACTGGTAGGAATGATGGAAACATTCTGTCGATGTGGAGACAAAAAAGCAGTGATATTCACCGCTGACGTGTTTGTAAATAAAATTTGTCTGTAAAGTCAACAGTATATAGAACGTTAAGGTTTCTTGACACACGTAATTCCTAACTTTGAGTTTAACTTTCCTCTTTTTTAAAGCAGGATTGAAACACAGAAGACACTGCTGCACTTCTGGGTTTTTTTTTTGTTCGAATGGCTAAAATAAAATGGCTACATGCACATATGGAAAGTAAAGATGAGTTTTATGATCAGTTTTTCTGGCGTTATTTTGTATGTGTGTCGATTAGGTTATAGGCTCTCAGAAACAAGATCCAAGAGGTTGTGGGTTCGATCTGGCATTCCTAGCTAGAAATTGGGAAAGGTATTTTACACAGGTTTCCTCGGTCTATCCACGCGTACGTGTAAAATGGGTACCTGACTTCGGTTGGGGAGGTAAAATGTTGTAGAAAGAGGGATTGGCTCCACCTTTCAATACCGTGCTATAGAGACAGTGAAGTAAAAAATGCTGTCAACTATTCTACAGCCCCATGTAGCCTTTGGCTAATGTCAAAGCAGATCCTACGATGGCAAGACAGTATCCATTGGCCAGAGAAGTGCGAATAAGCTTCGGTGGCTCATGGACACTTCTCTGGTCAATGGATACTGTCTTGCCACCGTACAAAATGTTGGATCTGCTGAAGATAGAGGAAATTGTCGGTACAGTAACTAAACAAGCCCTCTGGGCAGAACGCACCGCCAAAGCTGGACCGGACACACCGGAGATGGGCTGAGATTTGCGTCAATTATGTGAAATTGATTGAGCTACTGAGATATAACTACGTCATACGATGTGACGATAATGGGAATATGGGGAAGAGATAGTGTGAAACATTAGTCTCCACCAGACTTCTTTTGCGGGGTGAATAAATCGTAGAAATCGGCCTAAAAAGGGTATTAATTGGCCAGAGAAGCAATGGAGCTTCTCTGGCCGGCTATCTTCTCTGGCCAAGTAATACCCTTTTAGGCCGATTTCTACGTTTAATTCACCCCACAAAAGAAGTCTGGTGGATACTAGTGAAACATAACATGCCAGGGGAGTTGGTCCGATAGCTTGGTACATGGTGGAGGCTACGTAACATCTGAAAAGTGGAGCGGAAGGATTGAAAGATGAGAGAGATGAGACAGATCTAGAGCACACAGAGAATGGGTAAATAGGACAAGGGCACATGAAAAGATGCCAAATTAAAATGGCAGAATCTTGGATACCGAACAGGATTACTTCAAGAGAGGCATAAAAGAAGCCGTATACATCAGGGCACTTCAACCATCGCTCAACCGGGACGGGGGGCGATATCGAATTCAGACAACCCTTTGCTGACGTCACACGTGGGAAAAATCACGTGTCCACAGCATTTGGGTCAGATAGCTGAGGAAGACTGAGTGATTCAGTCGAAAATTTCTGGTGAGTCAAATTTTGAGTTGGAGAAAAGTTTAAGTTTTTCATAATAAAATGGCAGCGTTTTGCGTCGTGAGCAACCTCATTTTACCCTGGTAGTGTATAGACGTACTCCAGAGCCCGATGCAAAACAACTTTCTTCTCTGGGTTTTCTTGTCAAAGAACAAATTTACAAACAAAATACAAAATGTTCATGCTGTTGTACTAGTCTCCACCAGACTCCTTTGCAGGCTGAAGAAATTGGACTAAAAAGGACCCTCTCTGGCCGGCTAATTCTCCTAGCTAGTTATATTCCTTTTTAGGACGATTTCTACTATTACGTATACAGTAGTAGTACGTGAAGCGGCCTCCATGAACCTCCCAACTTCTAGAATTCTCTAACGACATCCTGCAGGCCATTGTCGGCCTTCACCTTTTGTGTATGAATAAGGGCTACAATGAGGCATAAATTTTCTTCTGCCTGAAGGACAGCACCCTCCAAATTTACTTTTTTCAGACAAGACTAAAACAGAGACAAAAGTGATCTAGGAAGGGTAATATTTTTACAGGTACATTTGTATTTAAGGCGTTACACGCCTTTTTTTTGATAGTGTGAAACTTTTTTTTTTAATTTTTGTCAACGATGTCGGCCGGATATGCGTTAACAATTAGAGGCGATGGACGTAATAGGAAGTTAGTAAGTATCCGGCCTTTCTGTCTGGTCAAGGCTAGTATTGTGCGTTTCCATTGTGATTTCGCAAACAAGGAGCGGCTTACATGGAGACACAACTTTCAGTTAGCGGATTTACGTGACTACGTATAGCACTTCAAAGCCAAAATAGGACTTATACGTAATGCTTGGGCCAGTGGAAAAGTAGTTCTTACAATGAGGTCCTTTCTTCTAGGCTGAAGTATTGTCCAACGCCTGCACACCTAACCCTTCGACTCCGTGAAGTGCGCTGGCCTTGGTTCATGTACATGTAGCACCCTCAAGCCACTGTTCTCACTCACGAAACCCACGTATTTATATCATTTGACGTAGTCATTAGTGTTTCCGCACTAACTTGGTTATGTTCGAGCCCTCCAGAGCATAACGAGGGCCGCCCGGGTAGGAGTAGAGACAAACAATACTTAGTAGTACGTATATACAGGCCTTGCATACACAGGTGCAGATAGTTACAGTCACTGTACTAGGTTTTTCAAAACAAAACTGAGTAGTGAGCTCTTGGTGCAGTTTACGCACAATTTAATATGAAAGGATGCACCGCTTGTGCTAGAAAGCGTTAGTACATGTACTCGTGAAAGTACTTGCACATGAAGATTTTATTATCTGAGGAAGTTGAACGTTTCATTTCCAGTTTCGCGGCCGAAAAATTGTTGCACTGAATGACTGATTCACTTTAACTCGCAGTACATTTTACTCTCCAAGCAGAGGTTTGTGTCTGGGGTTATTTTTGGTGTGTTTTTGCACTGGACTTTTTTTTCACGGTTGGGGTGGGTGAAAAAAATTCCAGTGCAAAAGAGAAACCTCGATAAAGAAGCCTAAAAACTCGCCAAAATAACCCCAAACCCAAACCTCTGCTTGGAGAGTAGGTACATTTGGCAGGACGATGAACCGTAAACGGCCTCTAGCCTGCACCCCGCCAGGGCAGGCGCTGATGTAATAGAGGCTGACGTAGACCTTTCAACGATGCCACGTACTATTGGAGTCAGCTTGTCGTGAAACGCGTCCCCGAGGTATTATTAGAGTTATTTTTACGGCGGCCTTTCCAGTACTTAGTAGAGGCAATGAGCTTTCAGCTACCAGCTCCTTGGTAGAGGCTTGGCCTTCGGCTTATTTTAGACGTGTTTTGTACGCGTTTTTTATCGGGCTTTCTTTTTTGTGCTGGTATCTTAAGGTGGGGAACGGTGATTGCCTTGCAAATGGATACTAGCCTCTACCAGGCTTCGGGAGGCGGCTGGAAAGAGTAGAAATTGGCCAAATAGAGAGATAACATCCAAGGGGAGTTGGTCCGCTGGAGAGTGCAGTTTGACGCAAACTGTAATCTCCAGAGGAAAGAGGCTAAATGGATATGGCCAATTTAATACTGTCTTTGCAGCCACCGAAACACCTGCTCTTCCATCCAAAAGGTCATGGGTTCGGATCCCGGTCTCTTCGTGGCTTTTTGCTAGCTCGTTAGCGGTACTTGTTCACTACTTTTTTTGGTACTACCAGTGACGTGCATCAGCTCACAGCTATAGTCTGGCTGTCAAGGTTTGAGTTCAGCTCTTTGAATACCCCCTGACATGACAACGACTTAACTCACTGGGAATAATGCACAAGGTGGCAAATGGACTTACATATACATATTCCGTTCACATACATATACAACTATACATGTACATATATAACTTTGTCTAGAGTTAGATGTTCAAAGGTGAGGTGTAACGAGTCGATCGGTGTAATGAAGCCAGCTGCCGCCGCGCCGCGTGCCTGCGAAGCTGGTGTCTTACGCCGAAAAGTGGTTATACCGGTTATAGAGATACAGATATACATATACGGTACCGCCTAGCTTCAATGCATGCAGCGAACTAGTCATAACTGCATTGATGGAAGATGGCAGACGGCCGACGACACGCCGGGTCTTGTTAAGCAACTTTGCTCTTCCATCATTCACCAACCAACCTGATGAAATTATTCACAGATATATATAGTTCCTTCACACCTACAGGTACAAGTATTTATTATTCCCTTCACAACAGGCGCCCAGCCATCCAAAAGACTTTATATTCGTATCAACTCTTTCAAGTACTATGCCGCAGGGATCACTTAAGCTTTGGTCCCAATTGGAGAAAGGGGCCCTGGCGGGTAGTTCCCGGGCTGTTTTTGGCACTTTCGGGCTTGACCCCTATGTGGCCCCGTGGGACACCCCGCGGCTACTGGGCTACTAGTATTTTTGGCCCGTCCGGGACTCGAGAAGAATTTAAGTCTTCTTGGCTTAAATTCTACCCGGGCCCCGCTGGCATAAAGGCACCGTGACCGAGCCGTGAGAACACCGAGAGGTACCCCTCCGGTGGCCGACAGTCCACCGGGACTAATTTGTTACGTCTTCTGCATCTTCTGCGTGTTTTACATTCAATCTACTACATTATCTTGATCTTGACACAGTTTAATGACTTTTCCCACTTGGCGTATCGTAAGACATTATTCCATTTCCGTTCACATTTGGGTGGAATTACTTAGCTAATTAGCTAATTGAAATCAAAGGGAAGAAATGCTTCCTTATTCCACCATATAACCGGTAAACACTACGGCAAACCGCCTTTAGCCATAACACACCAGTCTTGTACAGTAAGTACTAGTAGAATTGAAGTTATGTAAGACTAGACTGCCAGGTTTGAACCGCTCACACCCGGATGGATCCTGATCTTTGACGTGTTTCTTGCCTCACGCGTGGATCCGGAGCTTGACCATGGCCAGTGCTTCAGATTCACGTGTCTAACCAAGGACATTATATGAATGTCTTTGGTCTGACGTACAAACTCTATAGAAGAAAGAAGTGAAAACATGTGAAACGTGTGAAAACATGTGTGAGATGGATCCGGAATCACAAGTCAAAAGCTCTCTGTTATGGACACGTACGCTTGCAAAGAAAATACACCTCATAGTTGCGTGTCTAAGGTGCGTCCAACAAGCGCCCTTGTAAGTCCAACATCCCTTCATTTCCATGTAATGATCGTCATTAGCGCCGAGTCCGACAGACGAGGGGAACGGAACTAGGGAAGCGGACTAAAGCTAACAAGGCCGGACTCTATAGGCTAAGGAGAACCTTTTGAACCTCTTTGCATAGACTAACGACTACCGCCAAACAAAGAAAAGCCGAGAAGATGTGTCAATACGTCAAGACAACAGGATCCTAGGAGAGAGGACTTCGCCAGCCATTGTTCCATCCATCCAGTTAGTACTAGCCGTCACGTGCAAGGCGTGTGCCCACAGGCGAGGCTTCAGCCCACGCGAAAACCGTTCCCTACATATACCGGCGTGCGGACAACGCCGTCCCCACAATCGTACTTACGTACCGACCATGGTGCGTGCCTATTTCCCCACTCTGTACTGCGCTGTCCTGCTAGCTGTCACGGCCGTCAGTCTTGGCTCGGTGCCGCCGAAAAAGCTCACAGAAGAGCCAAACCGAGCTATGGTACATGAAGAGAAGGGCCCAACGCTTCGTCTGTCGCCTGCCGACTTTGCGGACGAAGGCGACGATTCGCTTTCCGACGCCGGGCCGCAGCAAGAAGTCCGCGGGGGGAGGGCCTACTACGCGCCGTGGGTGCCATCAGACGGCACGGTTGCTAGCCCCCGCCTGGCCACCCACCCTCTACCGCTCTCCGTTCTCCTAGGCGACGTCCTGCGTGGAAAGCGAGGTGAGAGTACAGAGATTGGCTACCTCCACAGAGATCACAAATAACTGGCCGTAGTACTACTAGAAACAGCGAGATGCTAGACTGTCCGAGAGCAAGAACGAATAGATATAGGAACTCGCCTATACCGTTCATGGTTCAACTAGTTAGTTTGTATAGTGTTTTGTATCAAATGTAGTCCGGGAAATTTATAATGTATGAAACATGTATTTTTATTTTTTTCTTAATCTTGCGCCTACATGTATATAACTTATATTGGAATGCAAACCTGTTTTTTTAGTGCACCGATATTTTTTAAATTGGTTTACAATGATATAATATGATATGATATGGATCTTTATTGCATGTTCTTGCCCAGATGGGCTAAATGCACAAGAGGATATCCAGTATGTAAAACATGAGTATTTCATACTGGTACGCTATATTCTACTGCAAAGTGCTAGGAAACTATACATTACAATAATACTATAAACTACATGTCATCTACTGTTACTATTTAGTTTTCTTTTAACTGCGAAAAAAATAATAAATCCATCTTGAATTTTGAATCTTGAGGAGGCGGCGCGCAGTGGCGCCGCGGCGGGAGAGAGGTGAGGGTGTACGACCGGGCCACGCGCCGCTGGTACCGCTACTTCATCCCCTCCCTGTCCATGAACAACGTGTTCGGGCAGTTCCGGCCGGCCGGGACCATCAGGCGGATGGGCCGGGAACTACGGGGCGGCGCTTCCGTCCACGCCGACGACTACCAGTCCGAGACCGACTACGGGCAAGCGTCCGACATCCACCGGGAAGGAGGCAGCAGGGCCTGGCCGGAGGAGGACTACGGCTACTACTGAAGGCGGGCGGATACTGTCCTTGGTACTGAAAGGTTTGTGCTTCTATTTGTTGTTGGAATGCTCATCCATAACCACAATATTAAATAACTATTTAAACCAATAAGCATGTAAGGGATCGAGAGAAAGCTACTGAAGGAAGGCGAATAGGGACTATCCATTGTACTGAAAGGTTTGTGTTTCTGTTTGTTGGAATTCTCATCCATAACCACAATATTAGATGAATTTTTTAAACCAATAAGCATGCAAGGCCAAGGGATCGCCAGGAAGCCGTATTTCCCCTAACCCTCCCCCATTTGATGTTATCTAAAATGCAGCCATTAGCCTTAGTGTCAAATACATCAAAACATATTCTCTGTTTCTTCTTGTTCCGACAACCGTACAACGAAACTAGTTGTAATAAAGTACATAAATATATTTATCCCATGCCTGCATGCCCAAGCAAATGTGTCTCCTGCATCAAATCATAACATTAGTAGCACAGACTTCTTCTCATTCAACAGTATGCAATTGTCCGAGTCTTAGACATTTTAGCACGAATTGTTACGGGGTTACATCAACTTCTTCCCACCACAAGAGAAGAAGTCTCAAAATCCAAGTGTTGTTCTCAGCACAAAGTAAAACAGTACACCAACAGGACTGGTGACTGTATTGGCGTCAGTGCTTTCATGTCTTTTCAAAAGATGAAAACACGTTTTTTCTAGTGTAAAGAGATCTTTGATCTGACTCCAATCATAAAGTTCTATCATCTGACGATCTCTCAATGGTTTTTAGCCAGTAATTGGTTGCCCTACATGTACACATTTCTGTGAAAAGCGATCTCAGTCCAATTATAGTAGGTACTAGGCATACTGTGGAATAACCCTGAATAGCTCTGAAGTTCTGTATTCACAACCACAACAAAAGCCGACGTTTTGATGACTGTCCTCTTCATTGGGGCAATTATGACTGATTCACTGTGCATGTGCACTGAAAGCTAAATGTTACTCGTTCACTGTGCACTAGCTTTAACTAGCTAGGAGTTACTGGTTCACTATATACGTGCACTAAAGCTAGTTGGGTTCATACCTATATATACAACAATAGCTAGTGAGAAATGCGAGTCTTGTTAAACTATTGGTTGTGAATTTGCTATTCAATCATTCACCAACCTGATGAAATTATATACATGTGTGTGTGTGTGTGTATGTATGTGTGTGCGTGTATATGTGTGTGTGTATGTATGTGTGTGTGTGTGTGTGTGTGTATTTGTGTGTGTGTGTGCTGTGTGTGTGTGTATCACGGTGTGTGTGTGTGTGTGCTGTGTGTGTGTGTGTATTTGTGTGCTGTGTTTGGACTAGCACTATTTCTCAGAACATATTGATTAGTCACGTTTTCATTTGTAACGAAAATCCCCAACTATTATTACAGATGCTGAAGAAGACACAGAGCCGAAGAAAAGACCACAGTAGCTCTCAGGACAAGACCAACGCCAACGGCTGAGGACTTTCAGGACATAATCTCGAAGAACAGACTATATATAGATCAAAGCGGTTCGATACTTAAGCTTTTGATCTAAGATTTTCAAGGAAAATAAAGGACATTGGAGCAAAACGGAAGACAAACGGCTCTAGGAGCTCAATTTCCTCTTTAAGTTCACATTAGGTCAGTTTTTGTCCACAAACTAGCCTATGTAACCCAAGCTCCGGGGGCTCCCTACATGTATACATAGTCCGCCGGCTGGATGTTGGGCGGCCGGCAAAATAGATTTAATCAGGCTATCCACAAACCATGTATCTAAAAAAATCAAAAAATTATCTCTGTACTTAAACGTTCTCAGCAAACCTACTTATGATATTGGATAAGGTAGCGCGTTAGCAGAACGTACTGCGCCTTTGCGAATCCCGCAATGTATTGTGTGGATATCCCAATACAGTATCAAGTATGCGTAGCACACACACAAAACGTCCCATTTAAGGTCGTTTTGTCGTCTATAGCTTTTAAATGTTGTGTCAGGAACGGGTAAAATCTGATGCAACTTTCAGCAAGCATCCAACGAAAACGGTGAACAAAAACAGATTTCGCGCAGTACGTTCTGCCAACGTGTTATAGCTATGGCAATGAAACATCCCCCTTTAGTTCTTCAGCTTATCTTGACATTAGGACTTAAGCGATTTGATTGACCTTCATGCTAAAAACAGTTAAAACTTAAGCGTGTGTGATATTCGTTTAGAATTCGCTTCGCCAATTTGAGACTGTGAAAATCTAATCCAACTTGCCAGATTACAGTTGAGTAGCAATCCATTCTCCGTCTACCGCACACAACACTCTCTGGTTTTATATTTAGCTTGAAATATCAAAGTGATACTGAATCACAATGACAAACGACGCTGTGAGACTCTTTTGATGTCCGAAGTTGTTTTCGCCACGCGACGTGCGCACGCTGGGACGCGTGACGGCGACGGTCTGACGTACGTGACGTAAATACGACATTTCAGTACGTCAGTTCGCATGGTTCGCCAGGGGGGCGCCGTCACCTTCCCGCCAAAAATGCGTCATCGGGGTGTCATGTTTCAAATTCTTCGATAGGAATTTCTGGCAGGACAATTATGGTATTTGAAGAACTATTTCCAGACACAAAAGGACTGATTTTCATTGATGAGGAATGTCAGATTTGTAGCTAGTGGTTCCAGCTGAATAAAGGATAACTTGCACACATACGTTTGTGACTGCCTCGCTTTATTATGAGTTCTCAACCAATAAACTATCAGGCGTCAGAAGCGGCTGGACAGTGGAATTTGGCCAAATAGACAGAAAACATAGCAGGGGAGTTGGTCCGCTTAAGTACAGTTCGCCGCTCCCATTAGAGGATCAACTCCCCTGGTATATTATCTGTCATGTGGCAAATTTCAACTCTATCCAGCCGCCTCTGAAGCGTGGTAGAGGCTAGCCGAGTAGTAAGGTTGTTGTTAGAACAACTTTCATAAGGACAACAAGCATTCACTACTTATGAACTGCCAGAGTTGTAGGAGAAATGAAAGATGAAGCTTTCCAACGAGTGGTAGCATGCATTGTCTAAAGCCTAAAGGTTAGCGACCCTGCCCCTGGACCAAGAGGGAGTTCGAATCACGGTTGTTGTCGCTCAACAGACATGCACACTACTGGAAAGGGCCGTAGTCCTTAGAACGGGGCGTTAAGCTGTTGTACACTGTACACTGTGCTTATCGAAAATAGCTAGGGGAATTTCCCCGGTACATTGAACCTGTAAATACTGTACATAGCGTCTGTCTTCTCTGTCATGTCCAGTGGAAGACTAGCTCTTCAGTGAGCTAGAACTGGATAGAGATCACTTGCCTTTCCTAACCACCTAACACAACTGAAACATCACAGTAAATAAAAAATCACAGGCTTCTCTTGTGTAGTACAAAGTCTCATAATGAGGTCATATTTATTCCATCCAACAAAAAGATACACACGGGTACATGTATTTACACAGTTAAACGGGAAACTCAGAACTCCCACACCATACCTCATTCTTTACTTAACACTAGAGAGACTCTAACTTAGGTAGAGCCTTAAGCTCCAGTATCTTAGATGTAATCTTAAGATATTTACAAGGACTGAGAAGAAATGAGCTTATGACTTCTTGAGGTGGAAGAATTTACACAGATCGAGTCCTCAAGTGCCATTATTTTTTTTTACAGAAGTTGACTTAAAGGTGTTTTTAACATGGACAAAAACGCCTGAAAGTACTAATATTAATATAAGTGTATACATGGTAGGTCTGGAACAATCTTAACAGCTGCACAACAAAACAAATTCTAGGTTTATTTACAAGCACTGACTTTTCAACAAACAACAAACTGAAGATACACAATCTATTCTTATGTTTTTTTTCTCAGAATCTTATATTCACTACAGCTATTATAGCTCTTCTTTACTATGATGGTAGATTCTGCTTTTGTTTAGTCAACATAACGGCACGTCCACTAGCTCTGAAAAACTCTGTACATGTGTCAATACTATCATACACTCATCACAAATTCTCTCCTATATCAGACAATTGAAAATACTTTTTGGTAGATACTTTCAAAACTAGTAGACGCAATATACAGCAGTAGCACCACAAATGAACACAATAACATACAGACCATATGAGGGTACAAAGCAAGAGTCTTTGAAGAGTTTGATTCAAAGACAGATCACAAGTTAGAGTACAATGTAAGTAAGTTGCTGTGGCCTAAGTATATGGCATTGTTCCTTTTTGAAGGGTATGACTAGATTTTTGTTCAGCACAGAAAACATGATGAAATGATCACGCAGTTGACCTTGATTGTTTAATAATGTGTTATGAAGGTTGACAACTTTGAGGTTTTTTTTTTAGCTTTGTTCGTACAAGCGACAGTGCTCTAGAAGCTTCAAGAAAATGTTGTCTAGTGTATCTAATTCTAAGGACAGTTGTTTTCAATGTTTAGAGGGTTCTGCTAATATTTTCAGTAGGTTTCTTCACACTACAGGTATAGTGTACAATGGGGACTATTTGCAGGTGAGGGGTACGCACAGTTCAGGTCAGTTTTGGGGGGGGTACAGTTCTGTGCAGTTTGGCGAGCCTTGTAGTGGGGGCACACAGTTCAGTTCAGTTTTCGGGGGAGGGGGGCACACAGTAGTGATCAATGTTTGGGAGGGTTCATAATTAAGCGTCATGGTGTAAGGTGAGACCTTGCTGCTTTTGGTATTTGAAAGGATTCATTTGCACTATTGTGTACAGGAAACTATATACCCTAAACTTTTTTTGGGGAGAGGGGCACACAGTTGTTCTGAGACCACACAGATGCTCTCAGTGTTTAGGAGGGTTCCTAAGCCTCATGGTGTAGGGTGATGACTTGTTGCCTGCAGCCCCCTGCTGTGCAGAGCCAGGTTGCTGCTGTGCTGAGTCCTGGGGTGAGACCGTGCCAGGCTGCTGCAGACCGGGGTGGGCAGGAGTCACCAGGCCCTGGACTGTACCTGCTCGACTCACCTGGAACAAACACGGACAGTTAGGGGCACAAATAAACAGTAAAGCACATGAAGGATTTGGACATGGAGACAAACAACGAAAAGTGATAGAAATCCCAAATTACTCATTACGTCATTGCACGTGTTTATGTGTGCGTGCGCTTGTGTACAATGCATGTGCCATGCATGTGAGTGAGAGTGTGCGTGCGTGTCTGTGTGAGCGTGTGTGTACGAGTGTCTCTGTGCGTATGCACAAGTGTGTAGTTTATGTGCGCGCGCGTGTATGTGTGTCAGTGTGAGAAAGTGTGCGTGTGTGCGTGCGTGTGCATGTGCGCGCGTGCGTGTGCATGTGTGTGTGTGCGCGCGCGTGTGTGTGTGAGTGTGCGTATGTCTGTGTGTGTGTGTGCGTGCGTGATTGCGCGTGTGTGATCGTACATACCTGGACCTGTGTAGGGATGGCCTCTGTGAGAGCGTGTGTGTGTGTGCGTGTATGTGTGTGTGTTTAAGTACCTACCTGGACCTGTGTAGGTATGGCCTGTGTGAGAGTGACAGTCTGCTGCAGTTGCTGCGGCTGCTGAGGTGACTGCTGCGGTGGAGAGGCCAGCTGCAGAGTGGTGGGAGAACCGAGCTGCTGGGCGACTGCAGTCACTGTGGCTGCAGGCTGGACCTTCACCTGTTAGGGACAGAAATAACAAGAATGTTAGTCAATTCACTTACTTACTTAGACTTAGGGGTTCCCGTGTCCCGTGACGCATGAGGCAGTCAAAGCAGCCCAGCTTCCTCTGTCAGCAGCCAGCCTCAAGGCTTCCTTCCAGCTCATGCTGACTGCCTGAAGGTCCCTCTCCACTGTCTGTCGCCAGTTCATCTTTGGGCGCTCCCTCCATTAGTCAATTCACTTTTAGTAAAAACTGAGCATTTTTCTTTTTTCCCCCTGAAACAATTAATACATTTCTTTTCAAAATCCAGCTGAAAATTCAAAGCAGCTCAAAATAGGGAAGCATCTGAAGGAGCTGTCAACAGTTTGTGCATAAATAAAACAGATATATCCCATAAACCCAGGACTGAGGTGTTTAAAGTAAAACATTCCTCCTTTACTAGAACTACATTATGGAGTGTAGTGATACCAAGTACAAGCACCCTAGGGGCCAATCTCCTAGCTAGACAACCTACAACAATGATAGGAGTTACATATGTACATATTACAAGCTTGACTTCACCTGTAAGCTACATTTGTAAGTGTGTTCTATTACTATACCAGGCCCTACTTTTAACATTCAGCCTGCTAAGACTGCCATTTGGCACCAAATTTGCATTGATGAAGTGTTAAGGCAGCAGGGAGAAGGTTGATATCACACTTTTCTGATGCAAAAACAGGAAGAATGTTGTTAAAAGAATATATCTCTCTGCTGCCAAACACAGACCCCTGGGTAGCTCCTGTCACTGTGCATGACGTCAATGTACAAATGTAAATTTAGCCACAGCAGTAACTGATGTGAAAGCCTTACATGCTGAGCTCCAAAACAAAACTTGTCAGAGAAGTCTACTCTCTTCAGTACAATCTGGATCAAAACTTAGAACTCCAACCAAAGACATAAAAAAAATTCAAAATTAATTCTGTCAGTGCTAAGACACAAATCTGCAGTATTTAGATATTTCAACTTCTTTGGTGATAACATTCTCTCTTTAACATTTATTCCCATGTACTTCTTTTTCACAAATTCAATTTAGCACTGCAGACAGGTACGCATTTGGGAAGGCATTACACATACTGTACATGAGCATATCTCTACGGTTTTCCTACACAAAATAGTAAGGAATTGACTGATGCAATTGGCAACAATTGAGACAATTCTTCTGTGTCTTTGAAGATGCCTACTGACGTCAATCGTAATATCTTAATGCAATTAAAACACGAAATTGCTAGTTGAATTTGGACCGATTCCTGGGTGAGCCTTTTCTCTTGACTGCTAGCCTCTTTACAAATTCTGACCTCGACGCTTTGTGGCAGAACTCTATAAGTCTATTTACACTTGAAAAGAGACAATCAATGTCTTCCTCATTCTTCCAAATCTAAAGGGAGGATACATCAATGAAAGACAAATACCCACAGTAAAATGCAATTAACATCCAGTCATTAATTTTATATACAGGTTAGGCCTTGGAAAAATATGTTGTGTTTCCTGTTCCAGTCCTGAAAAAAATAGTCGGTAGGTAGGGATTGTCTTTTTTCTTTTTTCGTTTTTAGACTTGGGTGATCCAACTTGTACAATACAGTTTAACAAAGTTAAGTAAAATTTGCATGAGGAAACTTGTAGTTTCAATGTCAATGTTGGAAAACTGATTGTACAATGTTTCATTACTTAAGTGTCAGATCATGGAGCTAGAAAAGGTTGATCAGCTCGAAAAATTTATGTCCCTTGCAGGGGTCCACAACAAAAAGGCATTTTTTTCAAGGGTCTGGTCAGGAAACAGGAAACACAACATTTTTTTCCCCTAGGCCTTACAGTTGTCTTCAGACTCATTTTCGGTCACTGATGAAAGGCAGCGGATGCTACATGAAACGTCTGACTCTACAGAGCTTTTCCAGTTGCTTGATTTCCTTTGGACTACCTCTCCCTGAAGACACTACCATTATTTGTGTCTACGCCTACGTACAGGGATGGAATAAAGGAGTATACACGTGGGGAATGCCCCCGAGTTACTGGTAGATACAATTATCTTGTTGACAGGAAATCCTACAATGAAATCATGGCAAAAACCATGAACAGGCTACCAGATGTTGTGAAAGATTATCTGTAAGTCTATTGAAGCTAGATCACATAAAAAAGAACAGGAATCGAACTACTGGTATGCTGATGTCTGCTGTGGATATTCTTGAAGGCAGAAGAAAGAAGTAGACTCCCTCCTTTGTCAAATGCATTCTCACATCAAACAATTTGTTGCATAACACATAATCCCTCATGTTTTGCCCTTAGGAAAAGCACTTTGTATATCTTTCCTCACTTTTAAGTGTTATTAATATATTTATGTAGTTAGCTTTTTGCATTTCCTACATGTTTTTCAGGTATTGGCCACATTGTAATACTGTAATTCCTGATTTTTTTTTTCACTGTACTTTTATGCTCACTGTTTTCACTGTCACTTGACTTCTGTACCGTGAACTTATCATTACAGTTAACAAAAAATTCCTGGACTTTCTTTTTCCTGCACCTGTCGCCACCGTGAATATATAGTTCCGCGAACATGTCCACCGTGAACATAAAGTGAATTACAGTACATAGTAGTTAAAAATATAAAATAATGTCTGTACATAATTTCATCAGGACTGGTTGGTGAACGACTGGATAGCAAAGTTCTTTTTATCACAACCATTTATTTTTCACGAGCCGACATTTCGATGACCTTCTGTCATCTTCATCGGGATAATTCTGACTGGTTTACTGTGCACTGACACTAGATGTTACTTGGTGCATAGTGCACTAGAGGTGTTAAATAATGGTTGATCCAACTGACCCAGAACAGATTGAGGCTATGCAGTTATTCATTTGAGTGGCTCAGATGTGTGGAGGGCTTGCCCCACAAATGTCAGACTGTCGCGCTGGCGTGCCAATTACTGGGTAATGATGTGAGTTAAAACAACACCGACTGCCACGGGCTCACAGGGAGAAACATCAATTTAGCTCAAGCCGGGATTGAAATACTGGGTACATGTGCACCTTACTTAGTGCACCCAAATTTGGAGCTGTGCACCTAATTTTTGCTGTGGGTGCCCAAATGCACCCAATATATTTTCATACGTTTATGTATGTTAAGATGTTAAATGTACGGTGGTACATATGTATACAGCATATTCATAATACCTTAGTGTCAGAAAAATAATAAAAATTAATCATTCTTATAGTACTTTTCTCTAAAAATGAAACATAATTAGTTGTTGCTGACAATCTACTTATTTCATCTTATACTTATTACTGGGTAATGATGTGAGGCAAAGCAACGCCGCCTGCCATGGGCCCACAGGGAGAAACATCATTAGCTTAAGTGATGCAGAGGGAAATGTACAAAAGCAGGTTCTGTATTTGTATAGTAAGTCTAACAGTTACTGCATTTCTGTGCAACACACCAGCTTCACAGACACATTCTGTGGTGGCACCAAGCCTCCATCTAGGTGATTTAGTACTTGAGATAGTAATATCTAGACCATCGCACGCTGGGCATGACCCTTGTTTTTGAAAGGAGTGGTGGGTTCTTACATTTCACTAAACAACCAGTCATATCTGATCTTTCCACATGTAACTCACTTGAGATAGTAATATCTAGACCATCGCACGCTGGGCATGACCCTTGTTTTTGAAAGGACTGGTGGGTTCTTACATTTCACTAAACAACCAGTCATACCTGACTTTTCCACATGTAACTCTAAGCACTGTTTAAAGCTACCAAGTGAGGGTGCCCTTACTATACTTGAACTAACAGTGGCTCCATTGTAAACTGTGAACCAGTTATAATTGCCCTGATGAAGATGACAGTCATTGAAATGTTGACTCTTGTTAACCATTCAAGTGGTTGTGAATGAAGATCTTCACTATTCAATCATTTATTTATTTATTTCTGTTTTCTTTATACAGGTTAGACGCACTCAGTACAATATACTGCTATACAGGCGTGCCCTGTACAGATCGACATAAACACCAACAACAGTAAACAAAATAACCGAGCATCAAAATCGATGGATCAGGCTGGGTCGAGAGGTTCATCATTCTCCAACCTGATGAAATTCTTTACAGAACACACAGATCAATCAACGGTACTTACACTGACTTGCTGGTGCTGCTGTGCTGCCTGTTGCTGTTTTTGCTGCTGTGCCAGCTAAGCACTCATCAGTTTAGCAAACAAAAAACAAACAAACAAAGAGTACTTACGCTGACTTGCTGGTGCTGTTGTGCTGCCTGCTGTTGTTTCTGCTGCTGTGCCAGCTGAGCACTCATCAGTTTAGCCTGGACCTGCTGTTGTTGGGCCTGAGCTTGGGCCTGAGCCTGGACCTAAACAGATCAGCAACACATCAGAGAGGATATTTACACTACAATGCCACATCTAATGCTTACATTTGGACACTGGTTTCCAACAAATGGAAAATATTATCTGAGTGGCCATTAAAAATGGTCTCAATAACTAAGTGGTCCTGAGGCCACACCAATTTAATTTGTTGGTTCTCGGATTTTTTTCAGAAAAAATATGAAGCGACAGGGCGAAAAAAAAAATAAAAATAAAAACAGGCCTAGGCATCCTATTATAGCCCCAAATGCTTCGATTGGAGCCATGAAGTCAACACAAAAAGCTAGGATAAAATTTAAACAATGAATTTTGAAGTTTTAACCAAACCACTGCATTAAAAGATTGAAAAAACTGTAACAACTAGGAAGAAAAGGACTTTCCTCAACTGTTGGGAGCAAAATTGAGCATTTTTTAGATGATTCAGAACCAGAATTTTTTTTTTTTGTTTGCAAATCAGAAAAAAATGAAGAGGCGAATCCGAGAACCAACAAATTAAATTGGTGTGGCCTGATGTAGAGGTGGTCACTTGTACAGGTTTGTATTTGACTGAGAGATCGACTGTTTTGGCAGAATCCTTAGTTGTAGTTCAAAGTGTTCATGGTGAGTGTTTCCATTGTATTGGAACAAAGCTTAAAACTTTACAACTAAAATCTGGCTGTATGTTAATCAAGTTCATGCTTGAGGACTAATTGCAAACAGACATTGACAAGAACAATGAGTACAGAATGTCAGGCCAGATGGTTGTAATGTAGATTTGGTCACTTGAACAGGTTTGACTGTATTATCAATGGCCAGGTGGTCTTTTTCATGACTGTACTTTAACAGTCTCCTACCTGTGCTGCTGTGGCAAAGGCCACCTTCTCCTTCTGCAGTAACTATCACATTCAAATACTAGTAATTATCATTCTATCATTCCCAATGTTAGTGTTATCGATCTACACTGTATCAGTGTTCAAAATACATTGATTGAACAAGTCTCCCACCTGTGCTGCTGCAGCAAAGGCGACCTTCTGCTGCTGCTGTTGCTGCTGCAGCAATTATCACGAATAACTCTAGAGTTGTCCTTCTAAAATTTTAATAGTCTCTGAATAGTCTCTGAAATGTTCTTCTGAAATAGTCTCCCACCTGTGCTGCTGCAGCAAATGCGACCTTCTGCTGCTGTTGTTGCTGCTGCTGCCTGTGTTTTGCCAGAAGCTGCTGCTGCAGCTGGAGACTGCGGATCTGTGTCTGCGTCGGCTGCTGCTGCAAAGTACCCTTCGCCTAAGGACAGAAGAACAACTCAGCTTAGTGCCGTGTTACAAGTGATGTTGATCTAAGTTTTAGCTCACTAAACAGACACTACTAGTACATACAGTATTTACAGGTTCAATGTACATTTGTATCAGAAAATTCCTCCAGCTCTTTTCGACAAAAACAGTGAATCAAAGCTTTACGTCCCGTCCTAAGGACTGCGACAGTGAGCGACAACAGCCGGGACTCCAACTCCCAACCTCTAGGTCAAGACACAATCATACTCAGGCCTTTTCGGCACTAAAATGTTACCACAGCATAAATTGTTACAGGGTTACATCAACTTCTTCCCACCACAAGAGAAGAAGTCTCAAAATCCAAGTGTTATTCTCAGCACACAGTAAAACAGAACACCAACAGGACTGGTGACTGTATTGGCGTCAGTGCTTTTCAAGACAAAATGGCAACCAGACGTAGAAAATCCCTGAGCTGACTCACAGTTTACACAAAATTAAAACTGATTTTTTTCCATGACTGCTCTTAAAGTCACCTGCTATGTCACACATTGGCAGCACAAAATCCTTGTGTGTTCTCATAAGTGTTAGGACACTTGGCCAAGAGGCTCAGTGGGCATCATTTGACCATAGAGTGAGAAAAATTGGGTGAAGTTCCTTTACCAAAGAGCACAAGAACAGGCATGTCTGGGGATCAAACCCAGGACCTCTTGGTTATGAGTCGACTGCCAAGCAATGCCATACTAATATTAATAAATGATTTTTGTATTAAAATTTTAAAATATAAAAAAAATGTTCATGATGTACCTTTACCTGCTGCGCCCTGGTTGGCTGTGTGAGGCTGACACTGACTCCCCCCACGTTAACTGTGCTGACCGTCACCCCGGCTCCTGTCACAGGCAGGGACGACACAGGCACTGACGCTTTGGTGAAGGCTAGCTGGGCAACGGGGGTAGCCTGCACTCCCTACAGGGGACACAATTGGTTGATCAATCATCAGTGTGTAAACATATGTAACCCTCATTTACAGGAATAACAGAGGATAAACCAGATAGAGAGAGATCAATGAATGAATGAGGTCTTGGTGAAGGCTAGCTGTGCTACAGGGATAGCTTGCATCCCTTACAAACAATTAATCAATCAATCAATCAATCAATTCCCACATTATGACAGGCAGGGCAAGCTATGTCACACAAGCTTAAAGGCAGGCAGCAGTTTTCTGCTCAAGAGTGTATTCATGCTTTACAAACAGTTATGCCTTTTGGAATTGCAATACATGCAAATATTTGCCATGCTGCTTAGCAATGAACAGTTCTGGAACAAAGCAGATCTACATGTAGGTTGATTCCATTTCAAGTATGTGTAGGGGACTGACTGCTTTAATCTGAGGAGGTCCAGCACATAGAATTTGTGGCTAAGCTTTGATAAGAAACATGAATTGTTACAGGGTTACATCAACTTCTTCCCACCACAAGAGAAGAAGTCTCAAAATCCAAGTGTTTCTCTCAGCACACAGTAAAACAGAACACCAACAGGACCGGTGACTGTATTGGCGTCAGTGCTACATGATCAACTTTTCCTTCAACTTCCTTTGACATAGGAAGACACGCAAGCATGCATGCACACAAGAACACACACAGATATACACTTACCCACAGAAAAAGACACACACACACTCTCACAGACAGACAAACACACACTCTCTCTTTCACAGACACAAGCGAAGACACACACATTAACTAACACACACACACACACACACACACTCTCTCTCTCTCACACACAGACACGCACACCAATATACACATGCACACACACACACACACACACACACTCACACGTTCCCACATGCACATTGACAGACACGAGACACAAATGCACGCACACAGACAGACAGCCACACACATGTCCTACCTGTACAGCAGCCTGACTGTGCCTGTGCTTGAGCCTGTTTCTGTTGAAGCTGTTGCCGCTTGATGAGAGCCTGAACCTCCATCTCTCCTGAACACACACACACACACAGACACACAGACAGACACACACACACACACACACCCATGTCCTACCTGTACAGCAGCCTGACTCTGTGCCTGTGCTTGAGCCTGTTTCTGCTGAAGCTGTTGCCTCTTGATGAGAGCCTGAACCTCCATCTCTGACATGGTGCGAGTCACGGGTTTCACCACCTGCTTCTGGGCCTGGAAAAAACAACAACGTACAGTTCATACAACATTCTAGTGCACTGTACTTATTCTCCAGTGGTTAATGATTTTTGGACTGTAAGGATGAAAGTTTGTGATCAGTAAATTGATTCAAAACTAGCAAAGGTTGAGCAGTGCCATCCAGCGAAACTACATGAAGGATGGCATTTTTCCACACTTCAAAATATCACACACAGTCATACTGCATTATCAACTAGTCAATTCGCACAGAGGCCATTTTTTTCTCCCTATTAGGCACAAAAAGGCAACCTGTCCAAGAAGACCACTTTAACTTGGTCATCTGGATGGCCTTCTTGGGTAAGTTTGACTGTCTTTTCATGCAGATTAAGGTACCCTCTGCTGTTCCTGTGCTAAACTGACCTGTACCCTTTGCTGTGCAGTCTGCTGTACCTGTGCCTGCACCACACTTGTCTGGGCAGCACCGCCGCTGGTCTTCAGACCCGCCTGCTGTCCCTCTACTATTCCTGTGCCCTACTGACTACTATTATGTACCCTCTGCTGTTCCAGTGCTGTACTGACCTGAACCCTTTGCTGTGCAGTCTGCTGTACCTGTGCCTGCACCACGCCTGTCTGGGCAGCGCCGCCGCTGATCTTCAGACCTGCCTGCTGTACCTCTACTATTCCTGTGCCCTACAGGCCTGACCCTTTGCTGTTCCAGTGCTGTACTGACCTGTACCCTTTGCTGTGCAGTCTGCTGTACCTGTGCCTGCACCACACCTGTCTGGACAGCGCCGCCGCTGGTCTTCAGACCTGCCTGCTGTACCCTCTACTGTACCTATACTCTTTGCTGTTCCAGTGCTGTACTGACCTGAACCCTTTGCTGTGCAGTCTGCTGTACCTGTGCCTGCACCAAGCCTGTCTGGACAGCGCCGCCGCTGGTCTTCAGACCTGCCTGCTGTACCCTCTACTGTACCTATACTCTTTGCTGATCCTGTGCTGTACTGACCTGTACCCTTTGCTGTGCAGTCTGCTGTACCTGTGCCTGCACCACGCCTGTCTGGACAGCGCCGCCGCTGGTCTTCAGACCCGCCTGCTGTCCCTCTACTATTCCTGTTCCCTACTTGCCTATACCTGTGCTGTGCTGACCTGTACCCTTTGCTGTACCTGTACATTACTAACCCATACCCTCTGCTGTTCTTGTGCTAAACTGACCTGTACCCTTTGCTGTGCAGTCTGCTGTACCCTCAACTGTTCCTATGCCCTACTGGCCTATAACCTCTGCTGTTCCAGTGCTGTACTGACCTGTACCCTTTGCTGTGCAGTCTGCTGTACCTGTGCCTGCACCACGAATGTCTGGACAGCGCCGCCGCTGGTCTTCAGACCGGCCTGCTATCCCTCTACTATTCCTGTGCCCTACAGGCCTGACCCTTTGCTGTTCCTGTGCTGTACTGACCTGAACCCTTTGCTGTGCAGTCTGCTGTACCTGTGCCTGCACCACGCCTGTCTGGACAGCGCCGCCGCTGGTCTTCAGACCCGCCTGCTGGGCAGCTTGCTGCTGCTGCTGCAGTCGCTTGATCTGCTGTTGCTGAAACAAAAACCTTTCACTCAGTTCACAAGTCCAAACAGATCACAAATCCTACAAATCCACTGATACAGACAGAACAGAAATCCACACTGATCCACAAATACGCACAGATCACAAATCCACAAATATTTCTGTGCCAGGCTCAACACGTTCTCAAAGCTGAATTCAATTCATGTGTACCTTACAGAAAAAAAACACACAAGAAAACAGACAAGCAAACACACATGAAAACAACGCCTTAGCACAAAGAGGTAACAAATGAACAAACAATAGGAACAGAATGTGTAGCACCTTCACCAGGCAATGAAAGAAAATGAGAAAATGACAGAAAAAAAAAACGCCGAAAACAAAAATCTCACTGCACAGGAGTAAAAAACAGCATGTGTAAATCTTTCACCACATAAAGAAGAAACAAAAAAATCTGTGTACAAAAGTAACAAACAAACAAACAGTCTGTTTAACGCCTTCACCTGCAGTCTCTGTTGCACCTGCTTGAGCTGCGCCTGGCTGAGCGTCTGCCCCGCCCCCTGCACCTGCTGCGCCTGTTGCTGCGCGCGCAGCTGCAGCTGTCTCTGCTGCAGGTAGGCGATCTGCTGCGGCGTCAGGTTGGCCTTCGGGACCGTCGTGGTGCCAACAACCTGCTGTCCTGTACCTAAAATAGTAAGGAAACACAGGAACAACCCTCAGAAATGTAGTAGCAAAAAAGGGAGCCAAAAATCCAGAAGTGGCCATGGTAGTGATGCACAACAATTGTACAAGAATTGTACATGGCATCTGTTGGTACATACTACAGTTCTACAAAGCTAAATAAATCTACCGTATGCAAGAGTGTGTAGTTCATGAAATGTGAAGTAAGCATAGCCTCTACCAGGCTTCAGGAGGCGGCTGGAAAGAGTAGAAATTGGCCAAAATAGAGATAACATGCCGAGGACGTGGCAACATGTACTCTCTAGCGGACCAACTCCCCCGGCATGTTATCTCTCTCTATTTGGCCAATTTTTACTCTTTCCAGCCGCCTCCTGAAGCCTGGTAGAGGATAAAGTAAGCAGCTTACCTGCTGACACGACAGTGGCTGCCACAGTGACAGGTTGTGCCTGGACGCTGGTCAGCGTGGTGATGTTGGTCAGCGCAGTGGTGGCCACGGTCACTCGGCCCTGGCTGGCCAGCACGGCTGCTACCTCCGTTGTGGTGGCCGGACGGGTGGTGGTACGCACCGGGGTGGAGATTGTTGTGATGGTGCCAGGCTGAAATCAATCAATTGATCAATCAATCAATCAATCAAATATATGTCAAGCTCACATGCTGTATACATGTGTATTATTTTTGTTTTTATGGCATAAGCTCAGACCATAGTCTTCTTCAACACGGCCATAATTTCAGGTCAAAGTGAAGAAAGTTACACATCATTGCTTATATAAGTTATATGTACACATGTATATTGTGCCAAAACAAGAACCTTTACTGTGCATTGTATACAAAATCATCACACATGCCTAGCCACCCCCAAATCCTGAATTGCACACCCCTAAGAGTTGACAACCCCATTAGTCATTGACAGAAAGTATTTGAAACATCTGACAGTTTTCAACATCTAGCTAGTTGCTTGAGTGTAACAGTTTTCTCATCTTTACCTGGATGCCTAACTTTCATCGAAGTAATAAACAGGGCCCGAAATTAATTTTGCATAATAGGTGAACTGGTGCACCCACAAAAAATAATTGGGTGCACAGCTCCAAATTTGGGTGTACTAAGGTGCACATGTACCAAGTATTTCCAGCCCTGAATAAATGCTAAAACTCACAGTGGCGACTCCCTGCTGACTGAGGCTCATGCGTTTGTTGATGGAAGCGAAGGTGTTGGCGTTCAGACCCCCTGCAGGGTTCACCACTAGGCTGGTTGTACTGCCCTTTGCCATGGTTACAGCCGTCAGACTCGTGGTGCCCACAGCGATCTTATTCACCTGGCCGGACTGCTGCAAGGGAAACAAGAAAAAGGTTGACAGTCTAGATAGTTCTAGCACTGATTTATTGAAACCATTTTCATATCAGTGTCTTTATTCACAAGATAACAGTAACTCATCTGAATAGACCTTGAAAACTGTTTCGAGTACATCCACTACTTTTTGTCAAATTGACCAAAAGTAGTGGATGCTACTTAAAAACGTAACTCTTCATTGTTGTCAATGGCAAAAATTTCTAGATGTCAACATAGGACATGAAGTCCTGCTGGATAAACACCTTTTGGCACAGAACAGTCTTTCATAAATAGACACAATGGGGAACTGTCTTTAACTACATGCATAACTAGACACACAAGCAAACAAAACCTCCATATCAAAATAATTTTTCTGGAAGATGAAGGGACGCACAGTGCACACATAATTGTTTTGAGAACATTACATGTACTGTATTCAGTAAGGAAGAAAGTAAAAAAAGTAAGCAGAAGCCTCACCATGACAGTTGCTGTAGTTGCCGTGGCAACTGGCTGTGCGACGGTGACAGTCCTCTGTTGTTGCTGGGCAACAGCCACCAGCTGCTGTCGCTGCTGTTCCGCCTGGGGACATGGCAACAATTCGCTACATTGTGACAATAATTTGCTACATTGTGACAATAATTTGCTACATTGTGACAACAATTCACTACATTGTGACATTTTCTTCTGGGTACCAATTAGCTACTAAAAGGCCAGACAATGTTACATTTTCTTGGCTTGATCAGTACCCAGTGCTTGTCGTTCACGGCAAGTCAGAAGTCTAACGCGTAAAAATCATCACTTCAAGCCAATGTACGCAAAACATTTACACATCATCCTAACCAGAACCTACTGAACTTGTCCTTTAGCACTTCTGCAGAAAGTCTCATTTAAGGTCGTACTTGTCGTCTATAGTTTTCAAATGTTGTGTCAGAAAAGATGCAACGTTCACTGAACAACCAACGAAAACCGTGAAATACCTGGGTTATGAGCAGGCATAGGACATTCTGCCAACATGCTACGTATTCCAACGCTGTCGAGCTAGCTTTTAAGTTAATGCTATTGTAAATCACAATTTTTTTCTGTGTTACTTTAACATTCAATTCTGTACCACAAACTTATCATTACCGTAAACAAATCCTTTGCCAACTTTCTTTTTACTGTACCTGCCGCCACCACAAATGTAACACGTACAATGTAAAAGTACTAAAACATTCCCTGACCGCAAACTTTTGCTGCCCAAAGTACTATTAACTTACAGTGGCGGCAGCCTGGGCTTGTTGTTGTTGTTGTTGCTGTTGTTGTTGCTGTTGCTGCTGCTGCTGTTGTCTCTTTTCCCGAGCGATACGCTCTGCCCTCATCTGAGCCACTTGCACCGGAGGCAGCGGCTTGTCGTAGTTGATGCCACTGTGAAGCAAATACAACATACAATTAAAACAACACAATCAAGACTTCAATGAGTACCCCTACCTAAGCTATCAGAAAAATTGTAGTTTGATGTGTCCATGATAAGTATTAACATTAATATTCCATGTTGACAATGTATAATAAGAGTGTTTGCCTTGAATTCGGCAGGTCTTAAGTTTGATCCCCTGCCAAGTCATACTAAAAACTGATAGATAGTGCTTTCTCTTCTTAAGATACAGCATTTGGGAAAGAGAATGGGAGTTTAACACACACCACTACCAGTGGACTAGCCCCCTGCTGCAGTACTCACCAGCTAAAATCTTATGTAGTAAAACTATCTGACAAACTCACCTTTCCTGCAAGACGGAGGCATGTTTTGGGTTCTTCTGGAATGGGTTCACCAGCCTGCAAAGTGAGAAGGAAACACACTTAGTTACCTTAAGCAAAATACTGTAGCCACTTTCCCTGTCATACTATAAGAATAACAGAAACTTTAGTACAAAATGTTCATCAGCTGAATTTTCTTCATATCACTACTATCTTTTTACTTCATGGATGAATGATTTAATAGATAAGCCACCAGCTAAGTGACATACTTACTCTTAAAACAGCTTTAAAAAGTTTAATTTTCCAGACATACAATTAGAAATTGGAAGACACAACTATTGTTAAAAGTCTATTTTTATTTACCAAATATCTAGAAAAGTTCTCTGCAGTTTCAGGATTTTATATCTAATTTCTACCTTATTCCCAAAGACTGAGACTTACACTTGCTTGAGAGTGGGCGAGCGTTTGGTGGACATAAGTTTCATCAGGTTTGCGTTGTTTATTTTCACTTTTTATTTTTATTTACCTACAATCTAGTTCTCTGCAGTTGCAGGTTTTTATATCTAATTTCTACCTTATTCCCAAAGTGTGTGACTTACACTTGCTTGAGAGTGGGCGAGCGTTTGGTGGACATGAGTTTCATCAGATCAAACTTCTCGGAGAAGACACGCGAGTGTTCCGCGTTGTTGTCATTCGCGTGCAGCTGGCTCGTTCTCATCGGCCGGTTGTTCTTCGTCTGAGAAAAAAAAAAGAAAAAAAAAGTCGTCACTTTTGGCAACATCTTTATGCATTATCGTCAAGATCGTTAAGTAGAGCACATACGATGTTACACACTTGTTTTCTTTTAAAATACTATGTAATGTAAATGTATATGTAATTGTACGTGATGTACTGTTATGTCTTATGTTCCCTCTCCTAGAAGAATAGCTGCCACCCTCGGGTGGGCAGCTAAAGGAGAGCTTCTCCTCAATAAACCTCCTCCTCAATAAACCTCCTCCTCAATAAACCTCATTAGAGCTAGACTTTAGACATCTTTTGCATTAGAGGTAGACTTAAGACAGCAATTTTTCTAAAAGAAGTGTTTACAGAAAAAAAATCCCTATCCAAAACATCCAGCCAGGAATACAAGGAATCGAAACTGTGACCACTCAATCTCATGTCTGCCAGTCTTACCACTTGGCCATTTGACACGTAAAATTTGCTGTCTTACACTAAAATGTAGAAGACAAACTCAGCTTACCCTGTAGATGCCTTTGGACTTCTTTTGTTTCTTGCTTGGGTTGGTGTCATACAAGATCTGCAAGGAGAAAAAAGAGGTAAAATAAGAGTAAATCCTTGAATGCACTCTGCCTAACTAGTCAGTCTCAGCATTTACATCACAGTGCACCAATGAAGCCACCTGTTGAGCAATATGTGTACTGCAGGTAGACACACTTGTACATGTCTAGTACCTCTGTATCTCTTTGGTTCAAACCTGTACAAGAGACAACCTCTACAAAAAGACCACCTGGCCAATGTGACCACTCTTTGGTAATCCCTTACTAATAGATAAATTTTCCTTCTGACACAAGCATTAAGAACCCTGCCAATAGTGAAATCAAACAGATATAGACTGGATTTGTCAGTCTCCGGGATGGTCCTCTTAGAGAGGTTTGACTGTGATAGACCAGCTTTGTCAGTCCCATGAGTGGTCTTCTTAGGCAGTTTTGACTAAAAAACATTCCAGCAGACCACAACACAAAAGTAGACTGTAGAAACACCCACCTTGCCCTCCTCCCGTGGCACTATGACGCTCTCGTAGCGGTTCTTGCACTGTTTGGGTGAGCGGTAGGAGCGGCTGACACTGTTCACCACGTCACTCACCAGCTCCCAGTTAGGGGTGTGGGCGGGAGATACCACCATCAGGTTCAGGGGGAGTTCCAGCATCTGCTGAACAGCCTGGGGGGGAAGGAAATGATTTATCATATTATTTCATTCACATATATTGTCTGAATTTGTCAAGGTTATGCTTCCAGTAGAGTTGTGTGTGTGTGTCTGTACGTGCATTTGTGTGTGTGTGGGGATAATGCAAGAAGGCAAGGATGGATTGTCTAAATATTTGGTAGGTGGGTAGGTCTTGATGTGACCTTGAAATGAGTACTGCAGCAGAACTTCAGGTTTTGATACCTCTTTATATGGATCGTCGATGAAGGTTAGAAAAGAAAACTGTTACTCGAGCTTGAAAAACTGTTCAAGAAGTTTCAAATCGCATCCACTAATGTTGGCCACTAACGAAAAGTAGTATAAATGCTACTTGAAACGCCTGAGAGTTTTTAAAATTTATCCAGTTGCTTGAGTAACAGTTTTTGTGAGTAAAAAGCACCCTTACCGTGAGCAGTGCCCAGTCTTCGTTGATAAGCCACTCCGGATGGTCCTGGTTAGTGTCGATCATGGGTCTGTTCACGACAGGAACAGGCTTCATGGGGCGGATCAGACCCTTCAGTTTCTGTTGTTTGGCCTCGCGACGCATCTTCAGCAGAGCGGCCGTCGGGCGGTCGAACAGCGAGCGCGGCGGGGGCTGGTGTTCGCCACGACGAACCTTGTGCTTCCGAGCTGTGGTGAGAGATGAAGAACATGTTAGTTACTCTTAAACATTCTAAAAATCCCTTAATTAGCCTTCTGCTGCTGGTTTATTTACTGATACAACAACAGATAGCATGCCAGGGGAGTTGACAGTTTGCCACTCGGAGGCTACCAATTAACATAATTATCACTATGAAGACGATAAATTTGACTCAGAAACAAATTTTACAACTTAGCCTTTGTGTACAGTTCCTCGACTAAAATTCAACACAGCTTAGCTTTCTCAAGCGTGAAAGAGGTGCCAAATGCGACCTTAGCATTCAACGGCAGCAGTTCCAGACCCTAATCAGGGTTGGACAAGTTTTCAAAAATCCTCTTGCCCTATCGGGCAAGTACATGGTCATTTCCACTTGCCCGAACCAACTTTTCACTTGCCCAAAATATATGACCTTTTTATGCATTTTTACTACCAGCATCTTATTTTAGAGATTATAATGCTGCATACTTTATTTGTCAAAATAATGTGGTTTGAGACTTGCAATGGATTTTCTGACGAAAGGACATTAATATAATATCAATTTGGCAAAAAGATGAGTAATTTTGCTCCAAACACCATAGCGGTTATACTTTGCATCCAAAAAAAAATTACTTGCCCAATCGGGCAAGTACAGGGGGATATTCACTTGCCCGAACAGTACTTTTACTTGCCCTGGGCAAGTGGGCAATGGGACTTGTCCAACCCTGCTAATGCTATTCAGCCCTACGAATATTGTACCAAGCTCCTCAAAATTCAGCCCTTGGCTGCAAGATGGAATATATGGTCTCCTTTGGTCAGTACTGACCATGGTCAGCCGAACAGATTTGGCTAAACAGTCCTTTGCAAGAATGGCAACGGACTGTTCAGCCATAGCCGAAGCTGTTGGGCTGTTAACAATGAAATGGCTGTCTCTGCGTAGCCACCCAGTAACAGTAACAAGGTGTAGTTACCTGCATGTGGGTCTAGCCTGACCCTCTTGTGGTCCTTCTTGACGTAGATGGGAGGCAGCTGGGACTCGGATATGGTGGCTGGGTGGTACAGGAAGTTGTGTGAAGGGTCCATGTACACGTCATTCTCATCCTGGGGTGGGGTGGGCGGCGACCACAGCTGCATAACATACATGTACACAGCCTTCGTTACTCTTCTGTATCTGTATAGTCTGTATAACTGCCCTTAAGTGTAACACACCAGCTTTGCAGGCACACAGAACGGTGGCAGCTAGTTATGCATGTATTACAGTAACCGTAATACCCAAGGACTTGGTACAACCACTCTTTGCACATCTACATGTACATGTACCATATAATGTAACTGCTGTGACAGTGACAGTCGTAGTTTAAAGCTATCTAGTGATGATTCCCCAAATGTACTTGGTGGCAGCGAGTGCCACTCTGTGCTAGTTCTAGGAAAAAATGAGTTCTGAACGGGTCAATCCTTAGTTTCCCACCTTCCAATTTACAACATGAACTTGCCTCAGCAATAAAAGACAGTTCTTGAAGCTTCATTTGCTACACCTCATTAGAGGACTGAAATCAGCAATGTTTGTTCTTTTTTTCACATCCCTTTCAGACCAGCTTTAGAAAATGGAAACTTACCGGCATCTTCTCCTTGGTGATGTCACAGAGGTAAACCTGGGAATCAAGGGGAGCAAAACGTGTCAGCTTTCAACAAAACTAGACCATTCTGGTCATGGCTGCTTTCATTTCATGTACATGTAGACTGTGTTTCTTGTGTTTTATTATCTGTATAGCCGCTATAACTGCCCTACAGTGCAACATATAAGCATATATCACACTGAACCTACCCTTTGTACATCTATATGTAACTGCTGTGTTGTTTAAAGCTACATGTACATGTATCACTCCTACTCTTCATGTGTGTGTTGGGTTCTTTTTTGGGGGCAGAGGTTTGATGCCCGAGGCTACCATGGTGACTCCTCTTACACTGGGCCATCTTGCTCAGATGTCATCGGTCCCTCAAGTGGTCTTCTCGCTCAGTTTCGGCAATACTGTTTTCCCTTGCAACTAGCCTTAGGGCACGAGTTTGCGTATAAAGTTCTATATAAAATTCAATATACAGGGCTCGAAATCTTTTTTGTTGTTCAGAAATCATTGTTGCCATTAGGCCAAAAAACAGTTACTCAAGCAACTGGATATGATTTTCCAAAATCATATCCAGTTGCTTGAGTAACTGTTTTTGGCGTATCGTTTTACCTGGATGTCTAAAATTCATCGACGTATTGTTGCCATTATTTCTTTTATATTTCATAGAGCTAATAAAAATCTGCATACACCTGTATTTTTGTATAAACCCAGTGCATGGACCTGTGCATAAATATCTGCACAGCTCCAGTGGTATTTCGAGCCCTGTACAGTTACACTAACACATTCAAACCAGCATCTCAGCATTCACACCCTGGTAGCCTTATTCCCCCTTGGTAGCCTGGGATGGCAGAGGCAGCGTGACTTAAAATTTCAGAAGATACGCAGAAAAAAAAAATTAAGAAATTTGCTAACATATCGTTGTCGAGATCGCAGTCAGCAAAAAAAAAGGGGGACAAGCCCGTTTTGATCAATTCAATAGTGACATAGATAGATTCACTTGAAAAGAATTTTGTAAGCCTTCTTGATGTCACATAGTTTGGCTAGATATAACTTGGTTAACTGTGAAGGAATCACTTGAATCTTGAAGTCAACTTGCAAACATAGGCATCAATTTAGGTCTGTAAATTTAATCGCATCCAAAAGGAGAACATCAGAAATTTTTTTTCAAGACACAGCTTTGCAAAAACAAAGGGCAGAAGCAAAGCGATTTCTCTCAATCGTGAAATGGGGCAGTGGGCGAAAAACAAAATTTTTGCTGGTTTGCAGCCGACACGCTGGCCTTTGCCATTCCAAACTCCTCAATTTGGCTTGGTTCAAGACAGCCTGTCTGTCTGTAAGGCTGTCTGTCTGGTGTATTGGGGATCTGATCTGTATATAAAAAGGCAGCCACAGAAAATCCCCAGAGAAAACTGTGGCTAGTATCGTGATGTTGCTACCACCCTGCCATCCGCACTCCTGCATACCAAGACAAAATAAGAGCCACACAAGGATGGAACGCCAGACCACATGGTTTAAAGTGTAGTAGTGTTCTCTTTTCTTTCATTCCTTTATTTTTATTATTATGATAGAGCTGTGCACATCTGTTTTGCACATATCACAATCATGATCATATCTTGAGAACAGAGGAGGTAAACGGAATATCGCACGTACGTAAACATTAGCCTACACACAGTGTACCTTTACAGTGGGACCAACACAAAAGTCAATTTACATTTTCTTTCCATCATTTTTACCTTCTGGACATTGACGAAGTTCAAAAAAGCAGCAGCATTCATTTTTTTAGTGCCAACCATCTCTTGGGGCTAGTCTCTCTCTCTCTCTCTGTAACTTTATACATCGCTCAGAAATATACCTGTATTATCATTTAGCACTTTAGATATAGAAAATTTGTTTGTTCCTAACTATTTTTCGTTAACCGCAGGTAGGTACAGTAGGACAGCATGGCTTAACTGTTTCCATGGAGCTCGAGTTGTAGAGAACTCGAACTGAACGATCCTGATAACCTAGAGCTTCGTCTCGTGGGAGATTTCACGGGCGAAGTGCTCCGAGAGCTACTTCTAGACCCGCTCCTCGAGCTAGCTCGAGACCTGGTAACTATCGCTACGTCTGCTCTTGGTGACGTCCGAACTTTCGCAGTCGGCGACGTCTTTTTGTTTCTCACACCGTCAACAGCCAAAGGAGGCAATTTTGGTTTCTCTTGGTTAGGCGTTGAAGTTGTTTTCGCCACCGCTGTAGCGGCGGCGTTTTTCACGCGATGATCCCTAGTACTACTACTCTTGTGGACGGTGTTGTTTTTAACCGACTTGCTCGCTGCGTTAGGGTGGAGCTTTTTCTTAAGGTTGCTGCCGCTCCCCCTGCTGTCAGGGGAGTCCCTTGCGCTGGCGAGTTTGCGCTTCTTGCCTGACTTATGCACCTGGTTTTTGGCGTCGTCTTGTGAGTAGGTGAAGAGGACCTCGTCGTCCTCCATCTCCGCTCGTCTCTCTTCCTCCTCCTTCAGGGCCTGCAGACGGCCCAGCTCCCAGTCCTTCTTCGCAGCCTCCACCTGTTCCTATGGAAAAGCATACAAACCTCAGGCTAAATCTTAAAATTTTTCTACATATATGTATATGCGCTATGGATAGTGTTACGAAACCCTCACAAATGGAAGGGTCTTGAGTACATTCTGTTGACTACTAAAATTGAACAGGCATTTGAAAAGCCCTTTTTTGCGTCTCATAACTGATATTTTAGTGTTACAAAACTTTTACAAGGGAAGGCATTTGAAACTTGATTTTTTTAAATACAAATTTCCTATAATATTTCCTCGCTGATCAGCATTACAGATTTTTCTATTGCATCTGCAAATTGATTGTCTCTACATTAAGTTTCCACATTGCAGACTTGTCAGTTCAGGTTTGGAACAACATCACAAAGTAGATGTAGACCTACTTGCACTTTTGTAAAACCGTATAATGGCTATTGGTTGAAATGATACATGCTAAAGTACTTAACATCCAGTTAAGGTTTTCTTCACGTAAATTCCAAGTGAACAGAGGTTGACTTACTGCAGCCACTTTGAGCTGTTCTGTGGAGAACGGAGCCAGGGATCTCTCCAGGAACATCACAGCATACTTCTCAATAGGAGACAGCTGGGGAGAAAACATAGAAACAAAAACACTTGTTACTGAGTATCTTAACATGAAATGTGAGACGCTATGGCAGATGACCATATTACACGGAATGACCTGTCACAAACAACTGTTGCACATCTAACTGCAGGCGTTGTTTCATCATAAACAAGAAAGAAGAACCAAAAGAGCATGTTGGCAGAACGTACTGTGCCTGTGCAAAACCCCCTTTTTTTCAAGGTGTTTGTTGGATACATTGCATCATAATTTTGCCTGTTGCAGATGATATATTTTCAACCGTAACATTAGGAACCTATAGACGGAGTGTTAACCTTATATGCGTGAATACGACCTTATATGAGACGTTCTGCCAAAGTGCTATGCACGATAAGTTACAGGCTTAACACAGGTGCAGTACGTTCTGCCAACATGCGTTAACCAAAAGAAGTAGTGACTTACCTGATCGTCGAGCTGTGCGAGTTCCTCCTCCACCTTGGACACCTCCTCCTGCTGCGATGGCCGGCTGTTCTCCCCGTCTTCGTCCAGCGGAATCGTCTCGTTAAACTCCGCCAGTTCCGCCGCTGCCTCCGCGCTCGCCAGCTTGGCCGCCTGGACGTCCGTGTCGTCCTCTGCTTTTGCCAGCGCCTGTTCCAGCATGGCCTGCAGTGATACAGGTAGTTAGTTTAAGTTAAAAGTCCTCCCTACAACCATGGTCACACCCATCTGTTTCGTTGCCCTTGGGCACACATTTGTGCAATGCACTACAGCAGGGAGCTAGTCTACTGGTAGTGCTGTGTGCTTAACTCCCACACTCTTTCTCAAACACTGTGTATTAAGCAGAGAAAGCAGTGTGTACCATCTTTAAAGTCCTTGGTACGACTCGGCCGGGGATCAAACTCACAACCTACCGAATGTAAGGCGAGCACTCTACCCACTTGTACCTTTGCACCAGTTTATACAGTGGTGGAAATCCTTTTTTTTTCAGTGATATTGCAGAATGTCAACATTTTGTTCTGCTTGGAAATACTTTCTGCAAATACACGATGCAGATGGGTATTTCTAACACTGACCTGTGACATCTTGGGGTCCTTGGGAGGGACGGGACTGGGTGAGGTCTCCTGGAGTCTTCTGGCCTGGAGCTGTGCCCTCTCTTCCTCTGGGTTCATATCAAACAGCTCCTTCAGGCTGGTCTGGAGAAATAAACACACAAGCATGTTAACCTTCAGCCTGCTAAAGTAATCTGTATTGGTTATGGGGTTAGGCAGCAGGGAGAAGTTGAGCATGATAATAAGACAATGTCCTGAGCACTGTCTTTGGTCAGACTAGTCTGGAGAAATAAACAAAAGCAATGTTCTGAACTTTATTGCAAGCAAGGAATGGACATTAAAATGCAGTTTAGTGCAGGTAAAATTGGAGCTGTGCATATATTTTTGATGTCTACCTGCACCTAACCTGCACTGGTCCATGTACTGGGTATATGCAGGTTAGTGCAGGTAAAATTGGAGCTGTGCATGTATTTTTGATGTCTATCATTCTGCACCTAAAATGCACTGCCCAATGTCCAGCGTTTATATCCAAATATAGGACACAAAGTTAGTAAATAGATTCCTGCTGAACTCATCTCAGATCTATTTTCTTTATTTTGTCTTAGATCTGTGCTATTTAAGTTGTCTATTTTCATGTGTTTCCGTCAAGAAAGGCCACATAAACGACAGTAAAACGTCCTGTGGCATCCCCAAGATGGAGTTTTATGTATGGTCAAGTCCACAACTCAGCCAGCACTGGTTCCCCAGCTGGTCTTGGTATTTGACCAATTCTTGTAAAAAAATAATTCCTTTTTTTGCCATTTTCCCACTACAAGTACAAAGAAGAATAAAACGTGTGTGTGTGTGTGTGTGCTTGTGTGTGTGTGTGAGTGTGCGTGTGCTTGTGTGTGTGCTTGTGTGTGTGTGTGTGTGTGTGTGTGCCTGTGTATGTGAGTGTGTGTGAGTGTGTGTGTGAGTGTGTGTGTGTATAAGCAACAACAACAAAAGAACAGGCCAATATTTGAACAATTCTTACGTATAGACACAGAACAGACACTGAGAATGCAATATTATGCATATTGGTTTGGAAAATCCCCTGACCCAAAGGCTATGGTAAAAATCCAGCTTAAGAAGACTCAAATTGAGTCAGGAACCAAGGATATTTAAAAAAGCAACTGTTAAACCAATGGCTAGCCACACCAATTTAATTTCTTGGTTAACGGATTCGCCGCTTCATTTTTTTCTGATTTGCAAATAAAGATAAAAATCCAGAATCAATTGCAAAATGCTCATATTTTGCCCTGAACAGATAAAAACAGACCTTTTCATCCTAGTTGTTAGTTATTCCATCTTACAATGCAATGGTAACCTATCATTAAAAGTTCAAAATTCATTGTTTAAATTTTGAACCAGCCTGGTGTGTTGACTTCATGGCTCCTTTCGTACCATTTTGGGCCATAATACGATGCCTAGACCTGTTTTTATTACGCTCCATTATTCTTCTAGAAAAATCCGTTAACCAAGAAATTAAATTGGTGTGGCCTTTAAGAAAATGATTGACTTATAAGAACATGTACTGACCTCTTTGAAGAAAGCAGTGGTGAAGTTGCCCCCTTCGATGGAGACGTCGACAAGAAGTCTTTTCTGGTTTGCCTTCTTCAGGATGTTTTCTTCCACTGTTCTCTCACTCACCAGTCTGCAAACACAGCATAAAAACATCTTTATGTCGATATTTATCAAACTGGTGTTAACTTCTACTTCATGTATGTCAATACAAGAGTGAGAAAGAAAAATGAAGCAGTGAGCAAAAGTCTGTAGATTGGTAGACACAAGAATTTGTAGATTGAAGCCAAATGCAAGTTTTTATCTGTAAAGTAAGTTCTTATCTTGGTCTTGTGCAAACTGCAAAAAAGATACTTTGAGGAAATATACTTTAGTGCAGTGAGGTCAGGATGGATGTAATCGCTTCCAGGAGTTTTTGTCATTGTAACACTAGGGTTACTGTAATTCGGCCTTTTTTGTCATCATTCCTCACTTGCACTAATTATTGAGGACGCAACTCTTCACTTATATCTGAGAAAAATTCCAGCCCCCCAAAAATGTTGCTAAACCACAGGAATACAACGTTGGTATTGTGAATTTGCGGTAGTGTATTGTGACTTTTACAACAAACCGGCTCATGCTGGCCTTTTGTGGCATTTATAAGTCAGCACTATGCCAAGTTCCAGAGTTCAGTGGAGCCACAGTAGCCTGGGTGCCATCCTCCGTAGTTGCTATGGACTATGGAGGATGGCACCCAGGAAAGAGCCTCTGAGGAGGTAATTTTTTTTTTGGAGCAGCCAAAAATCAATGCGTGTGTGAATATCATCCATAGAATTAAATCGGTGTTGCCTTATCACACATAAGTATCTTGAGCTCAAAGCTACCTGTAGATGTTGACGTCTCGTGTCTGCCCGATCCTGTGACACCTGTCCTGTGCCTGAGCGTCCATGGTGGGGTTCCAGTCACTGTCGTAGAAGATAACTGTGTCTGCGCCGGTCAGGTTAACCCCGATCCCACCGCTCCGCGTCGACAGGATGAACACGAAGATACGATAGTCCGCATTGAACCTCTCCATCAGAGCCTGGTTACCATGGACAAGAAAAAATCAGCATCTACTTATGCGACAGCAGTAATCACTGTAGTATGCACACTGAAAGACATTTTGAGGCCTCTATGAAAAAAAAAATATATAAACGAAATAAAACTGCTGTGAGAGCAAATGCTTTTACAGACACCAAGACAAGATGCTATCTCCTAAACACTGGTAACCTGTCTACTTAAGTCGATCAAAAGCCCCTACTGGCTTTGTTGAACAAGTTGCACTAGGAAAGTCTGCATTGTCTACATGCGTATAGGAATGTCAGACACAGACAAGATGATGTCCCATCTTGAAAGTTCATTTGTGTTGGTAGAAGTCATTATGAAGCAGGTATAATTTCATTCCTTTACAAAGACTGAAGTTGAACAGTGGAAAATTTGGGTAGGTCCAATTCCTTGTGTTCGATCTCCTGTCAGACGAGGTAACATGTCCTGACCTGTCTCTGCTCTATCCTGGTGGTCCCGTCCAGCCTGAGGTAGATGTGGCCGTGATAGTTGAGGAAGCGCTCCAACACGTCCAGCATGCGGGTCATCTGGGTGAAGATCAGCACCCGATGCTGGCCCTGCTTCAGCTGGCGAAGCAGCTTGTCTAGTCTCTGAAGCTTTCCTGGGAAAAATACAAATAGAAATGGCTGAGTTTCTTTTGGGTTGACACAACAGTTCATCAGACTCTCTGGTAACTGATGTTTTCCTGTCCAAAACTAGAAGAGGCAGTGTTTGTACATTACAAAGACCTCATTTTTGGGTTGACAAAACAGTAATGCATGCAGTCTAGTCTCTGCAGAATACATATTCCAAAATGTGCAAAGGTTTTTCTATTCCTTGCTTTCAGGAAAACTGCAAAGAACCTTGTAAAGTATCTTGTCAAGTCTTTAAAATTTTTCAGCCAACAAGGAAGTTTACAAAACCCACGATGTCAACCAAGGAAGTGATGAATCGACAATATAAGGCATGAACCCACAGGACAGAGGCAAATCATGGGCTGCCATCAAGCCTCAGCATCAATGTGCAAGCTGGCCATTGAACAACAGATGCTAAACTGTATAGTAAGTGAACTTACCACAATCATACTGCACGAGTCGAGGGTCAGGAAACTGGGTAAGCATGCCCCTCTCTACGCGGTGGTAACAGCGCAGGCGGGGCACTACCTCTACTGTACTTACTGTTTACTACTGTACTGTACTACTGTTCTACTCCAACTTACCACAATCATCATCCAGTCGAGGGTCAGGGAACTGCTGCAGTACATATAAAAGCTGCCAGGGGGCCCAAAATCTAATCATTTCTAGGTCTCATCAAGACCCACACACCTACCAAGTTTCATGGCAATGCATATCAAGCTTCTTGAGTTATGCTGTTCACAGACAAACGCTACTGAAAACATAGCCTTCTTGGCAAATAAAATGAACCTACCACAATCATACTGCACAAGTCGAGGGTCCGGGAACTGGGTGAGCATGCCCCTCTCCACACGGTGGTAACAGCGCAGGCGGGGCACCACCTCCTGACGAAGGGCCAAGTCCAGAACCTGTCTCCTCTGCACCAGGGAGGGAGGGGGGTGGGACGTGTGCATAGTGATGGGAGGGGCCGACACACGAGGCACCTCAAACACATACCTGTGGAAGAAACAGCGTGGATTTAGGAACTGAACTCTAAGGGGTAGTACCTAAAGTGGAGGATCCAGAGACAGGCCATTCAGTGTTGAGCGTCCAAAATTTGACTGATCTGCAGTAGTGTTTTAAAAAAATAGTACCGACTGAAGCCTGGACAGAGGCAAAATGGCTAAGGGTCCAATAAGCTGTTATCTCTCTAAACAGTCTTGCAATGAGTAATCAATGATTTACAAGGCCTCTCAATTATCTCTCAATGATGACCATTTCTGGTCTCTGTCATCTGGAAAAGGGGCCGTAACACTTGTATTTCAAGACATGCAGTCACTGTGCAGGGTTATTGAGGGAATGGGGCACTAGGCCCTGAATATGCTTGCAGCACATGACCTCTTAACCTAATGGTTAAAGTGACTAGTTAGGACTTTGGACCTGGGACCTCTAAATACTGAGTCAACCACACGGTTACACAGTGCAAAGCAAGACATGTGTGTCCTCCCCCCACATACAGGGGTGCACACAGGCTACCCCCTAAGCTGTGGGAAACAGGACATCTTTCTCTGTCCCCATCAAAATCCCACAGAGAAATGGGAGCTTCAACTGCGGGGGTATAGGGCTGGGGAGTGGCATGCATTGCCCAGACTCCAGAGGTTTGTAACAACATCATTCTGGACCTGGAGGTTTGGGGTTCGAATCCCGGTTCTTGTCCTTAACATTATATCAAAGCTACTGGGAAGGGTAGCAATCGTCAGGATTGGACGTTATATACGTAGTGTTTTTGTTTATTTTTTCTTTTATTCATTTAATCACTGAATTTTCAAACTGCTTGTTAGCCCCATTAAACCCTACCAAGTTGTTTTTCAAAGAGGCTGCCATCTACAGAAAATCATCAACATTCATTGACTGCACAGATATGCACAAAAGTACAAACTTTAAACAAAGATAGTCTGTTATTGATGAACAAGGAAACAGTTACTCTAGCAACTGGATGGATTTTGAAAACTGTCAGACGTTTCAAGTAGCATTCAGTACTTTTCGTCTGTGTATCTCATTACATTTACAAGATTGTTTATTGCCTCAACAAAGAGGTACAAGGACTTTTGTATGGTCTTCTACAAGTAAAGATCTAACAAAGCTCAATACACGTATGTATAACAATCTTATGTACAGAATATATGTATGCGGCAAATTATGTACAGAATATACATGCATGTCAGCGGCAACAATAGATGTCTAACCTACCTATCAATGAGTTCGCCGAGTTCCTCTAGTCTCTGTTCCGGGGTGGGGAGAAGTGTCCGTAGTGCGTCAGTGGAGCTCCAGTACACCGCGGGGTGGCTGTAGTTCCGTGTGCTGTACATGTTATGACAGTTCACCAGCCCCACACTTCTCCACGTGTTGGAGGAATACTTGGACGACCGCAGGTCGAAAATGTCTGAGACTTTGCTGACCAGGTCCGAGCCGTAGACAGGTTTGGCAGAGCAGCGGAAACGGTTGGCTTCTGCTATTCTCAACAGGGTTTCTTTGTGTTCCTTTTCCTCTTGTTTCTCTAGGTACTCCTGTAAAAAAAAAGAGGATTTTCTTTCAGTAAAAAGAGTTCAGCTGTGTCAAACATCTAACTAGCTAAGTTAGCTTTAAAAATAAGATGCATAAGGGTACAATGTATCTCAAGATTGCTAACTGTTGAGGGCTAGGCTGGTTAACACAACATCTCTTCTCGTTTCTCTAGGTACTCCTGTAGAGTACAACAGGAGTCCAACTGTGTCAAGCATCTAAATTAGCTAAGTTATCTTTAGAAATAAGAATTAGATAATATAGGGTTCATAAGGGTATCTCATGATCGCTAATTGTTGAGGGCTAAGCTGGTTTGGTCATGTTAAAGGGACCACATCAACAACTCTTCTTGTTTCTCTAGGAAAGAGGATTTTCTTTCAGTCAAAAGAGTTGAACAATACACATTTACAGCTGTGTCGTGTATCTAAATTAGCTAAGTCAGCTTTTGAAATGAGATGTGTAAGGGCACATGCTTCAAGATCGCTTACAGTCCATTGCTGAGAGCTAAGCTTGTTTGGTCATGAAGATACACATGTGCCACCACCACAATCTTTCAAATTGCCTTTGCTTTATCTTTGACTAAAACACTAACCTGTTTGAAGCCAAAGTTGCCAGTTTGTAGTGCAGTAAAACTTGCCCTAGTGGCCACCTCTTCAAGCTGGCCATCTGGCCTTAATTAGCTTTTCCTGGTCTCTATTTTTTTCCATAGGCAGAAATATTCAGTGACCTGTCTAAGAAGACCACCTGTCCAAGAAGACCTCTGTCTCCCTAGGTGGTCTTCTTAGGACGGTTTGACAGTAATCTAAAGTTTGTTTCCCTCCTTGGGACCATGGAGACATGGTTTAGTCCCCACGGCTCGTACCTGGGGAGTTTTTGTTATCGGCCATTTTATAACTACCTGCACCAAAGGGCAATGGAGCAGGAAGCCTCTATGGCCTAAGTGAGAAATCATAACCATGCAATCCATGAAACTTAAATAGATTGTAATGATTATGTGTTGACTGCTTGAGGCATAAGGAATCATGTGGACCTGACTATGGGATACGCTCACCCTGGCTTTTTTAAAATTTCTAACCCTCCACCATTTTTTTATGTAATTGCCTGCATTTTGAGAGGTAAATTTCATAGGCAAGGCATTAAGTGCAAAGAACGGATGCTTAACCCTTAGCACACTGAAGTAGCTGTATGGCTACCAGTTCTTTATTTTATGCTGGAATAGGCAGTAGTGAGAGGGTTAACATTGCACTTGTACTTGACCCTCTTCCAGCTGCCTAACCTGGTATCCAATACAAATATGCCAAAGGGCAACCTTGGCAGGTTAAAGTTAACAAGAAGAACCATGTTACCCACCCAGATGGAATGGTGACTTCTCTGCAGGTTTCTTCTGCACTGAATGTTGGAAAACTGATTGTGCAACATTTCATCACTTAGGTGTCAGATCAAAGAGCTAGAAAAGGTTGATTAGCCCAAAATTTATGTCCCTTTTTAAGGATCCACAAAAAAAGGCTAGGGTCGGCAGTTTTTCCTAGGGTCAGCCGGGAAACAGGAAAGACAACATCTTTTGCCTAGACCTAACCTGGCATCCAATACAAATTTGGTGCCAAAAGGCTACCTTGGCAGACTGAAGGTTAACAAGAACCCTAGACTTACCAGATGGAATGGTGACTTCTCTGCTGGTTTCTTCTGCACCGAAGACGTGGCCGTGGTCTTCACCACAGACGTGGAAACCGTCGGCGCAGTGCTGACCGTCGTCGTGACCGTTGCCGTGGTAGCGGAAACCGTGGTGACCGTCGTCCTGGCAACGGGCGCGGTGGTCGGCGTGGCAACGGGCGCGGGAACGGCTCCCGCCGGGGCTCCCGACACTGTAAGATAACGGATCACTGGACATTCCAGCAAGGATTCGAAGAAGAGAATTAACTTCAGAGGAAGTTGTCAATCAATCGTAGTGATCAGATACAAGAGATCATTATCAGTTAGAAGTTGTTAATAAAAAGAGACAGATCTGTACAGTCAAAAGATAGACATCACATCAACATAGTTTGATTATTCATGTCTAGAAGAAGTGGAAAGTTTCTGATTGAAAAAATATTATAGATTGTGCTTCTCCTATTGGATCAATTTTTTTACTTCAGTGACTGCCAATTTTTTAGAAAAAAAAAAAAAAATAGTTTGGGCTCTGGGCTACCAAGTTTTTAGAAAGATGAAAAGGGTTAAAAGGCTCCTTGCCCCTGCATGCAAAAAAGAAAATTAGCATCTTGCATGCAAAAAATTTGCATTAGTTACAGGGTTAAGCAAAAAATGCTTTAATGCTTTTACTGGCCACCCCATGCACACAAATTAACCATGCATGCACCAGCGGCTGTTTCTAACCTTTAGGTGTGGTTGTTAACCCAGCTGTCGAAACACCGCTGGTCCCGCTAACGCTCGCGCCACTGACTAGCACGATATTTCCCGTGGACGTAAGCGGAGCCATCTTGACGATCGGTTTAGCCGTGCTGGTAACAGTGACAGTCTTGGGTAGTTGGACGGTTACAGCCGGTTTGCTGACTTGTTGGGGTGGAGTCTGGGCTTGTCTCGGGTGTGCAGTGGTCAGTGTGATGACCTGCACAGGGGAGTGAGATATACTCTTCTTCAGAGAGTATTTAGAGAGGGGAGGAAGCGTTAGACTTCACTGCAAACCACGCCAAGCTGAACTATAGCATAGCAGAGCACATACACATAACATCTACTATCATAACAGAGCACTTTTGTGTGATGACCTGGACAGGGGAGTGAGATATACTCTTCTTCAGAGAGTATTTAGAGAGGGGAGGAAGCATTAGATATCACTGCAAACCACACAGCAAAGCCAAGCACATATGCATAACTACTAACACAATATCTAACACATAACAGCACTTTTGTATGATGACCTGGACAGGGGAGTGAGATATACTCTTCTTCAGAGAGTATTTAGAGACGGGAGGAAGTGTTAGACATCACTGCAAACCACGCGCCAAGCTAGTTTATAGCACAGCACAGCATAGCACAAACTTACAACATCTACTAACATAATTCCACAAAGGGCATTATGAATCCACCACCCTAAAAACAGCATCCACAGAGATCTCTATTGCAACATACATAAAACTTGCACTTTTGAAGGCATTTTATTTTCAAGGATTTCAATTGGTTTAGCAAGCATCCATCTGAAATTTTAGTACAGTCAAGCTTGCACAAGTAGGCCACACAGGGTAACAAGGTAATCAAAGTGGTCCTCTTGGACAGGTAACTTGGAAAAACTTTTTGCGAGATCAGGAAATGCTGGTTGCTTTGACCAGGTGGCCGGCTTCATAAGGTGGCTGCTTGATCAGGTTTGACTGTATCACGAGCACCAATGCTGGCTCCCTACCTGTGGTTGTTGTTGCTGGGCCTGTTGTACTATGAGAGCTTGTGGCTGCTGTGCGATCTGTGTGTGTGGAGTTGGTACTCTCTGTACTGTCACAGTCTGGGTTACTAAACCTGTGCCTTGGGTAGCTGGAATAGAGTAAAGAATGCCTTCTTAAACAGATCAGAAATGTCTATAATACTAGATTTTTAAGGAAAACGTGCAGTTGAGGTTGTACAAAGGCTTGATCAGTACCCAGTGCTTGTCGTTCACGGCAAGTCAGAAGTCTAACGCGTAAAAATCATCACTTCAAGCCAACACACATACAGCATTTACACATCATTAAATTACTTGTCAGATCTGTACCCACAACCCTGTATCTAAAGCCATGGAGAAAATGTTTAAGATATATAAGCCCCAGAGACAATATTTCCTGAATTTTGCAGGACAAATGGTGTGAAGTTAAGATTCCCTCTTTTACGGCCTTATCTTAGAGCATGATGACAAAATAGTCACAGGGTTCTACCTACACTGGTTGAAAGACTGCCAAATCACAGCACAGGGAGCCCTATAGTCAAACAAAGCTAGCTAGAACACTGCACCATCTCCTGCACATATGTACATTGAAAAAAAAAATGTACTGACCAGGTGAAGAAGTTCTGGATAGCAGCTGTGCCTGAGACTGTGGGACAGCGGTTACGATGTTGGGACTGGCTGTCCTCAGGATCTGGTGTCCTGTGGTCGTCTGGATTATCTGTACAAACCCTCCTACAAACATACAAGAAACAATGTTTGCTTTCTTGCCTTTACATAGAAATATCCACTGCTTACTTGCTGGGGCAGGTCAATTGAAGCAGGGCTGGAAATACATTTTTGGGAATAGGTGCACTGGTGCACCCAACCTAAAAAATTGGGTCTATAAAAAATTTTGGGATGCACCAAACAAAATGAAATTGAAATGTCAGCAATCATATCCAAAGAAAGCAGTACAAGAATGACTTTATACTTTTTCTGACACTTAGATGTTAAGAATATGCTGCATACTACTATACATTTAACATCTTTACATACCTAAACCTACGAAAATATTTGGGTGCACCAAACAGAAACCCAGTATTTCAAGCCCTGATTGAAGACACTACATGTGATATACTACATGTAGGTCCATTTTGTGTGCAGTGAGGTCAGAATGAATCGGATGTAATCGCTTCCAGGAGTTTTTGTCACTGTAACACTAGGGTTACTGTAATTCGGCCTTTTTTGTCATCATTCCTCAACTTGCACTTACTGAGAGAAACAACAAGACGAACAAACAAACTAGAAAGGTAACATTTGCAAAGCAAATGCATAATGTTACCTTCACATATGATCTGCTGTTAACTTTTACCCAAACACATTCATATATATGGTAAGACAGGAGTCTAAATCCCTCCTGCTATAAAATTGCAACATGATGTACATGTAACCCAACACTAGTTACCATGTTAACAGTCTGGCTGAGGTCATTGACCTTTATGGTTTGGAGAAGAAGAGGAAACGTAGCAAAAACAACATGTTTTCCTTCACAGTAAATAAAACAAACAAATAAATAAATGTTACCCGGCAGCTGTCTGATCTGTCCGGTGGGTACGGTGAGTCGCGCGCCCTGCTGAGTCTGGTGGATCTGGACCGTGATTGGTTGAGACGGCACCAGGGGCTGTCTCACCCCGCCTACCGTGGTCGTCGCCGGCGTCAGCTGGGCAATCGACACTACCTCACCTGGAGGGGAGACATTGTAAGTAACAATCAATATTATTGATCAATCCATCAGTCAATCATCCATGGGTATCAGAAGCTGAGAAGAATCAAAATCCCACCTACATGTGCAGATTGGTGCATGAAAAAAAATTGCAGCTTTCTAATGTCTACCTGCACCTAACCTGCACTGGTCCATGTACTGGGTTCATGAAGGTCAGTGCGGGTAAAATTGGAGCTGTTCAGGTATTTCTGATGTCTACCTGTACCAGTTGATGTACATGGTTTATGTAGGTATATGTAGATTTTTATTTGCTCCATTGACTCCTACCACGTAGATTTTGAATGGAGTATAAAAGAAATAATGGAAATGGTTTCCAGACAGTTTTTAGTGTGAACCATACTTCCAAAATTTTGAGTGGTGCAGGTAGGCAGAAAAAAGTATCTTGAATTCTTTTGTGCATGAAGGATGCTCAACTAAGTCCATTAGTTGGGCAGTAGATACAAGTGAAGTTGTAAGAATGTATGACAGGGCTCTTTACCTGTAGGAAGTCTCTGTGTTCCCTGTAAGATGAGTCTCTGCTGCAGTAGTGATGTTGGAATAGTGAACCCGGGCAGCTGTTGTGGCTGTGTGGTGATCACAGCAGCCGGTGTCGTCGAGGTAACCATCTGGGCCACACCCTGCTGTACAGAACCAGACAACACTAGTTAGAAACACACCAGGAATCCACGAAGGTTTTTCTAGATTTTCTTAAAAGATACTGTAAATCGCTGTCTTTATATTTGCGGTAGCAAAATTTCATAGCCTGGAAAAATGCACATGTGCACGGTAGCAAGTGCAGAAAAAAGAAATTCTGTGAATAATTTGCTAACAGTAATGATGAAATTTGAAGTACCAAACTGAACATGAAAGGCGTGAATATAAAAGTACCGCAAATATAAAGTGGTTGACAGTAATGTAGGGTTGAGTTTGTACAGAGGCTTGATCAGTACCCAGTGCTTGTCGTTCACGGCAAGTCAGAAGTCTAACGCGTAAAAATCATCACTTCAAGCCAACATACAAAGATGTCCTATGCTCTACCAACCTGATGAAACTTTTGGATGAATGTACTACAATTTATGGTAGCTTTGAAAGAGCATGATTGTTGTCTTTGAAAAGAGCTTTTAGTTTACATGATAAAGTTTGTTCATATGGATAGTGAGTGTGTGAGTGTGATAACACAAATTGGATGAAAACCAGAGCTTGAATTGCTTTTAAAACATCTTTGGAAAAGAAAATTCCTATATCCTATAGTATCTTCAGTAAGAACATGAAAGTTTTCGGTGCTACCAACCTTTACCTGCTGCTGTTGTTGCTGCTGCATCTGTGACACGATGGTGACAGCTGTCGCTGGTGTGAGGGACGCAGCAACCTTGGGCTGTACCGGGGCAGCTGTGGTGACAGCGGGAACAGCCGTGCCGACAGCAACCTGCTGTGCCGCTTGCACAACTGTGGGACAGCAACGAAGGACAACAAAAGTCAGGACAGCAAATATAACATGAAGATTTGTTTCAAAATCAAGTGACATTTCTTCACTTTAAGGAAAATGTTCTAAAAAAAAATCAAGGTAACTACTTGTTACCTAGACCTTGTACCTTATGACGCCCCAAAAAGTACAAAGTATAAACAGGGCTCGATCATTTTTTTCCTTCAAAACATTCCAATATTTTTCTTTATGAACTTAGGCAATGCAGTCGTAGTGCAGGTAGTTTTGAATGCTGCCTGCAACAGTGTAGGTATAGTGCAGGTTTACAGAGAAAAAGTATTTCAGATGTCTTTCTCATGTCTTTTTGTAAAAATAACGATGTTCTCACCTTGGACAGGTGGAGAAGCCCTAGCCGGTGACGCTGCCACCGCTACAGCAGGTGATTTTACCCTCGGTGGCATGACTGCGACAGAGAACACCACCGGAGACGCCCGCGGACTTGACTGGGCCGCCGCTGGGGCCAGGGGTGAGGACCTGTGAACCCAATGATGTGAACAAGATGTAACAACAGCACTTTACCATCGCTCTTTAGACTATATTTCAAAACAATTTGCTATCATGAAAGTTCATGATAGCAAACGGGGGCCGACATCGTCTACCAGATACCTTTGACCCAGTGTTGACGTCACACTTCAAAGAACCACGTGACAAGCTTTACTGGGTCAGTATACTGAGAAAGACCAAAGTGACTGGTCGAAAGCTCCAGGTGAGAGACCTTTTGTGTTGGACCAAAAAGTTATAACTCTAAACAAAAGAATTTGCTCATTACTTTGTAAATGATTAAGCAAATTCGTGATTAAGCAATAAACCATTGATGATTGACTGACCTTCCACTCTCTGCCTTGGGCGCGGGAGGCTGAAACAGGCTGGGTCTGAGTTTCATGGGGGGTAGGCGGGGAGGGGGGTCTGGCTGGGAGTCTATCTCCTCGATGAGCTGTCGGGAGGCTTGTAGCTGGTTAACGCGGTGAGCAGCATAGGCAGGGAGACTCAGTTCCAAGTCTGACAGGCACAGGTTCAGGTAACCTAGGTTTACATGCTGCAGGAAGAAGAACAAAAGATACTATTTAGTTCATCATAGTTCATCATATTTATCCTGAAAATAATTTATCAGTTTTTTTTTCTTTTAACGGATCGGTTCAATGCAAGGCCTATACCAGTATATGACCACTTCTCGGCATTGAACTAGAAATATGAGAGAAACATGGCTATGTCAAGAGATGGCGGTGAACGTTTGATTTGAAAGCCTGTAGATTGTAGGTTGGTGGGAAACACTTGTCAGGGAGGGAATTCCAAAGCTTGGCCGTACGAGGAAAGAAACTGTCATTGTAAACAGATTGGTGGTACAGAGGATATTAGGATTCTCCTAAACACAACCAGTACTTCTCAACAATTGTACAAAAAATCCAGTGCTGTGCTAGGAAACCTAGGAATACTGACGCTATCAGCATACAAAACTCAGTGTTAGTTTTTTTAAAAACAAATAACTATATTTTGTCATTAAATACTGTTCCAAACACATGTAAAAGAGCAGGTTGTGTCTGTGGTCAAATACGCTGTTGAGGTGAAGGTTCACACCGGCACAGCCTGCCAAGTCCACATGTCGGTCTCCGAGGGTTTGCGACGGAGTCATCACCGGACCAGATGACTCGTCTTATCAACCTCGTGATCTAAATTTCAATAGACTAACCCAAATTTTTGTGACTGTTCAACTCCAGTCTTTGTCAAGGGATGGACTCTCATTCTTTTGGGTAGAAGCTGGAGTTGAGGAGTTGAAAATTTGGTCCAATTTCTTAAGTTGGAAATGACAACTGAAACCTGTTTCAGAACAACTTCTACCAACACATACGAACTTTCGAGCTAAGACGAAATACCAGTGTACCATTGTAAGTATGCAGAAAAACAATTTGTAGAGCACTGTAAAAATTATCTGACCTGGAGTGGATGATACTCCATTACCCTGTGGACCAGAGAGGCTGTGTAGTAACAGATGCCTTCTGTGTTGTGTTAGTTAGCTAAGCTGTGGTTAGTTAGCTAAGCTGTAGTTATATCTGACCTGGAGTGGGTGATACTCCATTACCCTGTGGACCAGAGAGGCTGTGTAGTAACAGATGCCTTCTGTGTTGAAGGGAGAGATGATGGGACGAGGGTCGAACAGGTCGGGGTGGTTGCACACCTTCCTGAGCTGCATCAGGATGTTGATCACACTCATGAAGTGCCCAGAGGCAAGGGTCTCCCTGGTTCTGAAATAAAGAAGTAACACGGTAAAAACACTACAAATTAGGCAAGGGTCTCCCTGGTTCTGAAGTCAAGAGGAAAACAAGGTTAAAATATTAGCAATCTAATTAAAAAATTTGAGTCCAAGAACATGTACCTGTTCATCTAGACTTCAATAAAAAAAAAAGAAATCACATCGAAATAGATAAAGAAGTAGAACTTAGAAAAGACTAGCCTTCTTTTTTATTTGTTTACTGGTTGGGGAATACATTTAACTTTAACTTTTATGTTATTAGAAAACCTTTCTAGTCTTGAACTAAACCGGACCAAAACCTATTTGTCTAGGTATAAATGCTTGAAACGCTCCATTTTATCAGTTCAAGAAGTTTTATTAAGAAAGGAATTTTCCATGAAGAGCTAATCAGTACCCAGTGCTTGTCAGATCATGTGTGATCAGAAAAGTATGAGTGGATCATCACATTACTAGCTGCAACTTTTCCATTTTGACACTTAACATCTACCTGGCTGCATATATAGCCTACAATGTACTGTCTCCAAGTACATAATAGATACAGGTTAGGTGGCAGGGAGAAGGTTACTTTAGGAAAGAAAATCACATCAGCAGAACATACTGCACCTGCATGAAACCCGTAATATTTGTACGTAACACTTATGCAGAACGTCTCATATAAGGTCGTATTCGCATTAATAACAGTAACATCCCGTCTTTGTTTTCCAAATGTTATGTCAGAAAAGATACCATCTGCAGTAGGCAAAATTCTGATGCAACGTTGACCAAACATCCAACCAAAACTGAAAAATCAGGGCTTGCTTGGGAGCAGTACGTTCTGCCAACGCGCTGGAAGGAAAAGGCATCAAACTGGAAATGGAAGAGATCTTACTTGGCTTGTGACATGAAGTCATCGTAGAGGAACCTTTGTCTCTTGGACAGGCGGCAGGTCACCACATGTTCGTACTTGTTGGGCAGCTGCTTTTCCACATCTTGTTTTAGTCTCCTCAGGAGGAACGGTCTTAGCACCTGGAGGAGGAAGGATATCAAGATGTCAGGGATAAGTAAGATGATAGGTTTGTTTGTTTGTTTATTTATTTATCCAGGAAATACATATCGCCTGATGGCGTTTTTTCAATGGTCCCTGGGGGAAAAACCCTGACAAAATCCATTAACATTTGCAACACAACTTGATATGTTACCATTAATTCAGTATATCTAGTTGCCAAAAAGTGAAGTTTTTTGAAAAAAGTGAAAAATCTAGCAACCAGGCTTTCAATAAAAGTTATGTTTAAAAATGCAGTTGCATATTTGGTAAATTCCTTTCTTTTGGAAAATTTTGCAATCAAACCCTTATCCACAACCAAAATTTCAGACAAATATCAGATTACTTTCAGTGTTAGCTTTTTTAACAGAGCAGTAATTTTTGTCAGCAAATACTGTTTCTGTAACAGTAGGTTGTGTCTGTGGTCAAATACGCTGTTGAGGTGAAGGTTTACACCAGCACAGCCTGCCAAGTCCACATGTCGGTCTCCGAGGGTTTGCGACGGAGTCATCACCAGACCAGATGGCTCGTCTTATCAACCTCGTTCATTTCAAAGGATACAGTTCCTAAAATCATCAAATCCTCTCTAAACTGACAACTACAAATGCCTTTTATGCCAGATACAAAGGAGGAACATTAACTTATGTAGCCTTTAGGAACAAGCTTTGATTATTGTCTTGACAAAACTTTCTTACAATGAAGGATTCACATCAACAACTTGGCTTACAGTAATTTTGAGCTGAAAATTTTTTTTCTTCATAAATGTGCTTTTCCATCAAGCCCAGAACATTTTAAGTGACTAAAAAATGCTTACAATACAAACATGGAGATTTTGTACATAAAGGAACTGAATGGTTAGACAGATGAATATCCTAGGAAATAGTAGTACACTTTTTTCATTACGACTAATTATTACTAATAAGAGGCGATGACAACACGTGGCATTGCAGAAGTACAAAAAACAAATAAATACCTTGTGTAGTCTGCGAATGAGTCCCTCGTTGTACTCCGTGTTCCCCTCGATCATGCCAGTGACAGGGTTGGAGAACCACTCCCTGAACTCCCGGTGGGACTGGAACACGTGGGGCATCAGGAAGTGCATCAGCGACCACAGCTCCATCAGGTTGTTCTGCAGCGGTGTTCCGGTTAACAGCAGGCGACGCTGGCTCTGGAAGTTCAGCAGAGTCTGCCAGCGCTGAGACTTGAAGTTCTTGATGTTCTGAGCCTCGTCTAGGACAAGGTACTTCCACTTCTTCCGTCTAAAAGACTGGTGGTCCTGGATGACAAGCTTGTAGGAGGTGATGCACACGTGGAAGGAGTTGGGTTTGGTCCAGCCCTGGCGTTTCTGCTTGCGCTCCTTCTGGTTTCCGTAGTAGGTGAGGATTTTGAAGGCAGGGCACCACTTTTTGAACTCCATCTCCCAGTTCAGCATGACGCTGGTGGGAACCACGATGAGATGGGGACCCCAGATACCTGGGTGAAGCAAGTAACACAGACTCTAGGTTACAGGTAGCACAAAGTGACAAACACTATTCCATAAATGCATACAGCATTTGTTTCTCTTGGAACTAATTTTCTGCAAGATGGCAAAATATGCCAAAAATCCGTCAATTCTCAGTCTACAGCTCTGTTTATTCTTAATCAAACACTTTCATGTATGTGGTGACCAGCCCCTCCAACTTGCTACAAAATGTAATCCAACACCACAGGGTGTATGCTACAGCACCAGTTACCATGGTGACATACACCTGGCCCAGGTCATTGACCCTTGTGTTTGTAAAAGAAGCAAAAGAAACCGAGCACAAAAAAAAAAAAACATGTATTCTTTCTGCCAACTGCCAGTATGTATTTCTTCTGTCATAGCTATGGCAAAACCAAGATTCCTTCTGCAAAGGTAAACATAAACGAAAAAACAGCCTGCGAACCTTTATCACAGGCGAGATGTCCGAACAGAGCAATAGTCTGGATAGTTTTCCCCAGGCCCATCTCATCAGCCAGTATGCCATTGAGCTTCTTGTCGTACATGGTGACCAGCCAGTCCAGCCCGATGTGCTGGTACTCACGCAGGGTGTGCTTCAGTAAGAACGGCACAGGAGTCTTCACCTAAAAACAACAGCAAACATAATTTTTGTCAGTAAAAAGCCATACTAGTAGCAGTCTTCATCTGGTCACATTAAACACAATTTACATCAGTAAGAACGGCACAGGAGTCTTCACCTGTGTTGTACCAAAAAAAAAATCATGTTTCTATGAGGCAAATATGCAGATCTAGGCAGATCTAGGCAGATTGGTAACACCAAATTTGTGTGTGCTCTCATCAGTGTTTGGACACGCTATCTATCCCAATGTTCACAATAACAGAACACATTCTTTATTATTCAGTAAAGGTACACATGAGAAAAATACAACTAAGTTTAAGGCAGATGTTAACTACAAACAGAAAGTTCCCTTCTCAGTAACTTAGTAAGTCAGCTGTCTAGGCCCATGCTAGTAACAGTCTGGACAGCTACTTGCAGTGGTGCAAGTGCTGGCTAAAAATTATGCGCACCCCTCCTATTTTACGTGCAAAAAGGCTTGCATGCTAGTGGTAATTTGAGCCCTGTCATTCCCACTGACCTGTGTTGTACTTAGCGTGTACCCTGTGGGCTGGCAGGCCGCGGCATCAGCTGCAATGTCCGTGATCTCTTTGCTGGGGCCTTTGCCTTCTTGTTGTGTCTAAAAACAAAAACAAAACCGTTGAAGAGATTCAAATTCCCCGAAAAAATCTTTAGTCAGACTTACAACTCTCAGGGAGGTCACAATGACTTCTTCAACTTCTTTAAACGAGTTTCCAATGAGGTACTTAATCTCAATGATCTCTCAAAGTCTTCCGAGGGTCTCTCATAGGTTGCCCAATGATCTCAATGACCAGTGAACGTGGAGACTTACCGAGGATCCCTCCTGAGGCTGGTGGTTCTCCTTGTCTCCGTGGATGAGATATTCCATCCCGATGTCAGCCATTTCTTCCTCCTCTTCATCACTAGGCTCCTCTGTTTCAGATTCTGGGAACAAACAGAAACGATCATGACTTTGACTACAGAAATGCCTTCAGTTCTTGTCCTTTAGGAGACATTTTTTTGGCGCAAACAAGGTTAAGGTGGTCCAGAAGGATAGCTGAGGCATATTTAGAAATACTACGAACTCTATCTGATATGGTAGTCTTTTGGGTCTATTTTTATAATTTTCTTTCGTCTTGTCACTATGGCCACATTTTGGCCGCCAAATTGACCGCCAAATTGTGCATTTTTCTCACGCTCCAGCCAAGCCCCAGTGGGGGTGTGCACATTACTTTTAAAAGCTACTCCGCCGCTCGACCAATCAGGCTCGCTGGTCATTACGTAAACTGAGAGCTTCACTTTCATAATTTTTGGGAAGGGAAAAGACACTGGAAAAGAGAGTTTTACTGAACGTTTGATGTCAGTTGTTTGCAAAACGTTTTGGGTAAAAACCTGCCAAATGCAAAGAATAATAATTTTCTGAAAACACAAGCCGTTTCCATTGTTTATCACACTTCGTATCGGCAAAATGTTGTCAAGTTGCAACACACAACCAGAGATATGCAGCCACACAAATCACCAAAAACGCCAGAAATAATCTGACAACTTCCTATATAAAAACATTCGACTGCCAAAAGAAACGAAGCTGTCTGCTTTGAGCCACAAGTTAGATCTTGGTTTAGTTATGAGCGGCCTGGCGGACCGGGTCACTGCATGCATAAAGAGCCGCGCTTGGTAGTTCATACTCGGCCGTCATTATGCGGCGTTATCCTTTGTGTTCTTTCATGATTTTCACAGACAACTCATAATTTTCTACCGAATAAAAACGCGTCTCTACCTGTGTACTGTCTTATTATTCTGAGTTTGTATCGACTGCAACACGTTTGTAACTACTAAACGTTAACGTTACGTTCTAGTGAACAGACATGATAAGAACTACTAGAAATTTTTATAAAATCTACGTTTTATTAAAAATACGATACTTACAAACTTCAGCAGGATTTTTACATAATCTTACGGTAACTGCTAACAATAATCTTTTACGATTTACAGCATACAGCAAATAGTAGCCGCTTACAAAAAAATCAGTTCCAACAGATTTACAGAGATAGTCCGTACTTTTCAGATAGAACATAGAACGTCGTGCGTGAAAATTATTTCCACAAGTCTAGGACAACGTGCAACGTAAATTCACATAATCAACAAAATTATATACGCTCATAATCTCATACCACGTCCGGGCAAGCTTTTTTCCAGGGCTATCTACTCCGGTATCGCGCGATAACTTTTCAGTGTTGTGATCTTGCTGATCGTCAATCTCCTCTGGGGGTAGGCCTAAAAAACAAGTCCGTAACTCCAGAATACCCCGGCAGATTTTCTCCAATAAGGTCTCAGAATAGTCCATAAACCTCCATCTGCAAATCTACGTAGGATACGGCCGTTTAAAAGATCGTCTACCGGCCCAAATGCTGCCGCAAAGCGCACAGCTTCTCCGCTCGCAAACAAGACACGCCATCCGCCATTTTGGGTGAGTCACGTGACCCCTACTCCCGCGAAATCTTAGCGTTCTTTTGGCTGTTCTTTTTACTGGACATATCCCCGGCCTGTTTTTCCAAATAGCGCCGCAGTAAGCTAAATACAGCGTGCTGAAAGGTCAATGACCCATTTTTCGGTGGGAGGGATGGGCGCCCTTGGAATGGCGACAAAAAATTGGCAATTTCGGCTCTTTCGGGCTTCAAAATGGACATTATGTAACCCCTACGACATATACAGCATTTTAAGAATGAAACTGTGGAAAAAATGTTCATGGAAAGGGACAAAAAGGTGGTATTTTTTGAAAGATAAGCTTATAACTAAAATCGTATGCGAGGCCGACACACTGCGCCGCTTTATATGTTGGGGAGGGGTGCTGGCGCATGGCACTGTTGACATTTACGGAAAAAAATTCATAAAAAATCAACACTTTGAGATATTAAAAAATGCTCGCATACGTTTGTTCCTATTACTAGTGTGTGCCTTTCAACAAAATATGGTGAATAAAAACCAAAGCGCTGGCCAGAAAAATTGATTTTTCTAAAAAGGGGGCGTGGCTCATAACTCGTGATGACGTCATGATTACGTCATCAAAATTTGCATAAATTATCATCTTGCACTAAGGTACTTACACAAAAAAAATCAATGACCATAGGTAATCCTAAGTAGTATTTTTAGGATGTCCCCAAAGTCCTCAGCCACCCTTCCATACCACCTTAAATCAAGCTCTTTGAAACTGAATAGTTTCATCAGGTTGGTAAGTCACTGAATACAACGACTCTTTTCACACAACCAAGTGTTTTAGTCAGCCAACGTTCCAGTAAACATATGTCACAGAATTGCCCCGAGGAAGGTGACAGATGGTAATCGAAACGTTGGCCAAATAAAACACTTGGTTGGGTAAAAACAGACTTTTTATAACAGCTGTATTATGGCATATTCTTGTAACAGATTTTCAGTTTCGTAAGTTTTCTTGTTTGAAGTCTCACCTTCAGTTTCCTCATCCTCATATTCCTCGTCTGCCAGACTGGACTCCGGTGGACTGGGAGGGGGCTCGAACCCTTCTTCGTAAGCACCGCCGTATTTCTTGATAAGTTCTTCCATGGACATCTCACCTAAAAACCATGAGTGTCATAGTTTTAACACAACATTGAAATCTATAATTCGGCACTCCCAACTTCATTGATAAAAGGACATGATACACTTGTCACTCACCTTGCAAAACCTTATCAAATGCAGTTAGTAGAATATTTATAAACCAGTGACTGTTTTTGAAAGGTAGAAACATCTACCTGAGGTACCTTTCAAGAACAGATTGAACTGATTGATGAATATTCTACTAACGGTTAATCTTACGTGACTGATGAACCTCTTCAACATTATCAAAGGAAGAATTGTCCACTTGTACGTTTAGAAAGTCTAGTGTCTTTCATATCACTTGTTCAGTGCATATTTCTGTGTTAAGGAGTTTTTGTAGTAGTTAACCTTCTTTCTGAAGATCGTCCAGTTCCTCAGCGTGATCTGCCTCCCCCTCAGCCTCTTCTTGTTCTTCTATGGTCTCCTCATCATCAACAGCTGAAACAGAAAGAGCATCTTTGATTGAATTGTGTCTATTTTTATACACAGAAATTCTTGTGTCTTTTATATAATAGTGCATACATTTTATCTCATGCTTCTGTGTTTTTGGTGTAACCAATGTTACCTAAGTATACAGTAGAGGGTACTCATTCCTCAAGCTAACCGACATCTCGCACACAGTCATCCCTCAGTAAGACATCTAGAGCAGCATAGTTCCCTTTAGACCTTGTGCTCAGCCTGTCACACGACCGGTTTCGCCTGTGTGGCTGTTACAAGTGTACAGAGCATTACTTAAAGAATAGGTCAGTACACAATAAAAACCCACCTCCTTCCTCCTCAGAGGCTTCAGAAGGCATGAACTCATCATCATCAGCTGTTTCTCTGGTCGAGTCTTCTTCCTCCTGAAATAACACAAGCAATGTTTCAAGATTGTAAATACAAAACTTTTTTGTGGCTCTGAGAAATTCTCTAATGACTAATAATTATATCTTGTATCCTCTGACAGGATCCACATCAGAAGAGGGCAAACTTCTGCATGGGTTTTTAAAAGGAAACCATTTTTCTCTCCCTCAATACGACCAGGAAGAAACAGAAATGTTCAGCTGGCCCGTTGTGAGGGAGTTGACTAACTAACGTGTTACTATATAGACAGAGCATTCTGGGCTCCTAATGGTGTGTAATTTTTTTCTTGCTTCGAAGAGCTGCTAAAAAAACTATGCAAGAAAAAAAATGTACTGTAGTTCAGCACTGAACAAGAGATCAATGAGTTTATAACCCGGGATGTAGCATTTAAGGATTCAGCATTTAACAAGAAATCATTTTGTACCTCAGTGAAGTATTTAAGGTTGTAGTGAATTTCTTGCAGTCACACATGAACAAAATGCCAGCAATCACTGGGCCAGAAAGTTTAGGAAGACAGCGATTCAGTTAAAAATTTGGGTAATTGTTTAGTTTTAATTCTGAGCTAGCTAAAAGTTTGAAGTCCCTCATAATATATTTTACCAAATCGGAAAAATAACTCAAAAGGTTGTTACCTCCTCGCTGCTGGAGTTGCCGTCCACCTCCATGGCCTCGGCAGGTTTCTCCAGGATCTCAGGCGGGAGTTTGGAGATGAGATCCTCCAGCGGGACTTCACTCTCCTGCTGCAGGAGCGCAACCTCTTCATCTACATCCTCCTGCTCATCTGCCTCCTCTTCCTGGTCCAGAGTCTCCTCATCATCACTCTCATCATCAGGCTCAAACTCATCATCTATTGGTTAAAGGGATAAAAAAAATATAGCTGAAGTCAGTGCCATAGTCTTTTCTTATGGCCAAAGGGGAAGTGAGTTGCTTATCCATTATCTTGAGGAAAAGTACTGAGATGCAGAGCCCATCTTTCTTCTTCCACTGCCTTTTACCTCCCCAACCAAAGTCAGGTACCCTTTTAACACCTGGGTGGAGTGAGAAAATTTCCTTTCCCAAGGACATGTCTTTCCAGGGATGCCAAGAATAAAACCCTGGACCTCTTGGTCTTGTGTCCACTAGCCTTACCCAGAGGTAAATCAGTTATCCTGTACGTATGTATGGGGGTCGACAACCAAAGGTAGCATAACACTTTTGCATTTTGCCTTTACCAAATACAAACAGCACACGTGCACCTAACCCCAAACATGAATTCCTAGCCCTGTACTCACCCTCCCCCAGTGCTGTGTCCCTGCCAGGACTAGAGGCTGCTGAACCCTGTAAGGACGAGTCTTCCTTCAGCCCCTGAGTCAGCCAGGAGGAGTATTTCTCTGTCTGGTCCACGATGAAGTTCAGCTGGAGATCCAACGCTTTCTTACGCTGCTCCTCCAGACGTGAATGCTGCTTATATTGCACAACCTAAAGGTACAGAAACATGACTGGTTAAGCAATAAGTCTCTGCTTTTACCACTACTAAAACTGCCTTTCAACTATGCCTATCAAACTTTGTGTTTTGATTCTGCATCCTGCAATCTATTCTTAATATGCTGTTTCTCTAGCCATAAATGCTGCTTATATTGCACAAACTATAAGGTAGTCACAGAAACAACTGTTTTTTAAGCATGCAGACTTAACAGTCTGAACTGCGAAAGGTTCTTTATGTAACTATGTTTCCATCACCATCTGTCACTTATTTAGGGCCACAATAACTGGTTCTGAGTCATACTGCAGCTAGGTGTTGCTGCTGCAGTATTTTACATAGCTGCAGTACAAATCAGAACCAGTCATTGTTGCCCTGAAGAAGGTGAGAGATGGTCACCAAAACGTTCCTTGTGAAAACCTACTGGTAGTAAAATAAAGTACAGGAAGAAAACATGTTGCATGCTCCATTGCTGCTTGTGACATGGGAAAGTCAGCGGCAGAAGCAAAGTATGCATGAATCTGGCCACATTTTGATTGGGCAACATCTGTAGCAACCTGCCCATGTGGGAAAATGTGGCTTTCATCTGAACATTAATCTTAACACCTTTCATCCCTTATAGTTATTCTTTCTTTTAGGAGTATTTCCTCACAGAAAAAAACAACTCTACATGCCTGAAAATCAGCAACACTCAAGAAATGATAACTTCTGCTCTACAAAACTTACAGCTGATCTCCCAAAATAACTTTATCAAGGCATGAGTTATTGGAGTTCTCCTTTACAGAACCAGTAAAAACTGCTTATGTTTTTATGCCCATCAGGCATCTTCCTCAGAGCTTTTGACTGGAGTACTGCTTCTTGCCACAAAAGCGCCACCTACATTGGTTACTGTAATTCCTAATTTTTTTCACGGTACTTTTATGTTCACTGTTTTCACTGTCACTTCTGTATCGTGAACTTAACATTACAGTTAAATAATTCCTGGACTTTCTTTCTCCTGCACCTGTCCCCAGTGAATATATAGTTCCATGAACATGTCCACTTTTCTCAGACTGTGAACTTTTGCTACCGGGAACATAAAGTCAATTACACCTGTACTGGCAAGAATCAGAACTCCAGTAAAAGCTCTGAGGAAGATAACAAAGGTTCTTTTGGACAAGCCTTACTTTTTCAATGTTAGCCCAGAAGGCCTTGATCTCCTTGGCCATGTTGGAGGCTATTCTCCTCAGACGTAGTGCCTCCTCCTTCTCCGCTCGAACTTCCTTGGCTTTCCTCTCCTGGTGGAATCGGACAACCGCTCTGGCGAGCTGCAAACAACAAAGCAAAGTTCAAAATTCATCACATTGATATTTAAAAAAACCATGACGATTCTTACAAGGCAAAGTCCAAAGGCCAATCGCCTGCCAACTGCTATGGCAAGCTGCAAACAAAAAAGCAAAATTTAAACATTTCTATGTAAGATTTCATCACATTGCCTTGTAACTACTGCACTTGCCAAGGTTTCTTTTAATATATCAAAGGCCAATTGCCTGCCAATGGAGCTGAAACAACTCTCTTCCGTAACTTAGAGAAATCAAGCTGGAAACAAGAAAGCAAAATTGAAACATTTATCTGTGTGGCTAGTGCATTGTCAGAGTTTTTTTTTAGTACGTCCAAGTCCAAAGGCCAATCACCTGCCAATGGGACTGAAACAACTCTTTTCCGTAAATTAGAAAAATTGAAACAACTTTTTTCCGTAACTTAGAAAAATAAAGACCAAAATTTGCTTCAGGACCTAAGGAACAGGTGATTTTTTTAAAGATTTGGGTCAGGAGAAAAACATGGAAACATTGTTACGGATTCTAAACTATTAATATCTAATATGCCAAGATAATTCATTTTCTGAGAGCTTCTCTGTTTGGTACTAAAACTTCAAATTCCTTGTAACTAAATCTTGTATCCTCTGACAGGATCCACATCAGAAGAGGGCAAACTTCTGCATGGGTTTTTAAAAGGAAACCATTTTTCTCTCCCTCAATACGACCAGGAAGAAACATAAGTGTTCAGCTGGCCCGTTGTGAGGGACTTATTCTATCTACTAACTTATTTCTACAGTGACAAAAAATTCTGTGGTCTTATTGGTGCGTAATTTTTTTGGACTTAGAGGGCGAGAGGGTCTTAAAAAGCATGGACAATGAGGCCAACCTTCTTTTGCAACACAGTTATTCCATCAACTTGTTTCTATTGTGACAGAGCATTCCTAGGTGTCATTTTTCAACAAGTACACCTGGCTTACAAGTGCTGTTACAAACACAGGAAAGGGTCTTACAAGTTTGGACGACGAGAGTTCATCCGCAAATAGTTTCATCATGTGTGTTAATCAATTCAACATAGTTTTCTTCACTACGGCTCGTATATTTAGCCAAGCACACCGGGTCACCCCCTACTCTTCTCGACAAGTGTGTTGGGTGTGACATGCAGAGGTTTGTTAATGTTAAGCAAGCCGACCTTTTTCGCAGCTGCCATTTTCCACTTCCTCTCCTGCGCGAAGTCAGTGGCGAGCCACTGCATCTCCTCCAGCAGGTAGTCCCAGTGAGCCTTGGGGCGTGGCGGCTCCTGGACCTTGGGCAGTCGTCGCTGGGACCACAGACCCTCCTTACGCAGCTCCGCTACTCTCTGCTGCACTGCTGCTTCCTGGGGGGGGGGGTGGACACGGATTTGAACTGTTGTTACAGGGCTCGAAATACCAACTGCATTGTAGTAAGAGAAATTTGTACTGTGTCAGGGCTCAAAATACCACCTGCATATGTAGGTTAGTGCAGGAGTTATATACACTTGTTTCTGTTTACCTGCACCTAACCTGCACTGGTCCATGTACTGGGTATATGCAGGTTAGTGCAGGTAAAATGAAGCTGTGCAGGTATTTCTGATGTCTACTTGCATTGGCCCCACGTACTGGGTATGTGCAGGTAAAATTGGAGCTGTCTACCTGCACCAAGGAGTGTCCTGTTACACAACAGATTAATAGATTAAAAATGGTACCAAGCCTTCTTTCAAATTTATAAAAGCCTGCTGAAAGGGATTTAAAATTAGTGGTGCAGGTAAAATTTTTCTGGTGCAGGAACTTCACACGACAGTTTAAAATGAGGTTTTGCTATTTCTAAACAAAGATCTCAAAACGAAGTGCTTGGACCAACCTGTTTGGCCCTTTCCACGATCTCCTCCTGTGAGCCTATGGTGGTGTCGTACACGTGTGAGATGGAATGCTGGTGGCGGGTCTGCAGTCTCTGGCTGGACGTCGGGGACAGAGGGGACTTGGTGTTCTTGGAGACGATGGTGGAGGTGACAGACGCTGGAGTCATCGTGGAGACATTTAGAGGCTTGGGTAAGTCCTTGGGCTGCTGGGGAGTCTGGAACGCTGGAGAGCATGTCGTTCATTTGTTTAGTCACATACACAAAGACAAGCACATCGGCAGAATGTACTGTGCCGGCGCAGAACCCTGTATTTTCACCGTTTTCGGTGAATTTTTGATCAACGTTGCATTAGATTTTTTTCTGTTGCAGAGGATATCTTTTCCTACATAACATTTGGAAACTACAGACGAGATGTTTTCCTTATATGCGCGAATACAACCTTATATGAAACGTTCTTCCAAAGTGCTATGCACAATACATTACGGGTTTCGCGCAGGTGCAGTGCGTTCTGCCGACATGCTACAAAGACATTAGATGATGATACTAATAACAGTAGAAAAATATAAGAGGGGGTGGCAAAAACCTATACTGCCTTTTGGCACATTGGCACAAGAGGGAGAATTTTAACTCGTGTAAAGAATAACAGCGAAGCTTCAAGACAGTCTTGCAATGCTGACAATGATTTTAAGGTTCAAAATACATAATGGAATCAAGTCTTTCCTAGAAAATTGTCTGCTCTTGTGGTATCACACAAAAGATGCACTTTACTTGGAATCAGCATGTAAAACCTTTGTAATGTCACTTACAGTCACAGGTGAATATTCGGTATCTAACTCATCGCTGTCACCATGTACAGTAGGAGCATTGTCATTAGATAGCTTTATATAATGTTTAGAGTCGGATGCTCAAGGGTTAGGTATAGTAAGCCGTTTGGTGTAATATAGCCAGTTACCGCTACACCGCATGCCTGCGAAGCTGGTGTGTTACACCGAAGGGCGGTTATACCGGCTATACAGATACAGAAGCTGGTGTGTTACGCCGAAGGGCGGTTATACCGGCTATACAGATACAGAAGCTGTTGTATTATGCCAAAGGGCAGTTATACCGGCTATACAGATACAGAAGCTGGTGTGTTACGCCGAAGGGCAGTTATACCGGCTATACAGATACAGATTCAAATGTTCCAGTTAGACTTACTTGGTGGTTGTGGCTCTGACATGGTTCTCTGTACCATGCCTGGTGGAGTCTGTGGTACAGCCTGTGGGAGTGTGGAGGGCTGGGGCTGGCTGAGCTGGTGTTGCAGAGGGGGGTGGGTGGGCAGGGGCTGGGGGGGAGGACTGTGCATGGGGGTTGTGTTAGGCACGGCAGGACCGAAGGGGGAAGGGTATGGAGGGGGCTGCTGCTGGGTGGTGAAAGGGGTGGGCTGCTGCTGTTGGGCTGTGACAAGACCACCTGAAAACAGGAAGAGAAAATGTCATCTTCTTGTCTTCTACAGGGCTCGTGACTGCGACTGATTTGGTCGCATATGCGCCCAAAATTTTGACGGTGCGACTACATTTGAAATCACGGTCGCACGGTGCGCCAATAAAAATTTTAGCCTACATTGTAGATAATAGCAGAACCAGCTACGCCAATTTTCCCCCGCTAATTTTCACTACAACGTAGCGGCATTGTGACTGTATTTCTTTGTTTAAGAATGCCAGATCAAATGTGAAAAATGTTTTTTTTAGCGCAGTAACGCATGTGCCGGGCCTCCCAGGAGAACGTGGGCGGGTCCTCTTGGCTCTTTGCAACCTTGTTGCCGCCCTGCTGTGAGTGACAGCGGCTAGACACTGGTGCCAGAGTGTCTGGGCGAGTCCAGGCAAGAGATGTCCCGCCCCCTTCCTAGTGTCGGCTTTCCCTTTGGGACGCCATATATGGGCTGGCCTATTTAACAATTCCCACGATGTATCCTCCAGCCGGCTGCCGAAAGAGGAGGGGCCTCTAAAGCCCACAGCGGCAAATTTGCGTTGGTAACTTACCTAGCTCGGTATCCAGTGTCTGTGAAAATTGTCTATGAACAAGGGAGTTCACCCAATGGATCCGTTCATAGTTTAAACAAGTAACTATAAATTATTTGCTCTTTTGTCAAATTTTTGCCGTTTTTCTTTACCGTGTCTGTGATCTTTGTGACACACGTGGGTTTTCCTCCCACATATGCGTCAGTGCTGGTGCCATGCCGATTTCATGCTCTTAGCTACTGTGCGATCTATGTCAACATACTGGGTGTGCCTGTAATCATGTCAGCATCAAAGCTTGGCAATAACAACAAAGCCACGTGTAGAATCACATCATACTTTGGCCCAGTTTTGCAGAACAGAAATGGCACAAAGGAGATTAAAAGTGCCTCATAATGAGACACTATTAGTAGGCAAAACAGACGTATTTTTTGTTTTATTTATATTTGCTATTTTTTGCATGTAGAGTATTGCAACTTTGCACACCAGATGCTCAGAGTCTGTTCTTAAATGGTTGTGTCTGATTTGGATTATCTTCTGTATTTTGTGAAGATTTCAAGCTGCAAAGATATAAAAATTACTAATCAAGGATACATTGTACATACCTTAGAAAATAATGACATTTTTCCCTTTGGGTATCCCTCAAATGGCCGCTTTTTAAGCTTAAATTTTTAAAAGCGCCCATCCCCCCTGTCGGTCGCTTCGCTCCCTCAACGTGCGGCAAGTACCACTACGCTAAAATTAAATCCTAGCTAGAACCCTGGCTATGAACTACTGTACTAGTACTTTTACATTTGAATTATGGAGATCTTAGAGATCATGATCATGCCCACCGAGTGTCCCTCAGAAAACTGTTTTGAGGAGGAATTTAATGACATAATCACATTTTTATTTATTCAGCTGTATTAATATGTGATTTCTTTTTTTTTGGGGGGGGGGGTTGTTTAAGGAAATATGATCTACCTTAGTTTTTAATATATTAACACCTTTGCAATACAATATTTTTTGTTGGTGCGCCTAGATTTTAGCCTGTGCTCCTAACTTTTTATGGTTAGGAGCACAGTGCTCCTAGGTCAAAAAGTTAATTTGGAGCCCTGCTTCTATCTGACCATCTATCATTTTAAATGTAAACAACAGATAAAACAGCCTTTCCTTAGAAAGACAATGCGAAAAACCAGGCAAAAAAACTATGCTCAAGTTTTGTCACTTGGCTTTTCTATCTGTATTAAGAGTTCTGCAATAGCAGGATTACCAAATGTTCAGTTGTTCTACCCAACCTGGGATTGTTGATGTTTTGCTGTCTCACGCCACTTCAAAATCTAACAGCAGATAATTGTTAGGAAAACCGCGCTGGAATCACGCCAAAACATGCCCAGCATGCCGAGAATCGAACCTGTGATCTCTACTAAGTTATTCAAGCAACTGGATATGATGTTATACAAATCATATCAAGTGGCTTGAGTAACTGTTTTTACCTGGATGTCTAACCTTCACTGACACATCTAAGGTGTAATGCTTATTTATCTACCTTGCATTGAGCTCATGAGCTGCTGCTGTAGCGCCTGGTTCTGTGGGTGGAACACCATCCCGTGCCGGCCGCCCGGCGGTCTGCTGGGCTCCGCAGAAGCCTGGACCTGCTGCCTCCTAAAGGCCTCGATCTCCATGTTGTTAGCGTTGGTAGCCACCGGCATGCCTGCGTGTAGCTCCACGTGCGACTGAGCCTGCTGTTGTTGTTGCTGTACGGGTAAAAAAATAGCATTTAGTCTTGCTACTGGTTTGTGTTTAAGCCTACATATGTTTAACTACTTGCTGGCTATGCCTAGCCCGAGACCCAGCCTTGCTTGAAGGGTTGTTATCTCGCCAGAAAGGCTGGGTTTCAGGCTAGTCTACATATGCGGACAAGAGGAAAAGGGGGGTTACAAAAGAACGTAGGCAGAACGTACTGCACCTGCGCAAAACCCTTAATGTGTTTTCATATGTGGTCGTATTCACGCATAGAAGGTTAACATCCCGTCTGCAGTTTCCAAATGTTGTGTTAGAAAAGATATCCTCTGAAACAGACAAAAATTCTGATGCAATGTTGACCAGAAATCCAACGAAAACCGTAAAAAATTGGGGTTTTGCGCAGGCGCAGTACGTTCTGCCGACGTGCCGTTACGACAGCGCTAGAGCTACAGCGTGATCCACTTGTATGCGCTTCTTTTCTCCACTCTACTGCATGCGGGAGGGTCTAGGATGGAAACTGCCGGGAAGCGAATGGCCTGGGGAAGGGGGAGGGGGGTAAGAGATGCGGACGGACATGTGTGCATTGTACTACAGAACGTCTGCTTGGTGTGGCAACAGGGCACAAAATACCCACCTCAAACCTGCAGATTTCACAAACAAAAGCTGGACTGTACCTGCTATTGTACTAAAAAAATTTAGGCTGGATGCATTATTACGAGTTGGCTTTCAGTAAAATTCGAGAAAGCTGCAACTAGTGTAGCAGTCTTGTTTGATTTTGCTTTTTTCTTTTCTGCACTGTTCTGATACTTGCCCTAGCACAGATACATGTATACGAAACTTTTCCTTTTTTCAGCACTCGAAAATTCCAAAACTCCATTTTCCTTATAATTTTTTCTTTTAAACGTTACCAGAATATTTTGTGAACATCCTAACTGATTCTTTAAAGTCTGAACAGCATTTTTGTGTGCTGTACCATGTCCCAGTCTGTGTAAGATTTTTGCAGGTAACTGAAAAAATTTTCTTTAAATATTACTCTTCTGTTTTGTTACATTTGAACTGTTTCCTTTAAACTTTAAACTGTACTTATGTGTGCAGTACCATGTCCCAGCCTGTGTAAGATTTTGCAGGTATAACTGAAACAAAAAAAACTGAAAAGGAGAAGTATTTTGCGCCCTGGCCAGCGGCCGGCCGACATGAAGAAAAGAGTGTTGAGATCTATGCATTAACCTGCTGCTGCTGACTGAGCTGTGAGATAGCGGTGACTTCTGGCGGCAGTTGGGTGGAGATGGCCACGGGCGTGCACACCGGGATGTTACTGCCGCTCGTTGTCATTACTTTAACCTGGCGGAGAGAGGGCTTACATTCAGAACACACACCACAGGGAACCTCGAAAAAAAGAAGAATTGTGGTAGTAAAAAAAGTATGTCCCCCTCTTCCCTTCATATCAAAAACACTGGCCACTTTTCCTTTTGAAAGACGCTGTAGAGGAATCAAATTTCTAACAAATTGATTTTTCAGACTTGAATGTCTCACGTTTGAGTCTGTAACTCTAATATCCCAAATTTTGTGACATTAGAAAATACACATTCAAAATATTTCAAAAGTTAAACAATGAAATTTTCATGCTTGATCTATTTAGTGATAAGTTTTGAATCAAGGTCTGATACAACTTGACATTAGGAAAACAGTCTTTCAAAATTGAAGTGACCAGTGTTTTAACTTTTGGTTGCTCTCTATGCATTCAAACCACGAGACAGCTGCCAAGACAGGACCACAAAAATGTATTTTTTAAAAAAAAAAGGAAAATATTTTCAGTGACAGCTTTGCTTATGCATGCAGAAACTGCAGTACTATCACACAAAGCTAGATGGCTCTCCTAGTGAAAGACAAAAAGTGGAATGCATCAATGGAAACGTGGATGATGATATGCACCTGTGTGAATGGAACATTTGGTCTACTTGAGGGTCTAGGCGTTGTTCTCTGAAAGCAAAATGTACTAATGTCAGGAAGTACTGTAGCAATCGTAGTGCTAGCACATCCAGTAGCAGAGACTAGGTTATGTATGTTACTTAGCTTCAGATTCATGCAAAGTTCTGATTTAGAGAGCTTAAAGTAAGTCCGGTCAGTTGTTCAAGAACAGAGCAGTCTTGGAGTAGGATCTAACTATAATTTCCAACTCGAGAAAATGTTGGAATTACCAAAGTGTCGGTATTGCACTTTTTCTGTATTGGAATTAAGTTAAATCATACTCCAGAATACTAACACTGACACAGATGAACTTTTATTGAGCTTTACGTTCAGTTAAGCATAAGTTCATTATGATTGATTTTTTTGCCTATCTCAAGCTATCCCTGTACAAACAAATGAGAAACGAAATGTTATTTGAATGGATTGTAGAATGTATGGATTACAACATCAATATTTGACTACTATCAGCCTGTATCAGTATGAAATTTTATATCACAACCCTTGTCAAGATGAGTCTGTATTCTTTAACAGCCCGACAAGAAATTGACATGGATTCATCTTTTTTGACTGAGACTAAACATAAGATGACTTTTTGAATCTAGAGTGCTACCTAAAGAAACATTGTTGATTGTTTCAACAGTTTTTTTATGAACTTTTCCCTATCACTATATACTACATTACACTGCAAAGTACCAGTAACACTGAGTGAGAATACAATAGAATATGTTGATTATGTTCAATCAAAGGGAAATGCACTGACACACTGATAACACATTATGTATTATTTTTTGTCAATCACCAGAAAAAAGCTTTAAAAGTAAGCTTCAGAAGACAAAACAAGAGATAAAGAAACATCATAATTATTTAAGGAAAAAAAAGCATGATGCATTAACATTTAGCTAATTCATTTATGTTAGTTCTAAGAGTTACTTGTAAGTACAAGTTTAATGAGCGAGTCTTCGTTAATAAGCGGCAAAGAAGACAGGCTCACCTCGTCGTTGATTCTCTGCTCTTTTGGTTCTTCTTCTT